AATTTTTAGCTCGTCCAGGATAGAGACTTTTTTTAAATATTATTTTTTATTAATTTAAGTTTTTCTGCGGGGGTTTCCAGGATCTTTATTTATATAATTTTTTTAAAGTATTTTTTATTTCTATAATTAAGCTTTTTATAATAAAAATACTTTCTTTCTCTTATTAATATCTCTCTAGTTTCTAGCTCTATACTCAAAGTATAAGTTAAAGTCTTAAAAGCAATATTTTTAGAATTTAAAGTATTAAAGAAAATATAAGAATTATAGAATTTATTATAATTACTAATAATAATATTATTATTTTTAATATAATTTTTTATTAAGTTATTAATTAAATCTATAGAATTTATATACTCTTTTATATAGTTATCAAAGAAGTAACACTTATTATTAAAACTATATATAATAGATTTCTTTAGCTTAAAAAATAATTTATTATATAGATTTTCTTTTTAAAAGTTTTTATTAATTCCAGCTTCCACCGCGAGATAATAAAAAATAGAGATAAAAATATAAATTTTTTTTTTAATTTTTATATATAGGTCCTGGTATTAGTAATAGGCGTTATAAATCTTATAAAAATTAATAAAAATAATTTCTAGATATTTTAGCATATTATTAATATTATTATAAGAATTAGTTGTACTCAGACAGAGTTTAAATATTAAATATTTTTTTATATTATTTTTATAATAATTAGTAATATAAACTTTACATACTATTAAAATAATAAACTAATTAATATTAACTTCTAGTTTCTAATATATAGTTAATATCTAATCTTTAAAAGAGATATTCTTTCTATCACTAAATAAAAATAGATTAGAAATTTTTATTACTCTCTTAGGCTCAGGGATAGTTGTACTTTAAAAAATAATTAAAATCTAATAAATAATTTATACTATAAAAATATTTTACTCTTTAATAATTTTATCCTATTTCTGAGTAAGAGTGGTTATCTCTTAGCTCTATTAGTTTTACTTATTAAGGAGGTTATCTCTTTCAATCTCTAAATTATTAAAAATCTTTAAAAGAACTTTAAAAATCTGTTTTAGGTCTTTCTTATACCAGATATTAAATTTAATCTAATTAAAGCTATCTTCCCAGTCTAGTTCGTCAGGGGGTATCATAGAAAGTCATTAATTATTCTTAAGATTAAAAATCTAGTTACTTTCTTTAGTTATTTTATTTATTTAGTCAATCAGATAAGCTTTTTAGCCGTTAAACATTACTAAGAACGCGGGATAGAGACTATTAATAGCTTGGTAGGAGCTGGCCGTGTATAGTAATAAGAAATTAAAGTTATAAAACAGCTATTTAATATAATAAAATGAGGTCGTATTAGTGCTAACTACTCTAGAACTTTAAGCATAAGGAGGAAAAAAGGAAAATAAAAAGTATTATAGACACTCGCTTGAAGAAAATAATAGTAAAGCAAATATAACAAACATGGTCACATGATCCTGAATAAGGCCCTGAACGAGGCTGCCGTTACAGATGAAAAATATGAAGAATTACCTGATTTTTTTAAAATGATCTACCAATGCTGTGAATTCAATTGAATATATTAAAACTAATAAATAAAATAAAAATATTAAGTAAAAATTATAAACATAATATTAAAAGAAGAATTTAGTTAATTCAATTCAAACTAATTCAATTTAAATTAATTTAAATAATTAGATAAACCATAATGTCCATATGATTTAATTCACTATTTTAGTAAATATTTTTAAATAAATCCTGTAAAATGACCAAACTGCTAGAAACCAAATCTAAAAATACTTGAAAAATTTAATCAAGTACTTGAAAATCTGAAATTGAAGTTTACATATGAAAAAGTAAAAAAAAAATTCAAAATTTATTAAATAAAAATTCTGATCAAACTGATCAAAATCATGATAAAAATCATGATAATATAATTTAATAAAATTTTGATGATTTATTTGCTTTTACTATCTCTTTTTTAATAAATAAATCAAATATTGCAAACAAATTCGATATGAAAAATTTATAAGTTTTTAATACAGTTTTAGATACGCATATTTGTAATAATATCAACATTTTTTAGATTATTTACTAGTTGATCATTCAATAAAAGTTATAATCGGTAATACTAATACTGATATTAAAGGATTTGGTACAGTTTGGCTTGATCTAACTATTTATATTAGAAATAAATATATTTACTTTAAATTAAAAAATGTCGTCTTTATTCCTGATTTTTATTTAAATATTATTTCGGCATCAAAAGTAAAACAAAGTAATATTTTTATCAATTCTAGGATTAATCAACTTGAAACCTTAAATAATTAATCTTTATATAAAATTCATGAAGAAAATAGTATTTTATTTATAAAATTTAATCAAATTCATCAAATAATTAATGATCAAAATCAACAATTCAATTTTTTAATAAACAGTATAAATTCAATTAAATCAAAAGAATCTATATTTTTATAGTATCAACGCATGGGCCACCCAGATGAAGAAATCATTAAAAATCTTGAAAAATTAGTTAAAAATATTGATGTTTCACTGCCTAAATTAAGGTGAATTCAATCTTTATGAAACATATCAATTTTTAAATACAAATAGGTAAAGTTTATGTAGATAAATGATTACTAATCATTCAATATTTAATTGCGTACACTGGGACCTTATTTATATGGAATAAAATCTAAAACAGAAAAAATATATTAGTCATATTTATTACTTATTTACTAAATACTATTTGGCTACAGCAATTGTGCAAAAATCAGAAATTTCAAATTTAATTAAATAAATGATACAATTCATTCAAATATAATTCAAAATTTAATCTTATTAATTTTATTCAGATAATGATCCTAATCTATTTAATTAGTTTATATTCTATTCTAAAAATGGCTTAGTTTTAATACAAAGTCCAGAAAGCTAACCTGAATAAAACCCTTACTCAAAAAGGGCCGGTGCTCTAATTATATAAAAAAATTCAAATTTTATTAATTGATTCAGAAATTCCTTAATTTTATTAGCTTGTTACTATGGAAATAGTAATTTATTTATTAAATAAAACTCTAAATAAATAGCTAAACTGGAAAACACTGTATGAAATATTTTTCAATTCACTATGAAATCTGCCCAATTTTTTAACTAAAAAACCTGATCTTGTAAACCTAAAACGGTATAGTTGTAAAGCCTATATATAGATTATTAAACTACTATGGCTTAGTAAGCTTAATCCTAGAGCTCTTATTAGCTATCTGATCGGCTATATTGCTTCAAATATTTAGAAAATTTGGATTTATTTAAAAATAAAATTATTGTAGCAAAGGACTGTATTTTTAATGAAAATTCAACTTATAAAAATTCAACCGGAAAAATCAGTGAATTTTATCAAGATAATTTAGGGTAAAATCCACCTAAAGCCTTAAATCAATAAAAATTCAATGAAATTCTTGATTTAATCGAAAATGATGTACAAATTGATAAAAATTAATTAATCTTTAAAAAATAATAAAAACAATTATTTAATTGAAATTGAAAATAATGAAAACGATAAAAATAATGGAAATAATTAAATTATTAATGACTAAACAAAACAAATAGAACAAATAGATTAAATTTTAGGTAACTAATCTTTTATACTAATTCCTTTTTTACCAACAGTTTTAATTGACAATTTAAAATACGATTTTTATCATGATTATTTACTTCAAACTATTGGAAAAAGAAATTAATCTGAATTATTTAATTCTAGTCTATCAAAATTAGCAAGAAATTACGTAATTTAAACTATTTAAAATTAATTATTTCATTCACTTCTATACGCATTTTCAACTGAATTATTTAATAAAATCCTGAAAATTGAAAAATTTTATTACTGCTAGCCAACTGGTCAGAAATACAAAAATATTATTTTTCAACAGAATTTTTGAATGCAGCAAAAATTAAATATCAATAATTATAAAATATATAAATATAGACCCCTGTTCCAATTCACTAAATAAAAAATCATTAAATTTTACTGGTAAAATGGGTTTTTACATACAAATTCAATAAAAACGGTGATTTATCAGCTTTTAAAGCCCGAATTTGTGTACGCGGTGATCTTTAAGCCCTAAATTAGGAAGAAACTAGGACTTTAATCCTAATGTCTCAGACTTTACGTCTTTTATTTACTCTAATTACTGTATTTAATCTTGAAATTCGCTAATTAGATGCAGTGAATACTTTCTTGAATAGCTTTATTTAAGAAACAATTTATATATCTTATCCACCTAGTTTTTCAATAAAGAACAAGGTATTGAAATTAAATAAGACTTTATATAGTCTTCATTAATTATCTTTTCTTTAGCAACAAATAATTGGTAAATTCTTGAAAAAATTAGGTTTATAATCTATGAATCAAAGACCCTTGCGTATTCACTAATAATTTTATAATTTTAATAATTTTTATCAATAATATAATTACTATATTTCATCAAAAAAATACTGAAAAATACGAAAAATTCAAAGCTGAATTATTATCGAAATTTCAAATGAAGGATCAAGGTGAATGTTTAAAACTTTTAAATATTTATATAATCCGTGATTAAAAAAAATATCGAAAATTATAGATTTCACAAACTTCGTATATTGAAAAAATGGCTTATTAATTTAATTTAATTAATTAAAAATCACCAAACACCCCACTTCCATTAGAAAAAATTGAAAATATTGAATTTACCTGATCAAATTTAATTTTATTAATAAAAAGTTGGATTAGTATTATATTTAGCTATTATTTCACGTCCTGATATTGTGAAATCAATTTAATTATTTAGTGAATTTTTTAAAACCTTAATCCTAAATATCAACATGCAGTGAATCATCTAATTTCTTATTTATATGGAATACGATATTTATGTATTGCATATTCAGGTAAAAATTAGCAAATTGATTAAATAAATCAAAAATTTAATCAAAAAAATAAATTAAAAATCAATAAATTTGAAACACTAATTTTTTTAATAGTAAGTGATGCAGTATTTATAGATAATATAAATAGAAAAAGTACTGAGATATATATATGTAAACTTTATAATAGTCCCATTGATTGGCTAGTAAAAAAGCAAAAAGCAGTGACTTTATTTACTATAAAAGCTGAATTATTAGTTCTTATACAGGCTAGTAAATAATTTTTATGGTAGAAACGATTATTTCATACTATTGAATTCAATTTAAATTAATCTATTTTTATTGAATGCGATAATCAACAAATAATACAAATTTTATTGAATAAAAAATTAGTTTTTTAATCAAAATTAAAAATATATCGATATTCATCAAAACTAGTTTAAACAAGAAATCGATGTAAATAGAATTAAAATAAAATGGGTCCTAACCAATCAAATAATGGCTGATAGTTTAACTAAACTATTACCATATTAAAAACATCAAAAATTTATTCAACATCTGAATATGAAAAATATCGGATATATAATCATCAATTCTTAATATTCACTATTTATTTTTTATTATTCATTATTCATTTTCTTATATCCCTTTTTATTTACTATTGATCAAATTTTATGAAAAAATATAGGTTTAAAATGAATAAATTATTCATTTCAAACCTGGGAGGGTGGGTCGGCTGGAATTTCCTAATTTATTAACTAGCTAAATTTAGTAAATTAATTAGCTAATTAAATCATTAACTAGTCATCTCTGCAGGAATCGGCTATCTCTAATAATTTGACTTTTATAGGCTGGTTTCCTAGCTAACTAAGTGAATACTTGTGTTTCCCTACTTATATAAATTTATTATTTCTTCACCATGATTATATTCATTATATAAATTCATTATTTCTTTATTATAATTATATTTACTAAAAAATCTTGTTTTATCCTACTTTATCTTACATTCTAATGATTTCATGTCTTTCTTAATTTTAAATTATTCTGATCTAGGCTAAATTTATGATTATTCAGTCTGATAGATAAATAAATATAAATATAGTCTTAATTCTTGTTCATTCACTTTATTTTTTCTTTAAGTGATTCAAGCGATTCAAGTAATTCAAGTGATTCAAGTGATTCAGGTGATTCAGGTGATTCACTTTAGAATCATTTCTTTGATTAAGTTTGATTACTTCTTTATTTCCTATTTAGGAAACTTGTCTTGAATTGAAAAGGGCTAGGCCCTGTCAGCCATCCGGAATTAGAATATCTATATTCTGACCCGTCTGGTCCTAGTCCTTGATCTGATGATACTTGTAGAAAGGATAGGAATCTCTAGAGTAATAAAAAAGTTTATTAATATTATAAAAGAATCTTCTAAAAAAAGTTATTTATAAGAAAACTTAATTTATTTATAAATTAAATAGTTCTTTCTCTAGTGAATTTAATTCCTTTATAAATTATTATACTTTATATAATTTATTTAGTTTTTTAATTTATTATAGTTTTGAATTCGCTCCTTCTTTAAAATATTTATTAGATAATAGATTAGTAATATATAATAATTATAATAAACTAATAAATATCTCTAGCTACTATGGAAGCATTACCTAAACTAATATTATTAATTAATTAATTAGATATATTAAAAAACTAATAATTTAGAGCATAAAAATATAATATATTATTATTTAATAAAATATAATAATAGATAATAAGATTAGAACTAGCCTTAGATAGATTAAATAAATTATTAATATTTAATTTCTATTTTCTTAGGTGTTTACTGCGGTACTTCTATCTATATTAGTATTAATATTAGTATTAGTCTAAAATTTAATTAATATAAAGAAACTAAAACTACTAATCTTTTTAAGTTTTAATAGAAAAGATAAGAGTAAGTTCTTGAGCTGGTTTAATAATATATAAATAAAAATTAGAATTAATTAATAGTTTATTAACACGCTAGTTAAATAGGTCTAGTATATATTTATACTTCTAGATAAAAAAACTAAAGTAAAGATTAATCTATAAATAGAAATTAATTATAAAATCCTAACCTTTTTAACTATAATTTTAATTAATTATTTTAAATTAATTTACGAGGACCCAGCCTAACAGAAAAAAACTATTAGTAAATTATTTATTTTTAAGTAAAAAAATTAAATAATTAATAATTTTTTAATAAAAATTAATAATTTATTAATTAAGGCTAGAGGATACAGTTTAAAAAATTTAAATAAAAAAAATTTTTTATATTAAGTCCTGAATAATAACATTTACTAATAAATAATTAATATTAAATAAAAACTAGATTTTAAAAGTTTCTACTAATAAATTAAATAGATAGTTAATAAGCTTACGGAGGTAAACTAATTTTTAAAAAAATAACTAGAATATTTTAGTATCTAAATAAATAATACTTTTAAAAAAATAATTATAAATAATATTATAGATTAGAAATTTATAGTAATAAGTACAGGACTTACTTAATAAATCTAATAAATATTAAAAAAAATATTAACTAAATACTATAAGACAGGACTCTATATATATTATAAATCTTTAAAATATTATATTACTAAATATCTATATCTATTATTATAGTATTTTTAAGATTTAAAAAGTGTTTTGAAGGATAAAGTCTACTAAATTTTATTTAAAAATAATTTAGTTAATGAAGCTAGTTAAATTCTAAAAAATTTAGTTATCTAGTAATCCCTAATTCTAGAAAAAATATAATTTTTCTAGATTATTATCTGGGAGAGTATATACTAATTAACTAAAATTATAAAAAATTTAAAAAAAAATTTAAGAATTTAAAAACTATCATACCTTCTCTATATTAAAATTAGTTAATAGAATTTATTTTATAAATATTTTAATTAATACTAATTATATACTATATAGAATAATCAGCTAGAGTTTTATAAATAAAAATAAATTAAAATATATTTTTATCGAACCTCAAAGCATTAAAGAATTTAAAAAAAAAGATTTAAATAATTAAATTAATACAAATATTACTAGATATAAATAAGAGTTTATAAAAATATATATATCTCTATATTCTATTATATATATATAAATATAATATTATATTAGAACTTCCATAGATAAAATACTAGAATATAATATTTTAGATTAAGAATTTTATACTCTATATTTAAAGTATAAAAATAGAGATATAATATAAATAAAAATAAAATTATTTTTTAATATTATATATAATCTCTACTAATGCATGGTATACTTGAAAAAATTAAAAAAAAAATTTAATAAAATTATTTATAATAAATCTAGTAGATATTAATAAAATTTTTTATAAGCTTAATTAATTAAAAAATCTTGTAGAAATAAAGAGTAAATTATTAAAATTTTATTATAAATATTTAGATATTTTTAATAAAATAATAATAAATATTTTATTATTTTATTATCCAGAGATAGACTACACTATAAAAATAATTAAAAATATTAGAAAAAAAAAAGATCTAAAATTTTTTTCTTAAATAAACTAACTAGAGCTTTTAGTATTATAAAAAATTTTAATTAATTTTTTAAAAAAAATTTATATAAATTAGTAATTTCTTAGCAGCCGTTCCTATATTATTTATTTTAAAATCTAGTAATAATTTATATTTTTATATAGATTATTATATATTAAACTAGATAATAATAAAAAACTAGTATTCTTTATTATTTATTCAAGAAATTTTTTAATATATTTTAAAAATTTAATATTATATTAAATTAGATATTATCCAGGCTTTCTACCATATTTAAATTAAAGAAAAAAATAAATAGAAAACTATATTTTATATTTATTTTAGATTATTTAAATAATTAATAATTTTATTTAAATTTATTAATTACCCGAGTATTTTTTAGCAATATATTAACTAGATTTTATAAAAATTTTTTAATAAATTTTATTCTACTTATATTAATGATATTTTTATTTTTATAAATAAAAGTCTAGCTAAATACTATATTTATATATAATAAATACTAAGATACTTACAGAATATAAATCTTTAAATAAATATTAATAAATATAAATTTAAAATAACCACTACCAAGTACCTAAGATTTATTATTAAAATAAGAAAGAAAATCTATATAAATTTTAATAAAATTTAAATTATATAAGATTAGGAGACCCTGAAGACTACTTATAATATTAAAATTTTTCTAAGATTTATTAATTTTTATTAATAATTTCTCAAGGATTAAGAAGCCTATTTAAAATTTTTAATATAATTTATAAAAAAAAATATTAAATTTAATTAAATACTAGAGATCCAGAAAGTATTTAAAATCTTTAAAAAAATTTTTATTATTATTTCTATTCTAATATATTAGAACCCTGAATAAGAAATTCTAATAAAAATTAATTTCTTTAAATAGTATATAGAAAAGGTACTATTTTAGTAGAATAACTAGAAAATCTTTTATTCTATAATATATTTCTTGTAGAGAAATCTATTTATAAAATATAATTATTAAATTTATAATAAAAAGCTATTAGCAATTACCTAAGTTCTATAAAAGTAGAAACTAAAGCTTATTATATTTCTTTATTTTAAAATTTTTAATAATTATTAAAATTTAGAATATTTTATAATTTAATAATAATTTACAAAGTAATAGATACGTTAAGTCTAGTTTTTAAATTATTTTAATTTTATAATTAATTACTATCCAGAAATAATAAATACTTAATCTAATATTTTATTTTAAAAATCCCAGAATATACTTAAGACAAAAGATAAATATATTATAAATTAAAAAATCTAATTATTTTATTCTATATCTAAAAAGAGATTTAACTATATAATATTTATTAAAAAAATTTTTAATATAGAGATTTCTACTAGCCTAGAGCCTATAGAGCTAATACTAGATAATCTATAAAAATAAATTAAATAAATTAATAAAAACTTAAAGAAATACCGGAAAATAGTAATTAAAAATAAATTTAAATTTTCTAAATAATTAAAATTAAAAATCTTTATTATAAAATATTAATTAAATACAAACTAGTGCCTATTTTTTTAAGAATAAGTTTAAATCTCTAATTTAAAATTTTTATAAATTTAAATTATTTAAAAAATTTATAATTATATGATTACTGGATATCCTAGATAAAATTAAACTTATAAAATAATTATTTATTATTATTATTAGCTAGATATAAGTAAGGATATCTACTAATTTTATTATAATTATAATAGTTATAAAATTAATTATATTTAAAAAGATTATAAATAAAACTTTTTAAAACTACTATTAATTCTTAATTAATTTTAATAAAATATTATTATTAATTTTTTAATAGATCTTCCGGAGTCTTAAAGTTATAAAAATATTATAATTATTATTAATTAATTAATTAAAAATATTATTATTAAGGTTATTCTAAGTATAAATATAAAAAAACTTTATAAATATATTTATTTAAATATTTTATAACTACCACAAAATATCTTAGTCAGTGGTTTTAGACTGTGGTTTTTAATTTATAAATAAATTATAAATAATTTTATATAAGATCTTAAATATTAAATAATATTTTTTTATTATTTATTATTTTGAAATAGATAGTGCGATAGAATAATAAATTATAATTATTAAAATTTTTTTATAATATTTTATTAATTAATAATAGATTAATTAATAAAAATTATTATTTATAATATAATTAATTTTAAATAATCAGAACTCTATATTAATAGAAATAAATTTTTTTTTATAATATAATTTTTATATAATACTTCTAGATTTAAGTATTAAAATAAATGCCCTAAAATATTATTAAACTAAAAATTTCTAAAAGTAGGTTAAAACTATTCTTAATAAACTCTAAAAAATTTAAAATATTATTAGTTTAATAATAGTAGTAGTATAAAAAGTATAAAAATAATATACTAACTATTAATAAAACTCTGTTTCTTATTATAAAAAAATAATAAGATTTAGCTAGATTTAAAAAATATTATAATTAACTAATTTAATAAAAAGCTAGACTAATAGTATATAAAGTTTATAATATTAAAATAAATTAAAATATATATCTATAAATTAGATATATTATTTAAAATCTATCTAGTATTTTATATTAACTTATTCTAATCTACTACTATAGACTTTTTATCTATTTAAAAAATAATTAATTAATAACTAGAAGCTATTATTACAGAAGATAATATTAAAAAATATATTATTAAAAAAATCCTAGATAAGAAGAATATATTCTAAGGAAAATATATATATAAAAAAATATTTCTAATTAAATAGAAAAAATATATTATATTTATATAAAAATTAATAATTAAATTTTATAATATTAAGACTTATAAATACTAGTATAATCCTATCTATCTAATTCTTTAAAATCTATAATAAATTAGCCACGTCACAGTAAAAAGAATAGTAATTAAAAAAAAATTAAACTCTATTAGCTATCTAGAATTAGAATATTTATATTCTAACTTATCTAGTCCTAATCCTTAATCTGATAATATCTATAGAAAGAATAAAAATCTTTAGAGTAATAAAGAAACTTACTAATATTATAAAAAAACCTCTTAGAAAGAGTTATCTATAAGAAAACCTAATCTATTTATAGATTAAATAGTTTTTTCTCCAGCGAATTTAATTTTTTTATAGACTACCGTACTTTACATAGTCTACCCAGCTTCTTAGCCTGTCACATGAATCCTTTGATTAGTTTAAGTCAATTATACTCAGAAGATACTAAGCCCGATTAGGAATTTCCTTTTTTGGTTTAGCGTCTCCTGATTTTCCAACAGTTAGAATCCTAGTTATTATTATTACCTGAACCCTGCTCACCTGCTAGAACCTGCTATCCTACCACCCCTGCCTGCCCGCACCTTGACAGATCTAATAATAAGAATAATAATTAATAATAATTTTAAATTAATCTGATCACTAATTACTTCTCGTTTTTTATAATCTTTAATGGATGGTATCTTTTTTAAATAATTAGAAAAAATAAAATATAATAAAATCTATTTATTAAAGGGAAATCTATTAACTAAATAAAAGATTAATTATTAAATATTTAAGATTTATTTAATAGTAATGAAGATAGCTTATATCTATAAAATAAATTAATCTTTAAAAAATTAATAGTTTAATATTAAAAGAGTAGTATCTTATAAGATATAAAAAATTTTAATTATTATTAATAATTTTATAATTTTTATAACTACTTTAGTATGTCACTCTGAGGATCCTGATCCCGATAACTAAGCTATTCCTAGGCTATTCTATCACACTGATTCAAAACCACGTAAGCTGAAACTAGTATTTATACCATCTTATTAGGCCGCGCCCTGTATCTAGTGTTTGAGCCATATTAGGCCACACCTATTATTATTGTCGAACTTCCTCTGTATGCCTGTTCGAGGGGGCTATGTTGCGATATTCTATCTTCTACGCCCGGGGCTAGAAGGGATGTATATCTTTTGGTCTACGCGGTACTTGACAAGAAATCTTATTGGCTTAACCATATCGCTGCACTATGACCACACATGGCTCAGAATATTGGAGATCACCGCCCGTCATGCTTTCGTCTGCAGCTGGCCAGATACAGATATGTAGATTGCCGACCTGTTCAAATTCGGACGCAAGGTCATTGCACAAAGCAGCGACACGCGTGCCCTGTAAACGATCTCCACATTCAAGCACTACAAGGCTTGTCTTCAACCTAAACGACAGGGATAATATATGGTAGTAGAAGATATCTTCCTGCCTGTTCAGTGGTAATTCCGACATATACTCACCTTTCGGAGGAACCAGTGCAATCCTGGGCTCAAATCTCCGAACACTGCGTGTAGTTGTCCCATCTCTAAATGATTTCTGAGAAATATAAGGTGGATTTGATATGATCACGTCGGGGGGTCCTGTGTGAATGGATGATCCAAAGATATCATGTATATCAAGAACATTGCCTTGTCTGAAAGTGATATCCATCAGCGCAGTATCCGACAAGTACCCTCGTCGAATATTGTAAATCAAATTCTTTCTTGCTAAACCGATGGCTGTTGCGCTAATATCAACACCAAGGATGGAAGTCCGCTGTACATGCGGAGCAATGAGGGCATGTAGTAGGAGGGAAATACAGCCAGTTCCTGTACACAGATCCAGTATACGCAAGCATGTGGCACGATTCTCCGTTGGGGAACGTCCATTCTTGAGCATATCATGCAAGATCAAGCTCGCAGCATGGAAAGTGAATGTCTCAGTCTCAGGCCTGTGGTCATAAGCTATTCAGCACAGGATGCACGAGAAAATCACGACAGCATTACCTTGGAATCAGGACGCCTCTCTTGCATCGAATATCTAGGTTCCCAAATGGCTGGTCGCCAAGAATGTATTGGAGAGGAAGGCCTCGAGATCGTGCACGACACATAGATCTCAACAAGCCCCGCCATCCTATAAAATACTTAGATCTAACTGTTCTTTTGGCCAAGTTTAACTGAGCCACTTGAACTGCCCGATCCCTGAGCCAGCGCAGCTCATTTTTGGCCAAACTAAGTGATCGACATTCCTGGAAGAGAAGTGGTAGAAGAGGGTCTTGTTGATATGCGTTCAAAATGGTTCGATTGGGTATTCGTGGCATGGCTTCTTCTAAATATATGAAATGTTACTTGCTATAAAACCGTAACAGACGAAAAATAAGGTTGCTGGTTTGCTGGTTCGGTACACCTTTTTACTCCCGTGCAGCTGCACTAGCTTAAAATGGGTCATATCTTAGTATTATTTTGCGAAGCGCGTTAGCGCCAAGCCACTCTAGAGCCCTATCTAGATACATCTCTTCAAATAGGATGTTTCGGCTTTTATTTGGTGTATTATATAAAAAGTCACATTGGTTCATATTTTCATATGTAGCAATGGCTTACTTATTTCACTTATATGGAGTATTCACCACACCACTTCAACTAAACAAGGGAGAGAGGAGAGGTATGCAAGTCTGAACCAGAACTTTACGTGTAATCAGCCCGTAATTCTGGACCAAGTACTGCAATTTAGATGCTTATTGCGACGCTTCGCAATCTTTTGGGCGGTGGGGACCGCAGGCCACGACCTAGATGGCAACTTGAAATTGCGAATGTACCGGAACACCTTGCCGGTAGTCCTTTTCCTCTGGAAAAGGGCGGGTTCTCTACGAAGTATTCATCGCTAGATCTATCACACTCACTGTCGGTACCTATTTCCTTAAACATATACAACTCTCATGGTGTGCTCTATGCAATTCGGACGAAAGATATACACAAGTATAATATATATATATATATATATATATATATATACCTCGAGTAAGAGGCTCGCGATAATTTTGTCAATATAACAATTCATCCAATCAATATCATGAAGGCGAAAAGGGAAGAGCTTAGAACAGAAAGCCAGGGGTATCGGGACACAAGAGCGACTATAAGCGGACAGGTCCACTTAACGCACAGACACAAAAGCAGGCAGGAAAGAGAGGCGAGGATCAGAAAGGTCCTCATTAAAATGGGTAAATGAGGGAAACTCAGACAGCCAGCATGAATCCAATTGCAGCAGCACTCAACGCTAAGTGTTTTGGAACACTAGTCAGCTGTGTAGCAGCACCGCCACTACTCGTCGTTGATGGAATATCTGTGAATATAGCACCTGTCGGTCCCCCGATCCGTGCCCCAGAGCCATCAACTGCCACCGTTGTGACAGGATGAGCAACCCTAGTGGCCCCAGGGACAGAGTCTTCTCCAGTTCCAATTTCCAAGATGTTGTCTCCCATGGCGTCGAAATTCGTGTTGGCGAGTGATATTTCATTATTCGCTAGATCGTAGACAACATACGCACTGCGCAAGAATGTGTCTCCTAAAACAGCGGTACTGTCACCAGCGGGGACGATGCCAAAGATACATGCACGTTCGCCGTCCTGGAATAGGAGATCTCCTACATCGAGAACAAGCTCGGCCACCCCGACAGTGATAGCAGGCGATGAGAATGTGTAGGTGATGTTAGTGTTGTTTTGCGACAGGCTGCACGGCACATATCCAACACCAGATGACTGTTCATATACGACATCAAAATCATCATAGATGTCTGCAACGATAGAGTCCGGGAGATAGGTAAGGGAGCTTCCAGAATCAAGCAAAACAGCAGCAGGAAGCGCATTCGAAGAGTAATTGCGATTGCTTGACCCCGAATTGAAAGCAACGCCTGTGAGAGCAATGATAAATTCAGAGTAAATGCCATCAACCCTCTGGATGGGAAGCGTTTGCAATTCACCATGATACTTCTTTGTGTTTACACCCCCAAAGAGAATGGAACCGGTGTTTGCATTAAGATCATTTAGCCAGAGACTGTAGGCATTTGATTTTATCAGATTATCCTTCACCATTGCCCTAGGAAGGTTAGGGTAGGCACTTTCACCGAAGCGGCCCACCTGGACCTCATTCGAAGTATAGCCGAGGCCCAGAACGCCCTCTATGGGTAACAAGAGTCAGATTCAGACATACTGATGCCGGCGTCTCGATTATGATGCGACTGAGAGTATGTAGAATTCACGTACCCGATGAACTGGAGGAATATCCAATTCCAAATTGGAAATTTTCCAGAGTCGCACCTCCTATGTGAAGGGTATCAGTTGCGTAAACTCCAGCCGCGCCGCTTCCATCCGCATAAGAAATATTAAAATCAGATGAAACATATGCATATGTTGACGAGTTGTTGGAGCTGTAGGTGCCGGATGTACGGCACGGATCCGTGGACGAAGAACACAACGTTGAATTCGCTGCATTGCACCATAGATCGCTGCTTCCAGTATCCAGGACCAGTCGTAAGCTCTGTTTCGGCGTTCCAAGTGTCACATTACAGAAATAAAGCGTTTCCTGGGGGTATCCGTGTCAGCAATCATGTTTAGGGCCTAATTGTAGAGCATGCTCATATACCTCATTATCAAGAGCTTGGCTAACTGTTGTTGTGTCTCGTTTTCGTCTGGCGCGGTCTCTCGCCACCGGATCTGACACATCGTTGCGTTTGATATCTAAGGCCACAACTGCGGGTATCTCTCTTTGCCGGAGTATCAAGGCCTCCGATGTCTCAAATGAAACGAGAGAGACGGCAACCAGAAGGGACCAAACTCCCCACATTATGGCCTCCTTCTATCTTTTCTTTAGAGCTCGTTATCCCACAACCCGTGTTGGGGCGCGTATTGTATATGCAACAGGTACGATCGGATTTTCACCGATGCTGTCTGTATTATCTGGTGTATAAAATATATTCTCACGTTTGTCCAGCACAGAACTCGGATGTGTGTGCAATCAAACAGGGCTCAGTGCTGAAATTGGCTGTGGCACAAGTGAAACGAGATAAGATTTTGGTGGTAGAGAATATACTAACACTGACTTTTGGCCTCCACACATGGTTAGTGACACGGGGCATGGTGTTACTTATTATATGGTAGCAGGTAGATTAGTAGACTGGATGTCGTTCACAGTTCCTGTTGGACCGGGACTAGTCGGCTGATTGACTCGGGCCCAGATCTCCGCGCCCCCACTCATCACAGGTTGAGTTCTCAGACAGGGCAATAATATCATCGGGCTGCTGTACTGCTGTCGTCATCATATGTGGGTCCCAGTAGACACTTAACTATTTATGGACTACGGAGTACTCCGTACTGCAGTGATCACTTCTACATAGTATCATTACTACATAGTATGCAAGCAATATGTTACTGCAAGCTACGTACCTGTTTTGCCTGTACCACAAGTATTACAATACACGCTCAGCACTTGAAGATTTCGAAAGACTACATTTCTTGGCAAACACCTATTGTTAGAAGCGCATTCACTGAAACCTTGATTTAGGTGAAAACAGCATTGACGGATTGGGCCTGCCCTTTCCGGAAGCTTCGGCTACCCCGGAAAGAACATGGCCCAAGACTCTCACATTGAACTGTGTACACCGTACGCAGTAAGTACTAATTGATTAATTATTGTTGACTGAACTATGATGAGACACCCAGTTTGAGACAGTTCAGGAAGAGATGCTGCGCACCCCGCTGAGTTTCTCATCATTAGCCCTGAGGAGTCCTACATGCACCATGTAGTCTTACCTAAAGTCCTCTTTCTTTTCTAGAAATAATCAACACTCTTGAACCAAATCATGCCTGCACCGCCGCTCTGGCGGCATTTCTCCAGGCTGCATTTAGAAATCGCTCGAAATCTAAAAACAGTGGTCTCACAAAGTGATCGCGGTTCATTAGTCAAAGTTATCTCAATATCTTATAATTGCTACCTAGGGCCAACTTCAATTACAGTAAGTAGATTTGGGGTGACTAAACCTTGGCGCAGGTTCATGAAAAAGATACAACGTTATATAGTCATATGTATAATTCGCGCCGTTGACGAGACTGCTGACTATCGTACACTCCTTCTCGGGGCAATTACATATCAGATGTAGAACTGAGCTTGTAGGTTCTGACGGTACGTATACGTCATATAATGTCAAGGCTACTACCGTGTAGACCAAAAGGATATAACCCTTCTAGCCACTAATGTAGAAGACATAAGCATGTCCCAACATATAATATATTGAAGATGATTCCCCAATAGCACATGGAGTCCCTCATCGGCCAGAACACAACAATCCGCCCCTATGAAACAGGATAGTATCGACATGATCTCCTGGTGTAGGCAGCAGCATTACACTAAGGATCCAGTCGGTTAAACCATGTTGCAAACAAGGTAAAACACTTGTGCCTAATGGAGCTGCAATCACTGTACTCCAACAAGATACTTTGACGGGAGCTTGAGGATACATGTATGACTTCTCGTTGAATATTATTGCTTGCACATGTGATTGCGGCCTGACGATTTTTATTATCATCTCGGACGCAAACATGAGTTAAATACTTCTAGCTGTAACCTTACATCCATCACTCTATCTGCGTCCCCGAATATCTGTGTAATAAATATATGGAGAAGCAAAGGCAAACCATACGAAACCAGACCACAACAATACAGTGAAAGACAGAATGCATGTGCACGAGAAGAGAGGAAGATAGGGCAAACTAGAGAGCGAGCGAAAAAAAGGCAGGGTGCACCAAAAAGTGCTTTCATAAACCCATGACTTCCCTCACTTGTTTCATAGTCGACTCGGCGTTTGATCGAGCGGCCTGAGCGCCCTGTTCTGAAACATCATCTAGATAGCAACTGTTGTCACCCATAATTGAGAGATATTTATCTCTTATAGGCCGGAGATGAGACGAGATTTGCCTAGCGAGGTTTTCCTTTAGAGCCCGAAGACTTGTCGACTGATATTCCGAGGCTAGATCTTGGCACGACTTTCCCTCAAAGTGACCAAGGAGCTCTAAGAGGTTAGACACGCCCGGCCGACGAATTGGATCATAAGTTATCATTGTATCTGAGTCGGTAAGCGCGGCCTTGATCTTTTTATGGATCTGGTCAGGGGAATCAGTCAGAAGAACCCTTGACCGCTCGTCGACATGGGATTTTGACATCTTTTGAGTCGGCTCTTTGAGTGACATGACTCGCTTCGCGGGTGCTATAGAACAGGCGTCATTAGGCTAACAAATTTCCCCGCCGGCAAACCGGAAAAGCACATATATATATTAAAGCAAGACTCACATATAAGTGCTTCTGGAGACGGAAAGACCGAACCATAGACATGGTTAAAGCTATTCGCGATATTTCTAGAGAATTCGAGGTGCTGTTTTTGGTCTTCCCCAACCGGAACATGGGTAGCTCTGAGCTGGATTAGTCCACAATCACACTAGATGTTGGCGACATCAAACCTATGTACTAGTATGTCTGCTGCCTGGAGAACAGGGTATGAGAACAGGCCGAGTCGCAGTTTTGACCTGGCAGCTGAAGTATCCAAAGTTGTGTCGTCAGGCAACTGGAGTTTACTCTAATTGGTGTCAACATTGACGCTATGCTCTCCAATTTCTCTGGATATGTTCCATGATCGTGTTTTCCGCTCATTTTCGTGGTTGCTCACCTTCCATTGAGTCATTCGTGACAGGTACCCCATGGAGGCTACTGTACACAATATCCAGAATAACTCCGCATGTGCCTGTACCTAGCAGTCGATCAGCGCGAGAAGTCTATTAAGATCAATCAACCACATACAGAAGACTGGTAGAATATCGTTGAGCGACTCGGATCTAGGCCCACAGCTAATAAGGTAGCAAATGCCTCTTTCCTCCATCTTCTCAACTGAGCGCTCTCTTGGGGTACCGTCAACGCATGTAGATCCACAATGGAGAAATATAAGGTCGTCCCTTCTGTCGCATCGTCTTGTAACCGAACCCATTCCCTTAGCGCACCTAAGTAGTTTCCCAAATGTGGCACGCCTGTAGGTTGGATTCCGGAGAATATCGTTCGATTTATATCCGGCGAGCGGAGAGTTTGACAGCTACGCCATCTTCGGAAACAATGGCTATTCGGCTTCCAATATTCGAACTTTGATCGCAAACAATTCGAGCTGATCCGAGAAATCTTAGTAAGGCCTCGGCCACAACGACCTATTTCAGCATGCATGGTTTCCTCTACTGTCACATAAAGGCTTGGAACTAGCTGAGAGAATACCCCGGTGGCTAACGAGGTAGGTACGGAGTACGCCGTCCATAGGATATGTCACGTGCCATTAGTCTTGAACCAGATGGGCAAAACATACAGTTTAGCCGATTTTTATTGCTAAGGCAACATCGAGGGAAATTATTCATGACGTGAACAAATTCGACTTGATTACATAAAGGAAGACTACAACATATAGGTTGCATATTCATAGATATATTACAGAACATGTCATGGCTGGCAATCTGTACATGACAAAACGGTTAGAATAGGATGGCAGACGAAACCTCTATAAACTAATAACAGACAAGGTGACAAGATAATATACAGGATATATGACAACAGAGCAATTACGCCTTGCGGACCGTAGTCAAGGGGCCTCTGTATGCAACGAATCGCTCATTGTCAAGAATATCTGAAATCGAGTCCTGCGACCTTGTATCTTCTCGCTGGCCAAACTGTGAAAGGTAAGGCTCGAGTGTCTTCTCAACATCCGGAAGTGTACTGTCCATGCTCTCAGCCACATCTATTTTCAAGAAAATGTTAGTTATTTCGGAGATACTGAGTTAGAATGAAGTGTAGTGGTGCTATAATACCAAGGCTTTCATGTTCCCAGACATTAGCTTTCATGCCGACTCCATAGAATGCGTGCTTGCGCAAGAAAGCTAGCCATGCCTGTACAACCTGGGGATTACCGTCTTTGATTTGAATCAACCGACGGAGTGTTATTCTTTCGAAGTTTTCTTGACTTTTCTTGTGTACGAAGTTGCTCCGAGGCATAGTCCAGCGTTCAACCATTCGTGGTAATGGTACTGGCCCGGAAACAGGAAGCTTCAGGTAGTAGGCAGCTCTCACAGCAAAATCGGCAAAGAATTCCACGTTTCGAACACTGTAAGACCTCAACTGTAGGTCGCAAACTGGGAGTCCGTATTCAGCCTTCCTCCGAAGGGGTCGTAGGTATACAGCCTGAACACTCCTAGGTAGTCGAGCCTTGCTGTTAATGCTGTCCAGGCGTTCCTTCCTAAGCATGTGTGAGTGCATGTCATTTAAGATAATGTATGCCTGGATTGTGTTCATAAACCGGACCATTCTTTCGCTGGCAATTCGAAGGCTTGCCTATTTAGAAGCAGGTTAGCCTTGCGTCTGTGTAGGGGAGTTAGAGGAGGAATTGCTAACGGTGCTCGTAATTCTGCTGAACCTTCGGTGGCATGAATATGTATGGGTGACTTAGCAAGCTGATCTGCGTCGGACGAGGTACCATAATTTCTAGGACATGCCAATAGCTAACAGATATGAATATGGTTTCACTGGATGGTATAGAAAGGGTAGGAGGGAAAGACTACCTGTAACTGTCTACCAGTCCTTAAAAAAAGTCGAGAATTGAGAGAGAGAGACATGGTTGAAAACATAAGCTTGTGAGGACTAGACACCAGAAGCGCGTAAAGAGATGGCCTAGTATAATGTTCCTACGATCACCTGGAGCATTTTTTGCACCGGCTTGCCGGAGAATACGATGATCAAGCCATTCATGATTGGCTACATGTTTGACCGCCTTGATTTTCTGGGGCTCCTGGTTGATCACATGATGATACTGAGGCGTGGAAAGAGCACTGCACCTATTGTTGTATTTCTTTTATAATTCATTACATTCCCTTTTCCGTAAGAATATAGCGGGGCAGTTACTACGACCCTTGCTATATGGGTTCGAATGATCCTGGCGGTTTTCTCTCATCAACAAAGTTTACTATCCATTCAGGGCGAGCTTTTCAGGTTAGGACACAGAGTCGCCATCCAGCAGCATGTCGTTTCAGCACGTAAGTGAAACGTTCTCATTCTTGAGAGATCGTCTGCCAGAATGTTTGAGAACCCCTCAAGTTGCAATAATCTGTGGCTCTGGTTTGGGAGGGCTTGCGAGCACAATCCAGCGCTTACCACAAATCGAGTTTGACTATGCTTCTATACCCCACTTCCCTCGCTCTACAGGTAATCGCCCCCTTATATCTCTGCAGTTGTGAGGCCCTACACTCACTTCAAGGAAAAGTCGCCGGACATGCAGGAAAACTTGTTTTTGGACTTCTCAACGGAGAAGTCCCTGCAGTGTTGATGGTTGGCCGTGCCCAGTGAGGTTCCTCCAACGACAGCGCCAACACAGTGCAGCTCACTAACTACGAAAAAGTTACTATGAGGGACATTCCATTGATCAGGTCACATTTCCTATACGTGTGTTCAAACTTCTAGGGGTTGATACCTTAATCTGTAAGTTATATTCTACCTCGAGGACATGGCGCACACATGGTTCATCTGCTAACAATGTATATGGACCCATAGTAACCAACGCTGCCGGGGGTCTGAACCCCGAATATATGGTAGGAGACATTGTTCTGCTAAATGATGTAAGTAAGCCTATTACCATCTTATCATTCAGGAACACGTTGGTATTGACGAATAACCGTAGCACATATTCCTGGCTGGACTGGCGGGAGTTCATCCATTACGGGGGCCAAATGCTGAAGAGTTTGGTCCTCGTTTCCCTGCTCTATCAGATGCTTACGACCTGGAATTGCGCTGCCAGGTCCACAACGCCTGGGTCACGACTGTGGGCGCAGAAAACAAAAGGAGACTGCACGAGGGAGTCTATGCCTTCGTTGGGGGACCTAGGTAAGTCATCGCCTTGGTAACAAGAATAAAATTTGAAATGCTGAACTTTTCAGCTATGAGACGAGAGCCGAATGCCGTATGCTTCGCCAACTAGGCGCAGACTTAGTTGGCATGTCAACAGTGCCAGAGATCGTTGTTGCCAGGCACTGCGGTATCCGAGTCTTGGCCCTCAGCTTGGTAACGAATAATGCAGTTCTTTCACCTGTTCCCCGTGGAGACGACCATCTTCTCCAGGGAAAGAATGTGGATGAGCTAGACACGATATTGCAAGAAGGCAAAGCGGATCATGAAGAAGTTCTTGAAGCTGGACGCACCGCCGCGATGGATATGCAGGTATGTACCACATCTTATCCATTGTCACGTGCTGCTAGTGACATCCGACTCAAGAGGCTCGTTATACAAACTGTTGCAAATGTTTTCAAACGAAGCTCCCATGGTGACGCGACCGGTAATCAATGATATTAAGCACAGATGCCAGTGACGGTTGAACCGCAGCGATCAAGCGTTAAATTTGGTGTCAGAACGCCGAAAAGGGCCCATGAGATCCAGAGGGGTTCCGAATTAGTTGTCTTTCCAACAGCTGGGTATAATGCTTGTCCGTGGAGACAAGCTAGATAATTCACTTGCTCCTGTTCTTCCTTTTCGCTCGCAAATTGTTGTAGTAAGACCGTTTACCGCTCTGTTTCAGGGTTTGGATGTCCCTATACTTAGCCTCAAACCGCTTATTTTCCCGCTCCACTGCCAATGCCTCTTCAACAAATGTCTTCTTTCGATCTCTCTTCACGATGCGACTACTGAAAAATTCTGTTGGACCTTCGATGATTGTTCCTACATGGGAATACTGAGGAACGTGTGCTTTACCGCTCTCCTTCTTATAGTGTCTTTTTGGGTCCAATACCGAACGCATTCGGAGTAACTGGAGGTCTCTCTTGAGTTCTGCCGTTAACTCTGTCTTCGGAAGATCGAACCACGCGCTGCCGGCTGTAGGCTTGTCCTTCAGATATAATTGGTTAGCTTTCGTTCTCCAAGTGTTATGAAAACAAAAGAAAGTAAAAATAAAGCAATGCTCAGAGTAACTATGAAACAAGAAGATAACTCTCATTGGCGCAGCGCAACCCAGTACGGGTTGTTAAGCTGCATCAAGCGCTCACGCGATGGGATAAAATTTCCTCATAGCAGATTGGAAAAAAAATAAGAATAGCGATAATATACAAAACAGCCAAACTTACCTTTGAACTTGATTTTGATGCATTGAAACCAGCTGACTGCGTCGTGGTAGGTAGCATGTTGTCGGAATCACCCGTTATTCTGGCTGGATTGATAACTGCAATGTCATCTACCTGACGAACGTATGGCCGCAGAGAATCCCTAGATGCCAGCTTTGGGACACTAAGCAAGATCATGTCAGCCTTCAGCGGGGGAAACAGCCAATATAGATGAAAGGCAAAAAAAGCCTACACATACTGTACCGAAATAGCATCTGTGCTGTCTTCAGCCGAGCCATTGGTACCAGCTGCATTGACTTCAACACTGCTGGGTCTTAGTCGATCCTCAGCCTCGTAAAGCAACTGCTCTATATCCTGATCATTTAAACCAACCTCACCCTGGGGTGGGATGCCGGCAAGTTCAACGCATGTTGCTCCTGTCATGTCCTGTGGGGAGTAATACAACAGACGCAGGATACAAAGTATAAAAAGGAAGACAAAAGTCGGATGGCCTCAAGCTAGGTATTTATAGCGGAAATCCAAGGCTACCTTTTTTGCTCGAAATGGCTGGGGTCATGGAAAAATTTGTGCTGTGGGGCGAAACCCGACCTTAGATCCTTGGCACCGTACTCCGTACTTGGTAGTGGGTATGCTGGTAGTCTGGTACAGAGAGCACTTCTCTCTACTCAACGCTCGGTGCTGCATGAATGTATCGTATAGCTCGCTAGTTTGACCTTAGAGCTATCAGTTATCTAGATAGGCAGCCGTGTCTCTGGGCTACGTACCAAATGGCCGGCCCGATCTGTCATAAAATCGACATTCGCCAATTTTTATGACAACATCAGAGTAGAGTCCGGCGCAACGTCTCCGGTACGGAGTAACATTCCACCATATAACCGTATAATAACTACGGAGCACGGAGTAGTAATCAACCCCCGCAGTGTTTGGGATGCCAAGAGGCTTCTGCTAGCGTCACTCGAGCTGCGCTAGGCTTGGCGCGCCGTTGTTGCACACCCAACTACCTACGTACGTACGGAGTACAAGGGCTTCTCTTAGGTCTCCTTGGGGCGCCTGGTCATCCTTTACCTCATTTCTAGGTCCTCAATTTACCTGCCCGATAACTAGGGTTTTTTACTGGTCGCTTACCCCTCAACTCCGTCATCAGATCGGCTAACTCGCCTTTGGCTTCGTCGCGTCGCATAGCGTCCGCTGCCACCTTGTGTAGGGAACGCCTTTCCATCTGCTATCCGAACGAGCTTATAGCGGCATTACTGCGAACGTATCACCTTCAGTAAAGACGGTTGGAAGAGTCATCTTATCATGGAACAAGCTGCGCAGAACGCTGGACAACAGCAAGGCAGGCAACAGCCCGTTTACGACACCAGAAATGGTGGGCATTATGGTAATTTTCCCATGAGACAATTGAAAGTCCTAAGCTAAGTCACTGACTTTGTATCCTTAGGTGCCAGCGCAGCGGTACGGTCATTCTTGAAGGCCTGCAAGGCAGCTTCTGTTCTTTCAGCTGACCTGCTATATTCGTCTAGCTTTCTGCACAAGGTTATGCGCCTGTTGCCGAGCTTTATACCGGCACGTGGGCGAATGTGAGTTTTCTGGGCCTGACGCTCGCTTGATCACAGAGTATATTTATGGCTGATACTCGTCAGGTCAACCAAGGTCTGCAGGGGACAGCCCGCGATATCCTTACGACGTATTGGCAGCATATCATCAATCATCTTGAATCAGACAACCACGATTATAAAATACACCAACTACCACTTGCCCGCATTAAAAAGGTCATGAAAGCCGATCCAGAAGTTAAGATGATATCAGCAGAGGCGCCGATACTTTTTGCAAAGGGCTGTGATATCTTTATCACTGAACTGACTATGCGGGCATGGATCCATGCAGAGGATAACAAGCGACGTACACTACAGAGGTCCGATATCGCTGCAGCACTATCGAAGTCTGACATGTTCGATTTTCTCATTGACATTGTACCCCGTGAGGAGGCCACGTCGCATGCAAAGCGATCTAGTCAAACAGCTGGGGCTTCTGCAGGCGTTGCAGGCCCTGCCGGCGCCACCGGCCAACTGCCCCCGTCCCAACATGGTGTTCAACATCACATGCCTCCTCCAGACTATAGTGCCCTTGGACAACATGGCCTTCAAGATCAAGAATATCGACAGCCGACAATGTATGCCGGGGCTGTCCAGTCGGACCCAACGGCAGCCTATGGCCAACACCAGCCTCAAATGTTCGAAGGAATGTATGCCGCCTATCCGCATCTGCCACCACAGCAGGTATGTTAAAGAGCCCCCATCTATAGATCGTTCTTTATCTGTTTTGTGTACTTGCATCTTCTCCCTTCGACTAATGTTTGGGCATGAGAAGTGAGCGATAGGGCAATTGAAAGTCAAGTACAGGCTAGGCCGCTGACAGATAATATTTGTTACCGCCCTATGACATCTCTTTCGTTATATTGTTGAAGTCATCGGCTATGTTACTTAACGTAAAGTAGCGACTATCCGTTGCAAACGCTACAGATATTTTGCTTAGCCGATCTCATACCCAGTTCACTTATGGAATATATTTGGTTGATGTATGATTTTCCCCGAAGATAAGCAGCATGACGCGTTCAAAGATATGACAAAGTAGTCCAGGTTGTCAGCTTTATGACTTCTTACCAAATCTCGATGAAAGGGTGGCAAATTTATCCGTCTTCGCAGGACTTTGAACGGTACGTATGATCCTTCTAGCTGGTTAATAAGGACAGATAATGATGCTGGAGAACGTACTTTTCCAATAGAATTGGGCCGTGGATAGCATCTACACGACCATACTTCTTGTTTCGTGTAGAGATGTCATAGAATTCGTCAGTGTTGTCTGCTTGCATCAACTGCACTGTCTGCTGCAGTTCATCGAGATTTTCCCGGAGGATAGGGACACCGAGACTGTCGACAAACTGATATAGGTATTCGACATCTTTTGCAAGAGCCATCACGCCATTGGGGTTGATCCTCTTTACTTCCGCAGAGAGAGGAAGTGCCTGGACAAAATCAGTGAACACAGCCCCGACATATATCTTGGCACTACATACAAGAATCATATTGGCAGCATGGCTGAGCGCATCAAAATATATGAGTTCTTTGATTTCTGTCGGTAGGCCGAGCAATGTTGAATTCATGATGTTTGATAAAAAACGCGTCAGTGTCTGCATGTAGTTGCTCGGCTCAGCCGGTGGAACAGATGCCATCCAGTCGTACTCGGCCGTTTCAATAAGGTCATCAATCTTGGAATTGACAACCTCAAAAATACGTTTCTCTGCGGCCTTCTTATTGCTTCTAAACTTCTCAGTAGCATTCAAGGTGACTACATCACCAGAAACATTCTGCGATCTAGCAGCGGCGAGTAACTGCTCAAGTTCACGACAAGCGAGTTCAAAATGTTCCAAGTTTATTAGGATTTGCACGATCTGACCCAGATATTGTGAAGACAGACGTTCAACAAGCGTGTCACAGACTTTGCTAGATAGAAGCTCATCCAGCGCCTGACTTGGTTAGCAATGCCCATAGCCTGTTCAATATACTTACATCTCTCAGTGTTTCGTCTATGACGCTAAGATGGGAAAAGTCATCATTGGCAAAGAAGTAGAACTGATTTAGAAAGTTGCGGATGTCAATGCAGCATAAGGGATACATCTGGGAGAACGGCAAGACACATGGAAACCTGCACCATAGTCAATATAAATGGCATACACTTTGAGAATGAAAAACGTACGCTTGTTCCTCTCTTGGCTTGTCAGGACTATACCAACTGACATTCAGTACTTTATCAAATTCTTCAATCGTCTGGATTGGCATAGGCATATAATCATCGGTTGACACAATCTTGAACGATATTCAGTACAGAGCCTGGATGAAAATGTTAGAGGGCATACCTCTTGAAAATCATCACTGAATCTCTTCTTCAGCAACTCTGCGTATTTTTGGAACAAAGTCAGGAGAAAATCATCAAACACTTCGACGAGGAATTCCCAGGTCTAAGATGTTATTAGTTTGAAGCTTTGGTAATCTTTAGGCCGGGAATTCAACAGACGTTCATTGTTTGCATAAATAATGCGATGAGATTTTTTATTTTCAGCAGACTCTCAGCATTATCAACCTCATGGAGTGCCTTTGATATCAGGATCACTGCCGTCTGGCACATTGAATCCCATAGTTCATCGACCTAACCGAATTTGTTCAGTATACTATAATTTCCATAGCTTAGAAAAAGAAACACACATCAACCGAAGACCTAAGATCCGGGACTCTCTTCATTGTGGAGCGTTCGACAATGGCGAAGCCAGCCATTTCTTCGAGAAGGTTGTGTAGACTAGCACCGTCTTCATCGATGAGAGTTATCGATGTCGGGATCAGAAGCTCCTTCTGCCGACGTCGTGTATTAGCGTACTCGATTCGAAATCTGTCCATACGTCCCAATGAACGATGGATATGGAGGCATTCGAATAAGGGCGTAAAGTCGACCTGGAGTTCCTCGTTCTGTAAGAGATCGTATTCTTCGCTCTCATCAGATACCAGCTCGATTGCTGAATTCAGCTTAAATTGGCCAAGGTACGGCGATTTTTCTGTCCTCTCCTTTTGCCTGGTCTTGCGCAGGTCTGTATGATATAAAGCAATCTCTCCAAGATACTGCGACATCTCCCGAATTCTGTAAAGCCAAGTATTGAGATCAGACATGACTGCCTCCGCTATTGCTTTCTGCATTGTAGGAACTGAGCGCTGAATCATATCAGCAATCTTATACTGCGTCACCCCCTTAAGATGAACATTTTGCAGTTCTTCCAGGGCGCGAAGTGCGGCATAGTGATTCTTCTTGGCGAGCAAATCATGGACTTGGTTTGCGAGACGCAAAACCTCAAGACAGTCTCGTATAGCTCGAGATGTCTCATCAATGTTTTGCCGGTGACTCCGTGACTCCACCAAAGCTCTCTTCTGCTCGGCCAGCTTTTCCGTACTTGCTTGTATAGACTGGTTGAGGTCCAATATCTCAGAGGTCAGGCTAACCGTACCTTCTCTGATGCGTAGAAGTTGGTTCACTGAGGTGACAAACTCCTGGTGATTTGTGTTGCAAATGGTCTCTATCTCGGCTTCCTTGTCACTAGCAAATCTAGACAATGTCTGCAATAGTTGGGATGTTCGGTTTCCAATGCTGTACTCTTTAATCGAAGGGATCAATTGATCGAGGTAGTCGGAATCCGAAGGAGATATGATAAGCTATGAGAAATGATGAGTGAGTGCTCCATCATAGAATCCATTTTTCCTCGCGTACCTGGTTCAGGAGGTATGACGATTCATTGCGAGATGGTGCCACGGACGGCATATTGGCGATTTCGAATGTGAAGTTAGGGCACTATCTAGGGTTTCAGAATTGACACTGTTGAAGGCTGCAGATAAGAAAAATAATCGATCCGGGCGATAAATTGATCAACAATAAGCTTTGAGGTGTCAGGAATAGCTAAAGACGTATTGTTGTAGAAGGGACATGGAATGCCCAATATAATCGAATCAGGGGATCACTCAGTTTCAGCGTGTAGGAACATACTGTACCTATGTTGAGGTCACACAAGTTGTAGGAAATAGTAGGAGGGAAAACGCAGTAATAGCTTGGTATATACCGAGAACTACGTGCACCCTACGCCGTACCGGCTTCCGAGCCTCGGCCGTTGCGGGGATCTTGAAGATGGGGCATGCATTCCTCTAGCTCCTTTCGGTAAGGACCTTTCCGCTGCGCAAATTGCATGAAGTATATATACGTGACTACAAAGTACTTCTTACTGTGTAAAGTGCAAGCTCACTCCTTAGCAAGGAATACTGCTGAAGCTCGATTTTCTTGCTACTTCAGGGATGATAGTCAGGTATTAAATTGCCAACATATACTATGTAGCGATTGTGGCCGGAGATTTTGAATGTTAGCAGTATCCAAGTCCCTATCAGAAAGTTCAAAAGCCTTGCCTTACCTATTTTTTTTAATTAATCACCTTTGTCGCGTATGTGCAATGGTAGTATACTGTAGGATTAGACAGCCATGAAAGGCACTGAGTACAGTCCGCCGTTATGAGAGAGACCCTTAAAGCCCCTTGCTTCAGTAGTGGCACTTATCGTAATCATTTCTGCAGCGTGGAAGCATCACATTCTGGAATACTTGCACCTAAAAAGGCCCCAGGGCCCATAAAAACTAGATAGAGATACAGCCTGTCAGAAAGTAGCTGAAATAGCAATATATACTTATACTAGGAAAGTGACGGTGATGCTGATCTTGGTTACTTCCCTACTAGCATTCCCTGATTGGCAACACGCCCGCTTGTTCTAGATTATCTTGGTATACTCAATTGTCATAGAAATGCTACATTTCACCCATCCTCATACAGCCCAGGACATAATTAAAACGCTGTTCTTATTAATATGCACCAAAAAAAGCTCTCACTTCAAATCAAAATAATGAAGGATGAACAAATCACTTGCCATATCTATTGCTTTGGCAGTCGTAGAAAGACTACTACAAGCTCCGAATTGAGGTATATATATAATAATCATAGTTATTGCCTGAACATCAACTCCCTGATATCTTACTGCACCAAACGGGACTTATGCGGCCATTAGGTACGTCTGGGCTAGTAGACCCAGTGAAAACATCCTTTCTATTCGTTCTCCACCCATGGCGCCCAGATTGATTGGGCATGGTGGCTGTGGTTTTGTTGTAGTATGTGTAATGACAGGTTCTATACGCAGCGTGCTTCTAGGTTTCTTTCATGAGACATGCTCCATCCACCCTCATTGTTTTTCTTCCAAACGTGTTTCGTTCATCTCCTCCTGCATTTTCTATGCACCCAGCAGTTCCCTTGACTAAGAGATTGGCCCTGGATTGGTGGTCTGCTTGAGCATTCCTCTAAGCGAGAAAGTGCTCTTATTCAATATCACACTTCATGATACAGTCCTCTTATAGAGTGTTTCTAAGTGCCCTTTGACTGTGTGAGTTTGCACCTACTGCTTTAAAAAAAAGCACGGAAAAGAAGGCGATTTGCTACATTCGGCTGCGGTCTTAGGAACAGCCTGACAGGATGAGGGCGAACGATTCCTCCCACAACTTAAGCAGTCCCTGCTCTACAAACGAGATAGGATCTGTCAATGGATCTCCGGATACAAAGCTTACGGCATACTCCCCTGAAGATATGCGATCCAAGTGTCTCTCTGAGTCCCGTGTTGGTGATCCATTAAGCGACGCTGGGATCCTGAAACTTTACTCAACGTAAGTACCCGCGAGAAATATAGGGCTCTCGCCTTTTAGTAAGAAGTACAGGTCTTCTGATCCTTTCCTGGTATCGACGAGCACTTCTACCCGTGCGCAGCTCTCTCCAACAGCTGCAAGCTTCACACCGATTGGGATGACAGGCAGCATGCCAATTGGGAGTCAAACTTTGTCTCTCCCTCGAGGCTTTCCTGGTGTTAATTACTTGACTGCTAACTCAGATGTCGAGCCAAGTGAAGGAACCAAAGGGCATCTACAAGCCCCAGACAGAAACCCATCAAACTATGGAATTATTGGAAACAGTCAAGCTGAATTGCAACATCGACCTTTCACCACAATCTACGAAACATTTGATACTGAGAGACGAAACCGGGCATTAGTCATTGAGAATGTGCCAAAAAATCTCACATACATGTCCTTGGCCGGATTTTTTAACGTAGGTGTTTCCTGAAAAGAAAAGAAGGGAGAGTAAAATAAGCATAGACTGATATTCTTTGATTAGCGTCGCGAGTTTGGCTCTCTCAGAGGCCCTTTGCTTTCAGAGCTTAATTCGATGGGCAAGGTATATGTTGCGTTCACTGACAGCCGTGAAGCGACGAAGGCGATTGAAAAGGTTAAAATCCTCAGGCCTGAATGGCACGTTTCTCCCATTGCTCCCAAGGAATATGTGCAGCATGTTGAGCCTTCTCTTCTGCCACAAACATCCGACTACGAGGGCCAGTTGCTTGTGACAGTCTACTATGACGGGCGAAACCCTAATCTCAATCAACACGCTGTTGGCCGCTCCCTCGAAACCCTTGCTATGACATTTGGCGATATAAAGTCCTTTACCCCCCTACCAATTGGCCAAGAAGGCATATGCGAGTTCCATATCGAGTACTTCAATACTCGTGATGCCGAGAATTTTATGACTACTCTCAATGGGACTTCGGTTGATGTGCGCTGATAATTCCTCCGTTCTTCTGGCCTTACGCGGTTTACTAACATGATAGGTCAAAGGACTGCATCCTGGAAATCTCGTTATTCAGGCCGGATTTGGAAGAGAGAAAAGGTCCTACTAGTGCAACTCCCTCAAGAGAAGAATACCCCCCACATGAGACTTCTTTCAATAAGAACGCTTCCTGGGCTTCGAGTCGACCCAGCCGAGCATCTTATATGGAGCTCAGTCCTACCGGTCGCTCTACAGTTCCATCTGGTGAGCATGCTAGTCTCATGGACTGGATGTCAAGGGCTGGAGAAAGGATCTTGCCTTCACCACGCCGCGAACTCAGCCGCTATCCTGATCTACGCATGGGCAGCCAAAATGCAGTTGATATAGAGCGCATCCGGCTGGGCTTAGATGTCAGAACTACGGTAAACCCGCCTAGTCTTGATATTCGGGTTACTTGTTGACAAGCATCTTTGCCGCAGATAATGCTTCGTAATATCCCGAACAAGATTGATCAAGTAAGCATTTATACTTGGGGAAACCCACACATTTCGATAGCTCTGGAGGCAACTAATAAGGTAAGGCTATGTTGAAGGCTATTGTGGATGAGACAAGCCATGGGAAATACGATTTTATGTATCTACGAATTGGTAAGTTGACATGCCTTCAATCAAGATATTGACAACCCGACTAATTATTATATCAAACCTACAGATTTTGCAAACAATTGCAAGTACGGTTGTCATTCAATTATCATTATCCATGCCCATTCCTAACATTTTATACATCAGTGTCGGATACGCCTTCATAAATTTTGAGGATGTAAGTTCACTTGGCAGTCCCCATATATGCAGGATTTGCTACTAACAAATGCTAGCCAATTGATATTATTGATGTCAGTACCATCTAACTACTTATATGTCAACGAATCTCAACTGGTATTAGTTTGTTAATGCGAGAGCGGGACGAACCTGGTGAGTTACATGCTCAAACGTACAAACTATCGTTTGCATTTATATTAACACGTACGCAGGAATTGTTTTAACAGTGACAAGGTGGCCGAGATATCTTATGCCAGTTCGTACACCTTTTAATTCAAATAGAGTACGAAGAATCTAAGACCCCCGGATCAGCTATTCAAGGGAAGGATTGCTTGGTGCAAAAGTTTCGAAACAGCTCTGTCATGCTAGAACATCCGTCTTTCCGACCAAAGGTTCGCATAATCCGTGCCATAAAGGTGTAAGGAAAAGGAAAGCTGAAAAGCTCATGCACTTGCAGATTTTCCATACTGGAACTGGCCCTCTCGCTGGCACCGAGGATCGCTTTCCCGGGCCAGACAACCCTTCGAAAATGCGCAGGAGCATTGAAAATGCAGAACATGTTGGTAAGTTACATATACGCTTCTTCAAGTCATATGGATTCATGAATGACCTTCCAGGGCTCTTTGCACCCCGCGTGGGCCAGCAATACCGTGACGAGCAGCGCCGACGCCGTTCTCAGTTCGACCGTGGAACGACTGCCGCTGAGCGCGAAATAGTCTACGTTCGAACGTTCGCACCGAGACGCCCCTATGGTGTTGGTAACGGCCTCAGGAGCGCCCCTTGTACTTATCCTGGCATGAAAATCTGGTACGACTCAACGCACAGAAACAGATAACGAATTTCTTGACTTACTATAGTTCTCAAGGACTGCTTCCGATCAGGCCACCCCTTCATCTTAGCTGGAAAGACAACCAAGTTTACACGGACCTGTGACCCTGGTAGTTAAAAGTTACTACTTACCGCTTCCCGTTGTCGCCCTAGCTAGCAAACACCCGATTTTCCTTCCCTACGTCTTTTCTGTTTCTTGTACTGAGTACCAGTGTTTGATTGGAGTGACAGTCAACATTTGACTCATGGGAGAAAACCATTCTGGCCCTGGTAGGCTTGGTACGGTATCTCGAACTGAGTCTAAATGTTGGAAACCTTTCTCTGTGAGATTTAGGTGCCCTTCCCTGGTGTCTCTTGAACCCCTTGAACCCGATAATCTAGAGATTTAATAAAAATCACAAGAATTGAAAACTCGGATAGTGATTATTCTTGATATTCAACCATTATTCACTTCGGGTAAAGGCGGATTGTTTGGATCCTAGACCTTTCAGTTGGCCAGTGCCATTGAAGGACGCAGCGACCGAGATAAGAATTCTGACACTTCCTTGTTTCCTTGTGCATGGGGTTTAGGCTACCTTGACAGAATTTATTTGATGTGATGTTGTACTCCGTACTCAGTAGCTTGATACTATCAACCTAGGTAGTACGGAGTAGTACCTTCGAAACCGTTCCGCCTACCCTGCCATCGTACTGCTAGCCGCGGACGTCGAGTCGGACCAGGTCTGTCATGCAATTGTATTTGCGCCTGTGACGCGACTACGATGAAAAAGTTCTTGATTTATATTTCACACACCGTGGCTACTCATTCTCTTTTGTCATGCTCCAAACCTGTCGCTTCCCGCCACAGAACAGAGCCGCCCATATCACCCTTGGTCTAGTAGTGGACAGAGGCTTCTCGTCCATGTTGTAGAGAATGATTATGGATGTGAATAAAGTATCTGCGGTGCACTCTATACTCCATTTGATCTTCCACCGCAATAAAAATCAACACCGAGGGACCAAATGGTGGAAATGGTTGTCAATCCTCAAAAGGGATACCTTGAAGCTCGCGAAATCTCTCGACCGTCATGGCGGCCCCGGGCCCTCCGCTGATGAGTACAAACATCATTTGGCAATCCATGTTATCCCAAAATGCTACCTGTGAGTTAGGCAAATGGGCGATGACTCAAAACATAGTCTTTTTTTTAATCGCCCTAATCCCATCAAAGGCAATTGCTAACTTGATACGCAGAGCTTTTTCTACAGTTGTTGCCGATGGGCAATTCTCTACTCTGGGGACAGTACTACTAGCCACGCTTGCTCGTCTGACAAGAGCGACAGGAATTGATAAGGAGATGATGGTCTCAACCCAACAAGCAAAGACTTTTACTGGTCCGGTCTGTGGTATCGATGCACAAAAGAATGAGGACGTGGGGGTCGTCCTCTGTCGCCGTGAAAATTCTTCAGCACCCATGATGCCATCCAGGACCAAGGACTCACACAATTCACGTCATGCTCATAACTCGGGGGGTCCAAAAGAATATAAAAGCGCTGTAGGGTTGGATGGGAAGAAAATACGAAAGAAAAAGCGGACAAAAGATGCTATTGATGACCTCTTTGACAGCTTGCTATAGTACTAAAGAACCGTCATGACACGCAAAATCTAGAATATGAATGCAAGATATACATGTCGAAGAGCACGATCCACCTATGCATATGGATTGAAGTCTTGGATTGGTCCCCTCTCATTCCGCTCGCCTCCCGTATTCGTGTTACACCAATTTCGCTTGTCACTGCTTCAATTGTCCTCGTGGTAGCAGAGTACACAAGACCTCACCAAGTAGATTCACGGTCAAGTGGTTGACAATAGTCCATGCCAATGCATAGAGATACTTAGGGGAGAAGACCGTCCAGATAAAGAGATGCGCTCTCAAGATTGTGCATGCTGCCATGACAGACATCAAGGTTGCCGCCATATGGAAAGTGACAATAGCGATGTGGGCTTTTCTTTCATGCTGAGCCTGTTCAAAGCGGAGGACCTGAGCAGCCGATACCCACCATATTGGCCCAGCCCAATTACTTACAAACGTCAGAATACCGACCAAGACGACGCTGTAGTTGCCAATACCATTATACGCATTAGAAAGATCAACAGAGGATATAGAATTTGAACCTCCAAATGCGAAAAAGGTCATATATTGTACGAGCAGGGTTGTGATGGCTAGCTCAAGGGCGGTCAGTGTCATCGAAGCAAGGATATCAGCATGAAGCCTAAAAATCAAGAAGATCGGGATGTTCGTAGCTCTCGACTGCGTTATCAAGAAAAGAGTGAGAGCATCGTGGAAGACGGTGCTCGAGAAAACTGTAATCTGTTAGCAGGTTTTCGAGAGAGGACTAGCGATGGAGACTTGCCTCCCATCGCGAGTGGCCGTTGCGGGGTTTTGCTAGTATATATCGATAAAGGGACGAGAAAAAAAATGCCGCCAAAAACCAGTCGCGTGAAGATGATAAGAGAACCTCCATCAAGCACCTTTCTCAAAGGAACGAATATGGTCTCAGGAAGAAGCTCAGGGGAGTCTGAGGCCACATAAGAAAGTTTCAGAAGGAATGCACCGGCCGTCACTGTGACACAAGATAGCTGCCATAGCCTTGATAAACAACGATTGGAGAGGTGTTTACAAGTATCAACGTATGTCAAGGCCACAAAGGACCAGAATATGAGCTGGTGAGAAGGGAGAAGTGTCCGAGCAATGTCTGGGTTGGCGGCAAATTTCTGACCAGTCTGGTTCCAGCGTCTCAAAACCCTATGAGATAGCAGCAGCATCACCGCCCCATACCTGGAGAGTACCAGAACATATAAGCGATGGCAGTTTCTCAAACCGTGCTGCGAGAATGTATAGCAACGCGGATGAATTGATGTTTTGACATGCAAGTAGAATGCCCACGCCGTAAAAGCCCAATTCCAAAATTGTTGCTCTTCCTCCACGTAGCTACTAGCAAACATCATACCACCGTAGCTCAGGATACTCAATGCAAAGAATGTCCCGGCGTGTCCAGACTTTGAGAGCAGTGTGTAGGTGGCAGGGAAAGAAAGCAAGACAACAAAGAATGTGATGACTAGGCCCAGGAGGAGATCCCTGAGATTGTAATCACTAGCGGCACTGCTCATTATCTTCTGAGCGATTTTCAAGAACCGAAACAAGGCAAACTCGAGTTCGGGATAAATATCATCTTGATCATCTCCGCCAGAGTTGAAGAGCAAATGGTTGACCTGAACCCATGCACACTCAGCCATATAGACGTCAGGTGATGATTCAGTCTCACAATTGATGCTGTTCGAATGGGGCTCAAAACTATGGTTAGGGAACGTCTCCTTTAGTTTTCTCAATAATTGCCTGGAATTTGAGAGCAACAAATGGATTCTTTGTGAACCTACACAGATTATTCACAATATAAGCGACTGGTATATGCACTGTGAAGGACAGATGTATACATACTCAGTTTCCATATGTCAAGGAGTTCTGGGATAAATACACCCAAGCTATTCAGAGGCATCGGAAAGCCTAGGAGACCTGCTAAGGTTGCAGTTATGTCTGTTTGCTCGACCGTACGGTAATATTGGAAGTCACCGTGCGAGTCCGTGGGAGACTGCCTAGGAGTCTTCAGGGCTTGGAATCTGGGTGATATGAAAAGTAGTGCGGGTGACGTCTCACCCACGGATGAACCGCCATGGTTTCCGGCATCATTCATCCCATGGTCACCACACAAAACAAAGAGGGTGGACTGGAGATGTTCTTCCTGCTCCATGCTGGTATATATATTATTGACGATGGAGTCCATTTCATTTTGTTTTGTTACCATGTAAGGGCTGTATGGTTGTTATTATGGCCCCGAAGCTAGACATTGGCTAGTTTACCTTTGAGGACCTGCTTTGTGTCCTATATGATCTAGACCGAGGTAATGCATGATAAGTGCTGACCAGTCATCCCGCAGGAGCTCGTTGGGAACATGGCGAGTCACGTTGTTGTCAACTTCGCTGAAGTCCTGCGCAAATCTTGCTCAGTCTTCATATTAGACATGCTCATGCAAGTCACTTCTTTTTAACTAACCGACACAAAAAAACTTGTGGTGCCATCTGCTCTCTCAAACATCCCAGGGAACAGCTTGAGCCAAGTGTCATCCCCATACATGACCAAGTGCTCTCCTCGTGCCTTCAACTGTGCCAACCACGTGTCCTGATATGCCAGAGTCGACGAAGTATCAGACTCTGCAATATTCAAGATGACATCCAAGAAGGATGGTATGGATCCAGTCGTTATGGCCTTAAGACGGGGCATCGTAACTGTGGGAGAACTAGCATGAGCAGTGAAAGGGAGTGCAGCTCCTGATCGAATCAAGCTATTATGATCAACGTCAGATCGGTAGCTTGCGTTGGAGGTCTATTTTGCTGACCTTTGGGTAAAGAGAAACCCAGAATTATTGGAATAGACGAAGTCACTAATAAGTTCAGCTGAGAGCACGAAAGCCCGAGATCTTGTACACAGCCATACCTTCTCAAGGCGTCGACGACCATGAAAATGACCTTGTCAAAGGCCTTTGGAACAGCAGTAATGTTACTGTCATTTTCAAATGTCGCAAGTCCTGGTATCAATGGCTTGTAAGGGAAAAACCCAGAGGAAAACACTAAGACGGCTAGGGGGGTTAATACATTGGCGATAATTATCGCCCAACTTCCCGATAAAATGGCCATTTAAATCAAGATTAATAATCAAATACAGGAGAGGTCGGCGTGATTTGCATTTGGTCAGATCTGTCACACGCCAATATTAACACATTTGAGGCATTCACTTCAAGTGAGGTGTGGCATCCGATCTATGATGATAAGTAGGTGTATACTGACACGACTGACCGCCTTCTGGTTTGGATCGCGTGCATGTGTGTATATGTTAGTAGTATAGTACTACTACAACAATGCCACTTTCTTTCGCGGAGAATCACTTCGAGATCCAACCCATTTCATCGCATTTGCCATATATCGTAGTGTCTCTACATTGACGATGGGTTGGCAGACTTTGCACGAGCAAAAGCACGTGTGGTAGTGATATATTAGGTTAGTACTTAGGGGGTAAACCTAAATGATTCGGCAAATCGTTCACATCTGAGATGTATATAAGTGATTGAATGGTAGAAAGTACTATTGTCCAATGAATTCATTTTGTACCATTTTCAGTCTAATATTTTCTTTCTGAATGCGGAGAAGCGGAAGACCAAAGCGTAGTAATCTTAAAAGTATGCTAACCCTTATATTACAACGCCAAACTCCATATATGACAGAAATTAGACCGCCTCCTCTTCTTTTATAAAGTAGAATACCTGGGACTTTTCACCGCCTCTTTGAACTCCCCGTAGCTTTTGATTGGCGAGGGCGAAAGACAATAGACGAGCGACTTTTCTTATTACGCTTTTGAATTCGTCCCGATTTTCTGGTGCGAGCCCGACAACCTTTAGCACTTCCCTGATCGATATCCATATCTACATTTGATCAAAGTTAGCATGGGGACGCTGAAAATATCAAGTGAATAGTCCAGATAGAGATACGGAGAGAAAGAAGGATTTGCGCACCTTCATTGACATTCGAGACGCTGTCATCTAGTTTGTCATCTATAATCCGCCATAATAAGTCAGTTGTAGTCTGGATTTTCCAAGCGACTTGCACGTACTTGTCCGTGTGCTATCAAGTTCCATATTTGTCCGCTCCTCATTCGGCTTGGGCCGAGAAGCCAGCTCTTGCAGCTTTGCAGATAGTCTCTCAGTCCTGGCATCAACAGCTGGTCCAAAGACTGTAGCTCGGAGTTTGGCTCTATTGCGCTTGGAAACACTGGCCCGGACGCTCTTTGCCATGATGGTTGCTGGCCGAACTTGAGATAAAAAGAAAGAGATATGGATGGTAATATCCTAGAGGAAAGAACGAGGAACTTGTAAAGCTTGATTTGACGAGAACTATTGGTGCAGATAATAGTGTGAAGTGGAAAGTTTTCGCTTTTGCCTTTTGCCGGGGTGCCCTCTTTCATTTTTCCCCTCATAATTTTTTGGGGGACAATCTTATGTCATCACATTAGAGGCTCTTCTCACCTCCGCAATCGCCGCTGGTTGATCGCATAGGAAGTCATTGGCATCTAATTCATTTGGAGCTCTTTTTGACCCCAACCTCAAGATTAGGAGCGCTTCCGACTCATATTCCCTTATCAAAAATTTCTAATATCACCTGCCTATATAAGCCGAAGATTGAGATGTCTTTGAACAGTGTCGCTGAGCATAGCGCAACTGTCTTGAACTATCTTTCTTCCTGAGATAAAGCTTGCATGCTCGTTTTGCTACCGACTAGCGGCTGTACTGACCCTAGTCATGGCTTCTGCTGGCCAATTTTCAGATACACAAAATCTGGTTGCTCTTGTCAAGACATTGACCAATGCGCAACTCAAGGATATTCTCAGGAATGAGGGGCTCGCTGTCTCCGGAGTGAAGGCTTCGTTGCAGTTACGAATTATTGACTGTTCGTTGTACCTGATCTTGTCTTGGCTCTTCCTCCCTAGACCTAGTTTGGGGAAATCGTTGTCACGGTGTTAACATCTTGTGAACCGCACTAGTTATTGATAGACTTAGCCAAGCAGGGCAAGTTGAGCAGTATGATAACCTGAGGCAATCCATCTATGCTACAGCACGACGGCCAGTCCCTACCCCCTCCACGACGCAGTCCGTTCCCACTCAACATTTTCAACCTCACCCAGTCAGCCAGCCTTTGTCTACGCAGCAGAGACCTTCGCCTTTGAGCATACAAATGCCCTCACATGGACTTACACCTGGTACTTACTTTGCCCTCATGTTTCCGCTCTTCACCGAGGCCAGGATGGTTTCTGATTTTCATATAGGCCGTTTGACCTTCAAAGATAGTCCTTTCTACACCGTCTTGGAGCCATTGACTTCCACCTCGGAATGCAAAGGTAAGACCTTGGTAGTATTATTCGAGTCCAGTGGCATTCTTCATCTCTAATGACTTGATAAGTACGCGAACAAACTAGAGACAGTGTGGAGCTCAAAGTTGTTCTTACACCAAATGTAGCGTCTAGGCTACAGGCTGAGCCAAATCTTCGGGTGATGGTGTATTGCGCTGCAGATACAGGCCTCAATCAATTTACCAAGTCGGATGTTGCGTTTCCTCACCAAGTTGAACTTAAGGCAAATCTTGATGAGGTGAAAGCCAATTTGAGAGGTCTAAAGAACAAACCTGGTACAACAAGACCAGCCGACGTAACCCAATATATCCGCAAGAAGCCTGGGTATCCGAACAACATTGTCATGACCTATGCTCTTACCCAAAAGGCAAGATTTCAACCATCCTTGGTGTCTCTTTTATCATTTACGTGACTCACCGCATTCCTAAATCTGATTGGAGGAGACTGCATGGAGCTAGGCTAACGAGATACAGCGGTTCTTTGTTCTCGTAAATCTTGTTAAGCGGCATCCCGTCGAAGAACTCGTGGTAGAATTGAAAAGGAGGAAGACTATTTCGAAGGAACAGGTCTTGCGAGAAAGTATGCACCTGATCCCATATCCGATTCACACAGCCTGCCTAACGCGTTGCAGTGAGAAGTAAAGCAGGCGATTCAGATATTGTTGCCACGTCCAGTGTTATGTCACTCAAGTGCCCTTTATCGACTCTTCGAATCGAGGTCCCTTGTCGTTCTGTTATATGCACCCACAACCAATGTTTTGACGCGTCTTCGTTCTTGCAACTCCAGGAACAAGCGCCAACTTGGTCTTGTCCTGTTTGTTCCAAAGCTACAAGTTTCGAATCACTACAGATTGACCAGTAAGGCAGAATCTACTGATTTAAACCCCTATGCATGTGTGACATTTTTCTGATTTCATAGGTATGTCGATGACATACTTCGTTTAACCTCGTTAGACGTTGAACAAGTCATTATAGAACCGGATGGCCGATGGTCTAGCCCCAATCACGAAGAGTCTTCGAAACCGGGCGGGTTTACTCCAGCAACGGATGATGATGAAGACTTGATTGAGATCAGGGAGCCTGGAGTTACGCCTATCAAACAAGAATCTCTCTCAGATCCAACTCTTTTGGTGCACCGGACTCCCACGCAGTCACGAGAGCCTTCGGCAGCATCATCAGCGGCTCATTTATCCACAAACAAGCGCAATGCTGCTCAGGTGATCGACCTTACCGGAAGTGATGAGGAGGAAGATACCCCGATCAGGCCTGCTAAGCGGCCAGCGTACAATTCAATGAACCGGCCCTCGCCTAGGCAGGATTTTTGCAACCCGTACAATGGGGGCTTTCTAAATGGAGACATCCAATTATCAAGCCAGCCTAGTTCTGAATATCCTACTCAGGCCGGTTACGATGCATCGAATTATTGAAGCATATTCGCACGGTGTCAGGCGCATTCGGTTTAGTGGGAATATTCACTGCGCAGATGTGTTGGGGGCATTGGACATGCATGTTATGAAATACAGGTTTCTCTATCAATTTATGGAGCTGATAAGAACTCGAAAAATCATCCGTTATTCTAGGAATGGGCTATTCTCCTGACATACTGATTCGCCCTGATATTCGTAGATTTCATCTTAGAAGAGCCATTGTAGACAGCTCAGAAGTCCTGCTTGGGTCCATAAAAATCAGTTCTTGCCTCCTACAAATATTGCGCACATCTGTCATAACATCCTGTCGCAATGAAACGTGTTGTGTGTTATAAGAGCCCGAGCACTTGGTATGCCTCATGGCTTACTCCTTACTCGGGCAAGACTCTCGGGGAGGGGGCCCGTCGTAGGCACGGTCATCGGGCTTGGCTGGCTTACCCCCCCGAGCCGCATAACCCCCGAGAATCGACAAGGAGAAAGGTGCTGTTGCTCATCGATCAATGCCATCTTACTTGCACTTCAAGATACCACGTGTTAAACAAAGGACTTCATTCGGGCGTATATAGGAACGGTCTTTGTCATGTCTTCCGACATACCGGCTTCGCCCCCCAATGCTTCGGATCCTCATGCACGGCTCCTCGGCGCCTCATGTCTTGATTTCCTCCTGATAGAGCTCGTCCCTATGGCGGAGCGCATGGCAAAAGAACTTGCCTCAGGAGAGAAGTCACCAGATGATGAAGAAATCCGGGAAACTACCTTTTTCCGCCTCGAATCTCTAGGTTACAGAGTTGGACAAGGACTCGCAGAACGGTACGCTCCGAATGCCTAGCAACCGCTTTCACGATTCCCGAAATTTTAAATTTGCTGTGCTGGAGGGTGTTGGAAGCATAGGGGGCACCAGAATTCTGCACGTGCCATTGATTGCGAAGTTTCTTGGCTAACACATTTTCAACCGAATCATTGTCGGATGGAGCAGATTCTCTCGAGATCGCCCGCGATTTGCGGATAACCTGGACATCATCAAGTTTCTGTGCAAAGACCTATGGACGATTCTATTTAAGAAACAGGTTGATAATTTGAAGACCAACCACCGGGTAAGCAGAACTCGGGGTCTTCCGGCTTCTTCTGAACGCTCCGATTTCTCAGGTCGAGGAGAAGGCTAATACTTCAACTTTCAGGGTGTATATGTCTTGACTGACAACTCCTTTCGTCCGTTTGCAAGGATGAGTACATCTGTTCGAGGTGAAGCGGTATCTATGGCTCAAGCGGTATGACCATCCCAGTCATGCTTTTTTAGTCTGTCAACTCTTCGTGCTCTAATCACTTTGCATTTATTGTAGTACTTATGGTTTCCATGCGGTGTCATTCGCGGTGCTCTATCGAATTTAGGTATTACAACTACTGTCCAAGCGGAATCTGCTGAGCTTCCAGGCGCAACCTTCCAAATCAAAACCGTCAACCCCAAGCCTTGAATATGGGTGACTTTAATCCTCTTCGGGCAACCAATTGCCATAATTGGCGGTCACTGCCGAGAGCTTTAGCGACACTACAACACTCAATATTTCCCGATTCTCTGCTGGGGCTGTATCTGCCATCAACGGGTTGCTAAATAAGTCTACAAACCGCGAAGCACAGGCATAAAGAATACATGGCTACTTCATTTATGCACGTCACTCGTATCTCGAAGTCAAAGCCCTGGGTCAGAGCAATCCATCGGCAATCGCTTATTCGTCTGCAGTCACATGCTTCAAAGCCTATCTCCCCGGGACAACAATAATTAGCAAGGCTCCTTCGAACTTATGATGGAACCACCGAAAAACATCATTCCAGTGGTGACAAAATGGGCGATATTGGCATACCACCAATTGGTGCTGGGGAAACCTGTGTGAGACACATGACTGGGGTGGGCGTGTTTACTTGGGTGGTGGGTTCTTGATGAAATCGACGCCCTTTTCGATATTAAGCTTCAGGTCCTTGGTGCAGGCCTGAATGAGGCCCTGTTCCTGTTCGGTCACGCCGTCAAGAATGTTGATGGCCTTCTCGGCTCCATTGGTCTGTTTTAGGCGTCAGAAGGATGTTAGAATATTACATATTTCACGTTGAATGACTTACGCCAAGTTCTACAAGGGTAGAGAAGAAGTCAACACCAGTGGCCTTTGCGATCTCCTCGCCGCCGGTGACACCAGGCAGATACACGAAGGTTGGCTCGACGATGCCCTGTTCGCCTTTGGAAGCCTTGATAACACTCTGAGCAAATCTTGGAAGGGGTTAGCTGTGACACTTGCTTTTCATAGCATGAGAACTCAAACCTGAAGCCAGCGTAGGCCATGGATAGGGTCGCGGAACCGGTACCATCCTTGGCCTTCACAACCTCATCTCCACCAAATTGAACGCCTGTACGGCTTTTAGTGACAGTTTCTAACGTTAAAGGAGGTGGGGGGCGTGGAGGGGCACAAGCTACTCACGGTTGACCAACGCGTCATACTTGTCTGCGGGAACCTGAAAAGCAGGCGTAGCCTTGCTGAAGAGGGGAACAATAGTCGCGCCGGAGTGGCCACCGACAACTGGGATTTGCACCGCAGACGGGTCCTTATGACCAGAGTATTCCTGGGTGAAGGTCTCTGCGCGGACGACGTCGAGGGTGGTGACTCCAAAGAGACGCTTGGGGTCAAAGACGCCAGCCGCCTTGAGCACCTCTGCAGCGATGGGGACAGTCGAGTTGACAGGGTTTGAAATTACCAAAACAAATGCCTTGGGGGAGTGCTCGGCAATGCCCTTGACCAAGTCGCGCACAATGCCGGCATTAACCTTGAAAAGGTCATCACGAGTCATTCCAGGCTTCCCTATCAGGCAGTGCCTTGTCAGCCAGGAGTTCTTCGGTTTACAGGAGGGAAGGTGCTGCACTCACGGGGAATTCCAGCGGGGATAACAACGATATCGGCACCAGTCAAGGCGTGCTTCAATCCATCGTCCTTGGGGAGGTATCCAGAGATTTTCTGACGAGTGTATCAGCAAAGGAATTACATGTGTTTGGGATCGAGAGGGCTTCGATAGATCGCCCACACGTACAGCAACAGAGGAGATGTGGGAAAGGTCGGCAGCGACACCGGGCGTGTTAACGACATCGTAAAGTGCAAGGTCATCCACCAGGGGGCATGCCTTCAACAAAAGAGACAGGGGCTGCACGTTCAGGGAGAGACATGGTTAGTAAGGTAACTGGTGGACCGATAGGAGATAAGGGGCACAAACCTGGCCAATGCCACCAGATGCACCGAGAACAACTATTAAAATAGATTAGTCCCACTGTTCCGGAGAAGGTTGGGGTTGTCCTGGATTTTGGAAGCGGGGTCAATGTGCATGCAGGTGCCAGAAATACCACTCACCCGCTTTAACCATTGTAGAAATCGAGGTTCTCTCCAGACGATAAAAGATCTATACACGAGAGAAATCCCGTGTTAGCGGAAGGTACGGATGGAAGGGGGAGGGGAAAGGTATGAGAGACAGGAGAATCAGCTGGGGAGAAGAAAGAAAGGTGGTCGGGGGGAGCTCAGCTAAAAACCCAGAGGGAGGGGGGAGAGGAGGGGTTGATGGGGGGAGGGGGCGGGGTGTGCTGGTGGTACGGTCCTTCAGTCACGGTGAACAGGTCTGGGCAAGTGGCAGCACAGGGATTAGGAAGGATCGGAGGTCATGCGGGGACTAGTAGTCAAGTAGGCTACTAGATACGTACAATTTTCCCTTAGACACTGAGCCAGTGGTGAGGTTTGGAATAGTCACGGAAGTCTGAGGAACATTTGTACCTACAGAAAGAGCGAGGGGAAAGCTCAGGGTCATTATATACTACGGGAACCGGACGGGGAATCACATGTGGGGTTCTATGAAGCTGTCTGAGTGTTCAGTTTCCCCTCCCGAACCGGTGGACTCCCAAGGCTGCCCTTCTCTCTATGACATTAGTATCAAACGACAGCTGAGAAGCGGCACAGTGACCCGGTTCCTAGGTGTTGTTGGCTCTTGCAAGCAGACTTCTGCTCCATCGTTATGCGTAGCCCATCGCTCCCCTTGGTTGTCACCAAATTTCTGGGGCACCGAGGATCCCACTGCCAAGCGCACGCCAATTCTTTCCTCCGCTGTCCGGATGTCCCATCTTTGCGTCCACAACTGGAAGCCGAGTTGTTGCCTCCGACTTTGGTGCATCTCAGATTCCTTCCTCGGATATAGTCTTCATATGCTCTCCGGATTCCGACGATTTTCGTCTGTCCCTATGTTCGAAGAACTCACAATCGAGGAATATACCGGTTTGGCCGTTGATCCATCAAGGTTTCGGGAAAAGGCGGATGTCGAAGGTTGTTTTACGGCAACTTCACAGTAGAGATGTGCTTACAATACCGGCTCTACGTCTTGCTTCGGCCCGACAAGCGGTAGTAAACCTCCACATTCTCCCAGCCACACCAAGATGGCCGGAGGTATCACAGGCAATAACAGGCGGAAGGCTGATTGTTTTCCCGTTCACTCCCGTTGCTACCATTTTTGAATATTGGCAAGTCTTTCCTTTCACCTTTTTTGGATTTCCTGGTATTTTTTTTGTTTCCATTCCGAATGGCCTGGCCGGACAACAATGTCCCCGTGATGGCAGCATTGCTAAATTACATAGATGTTACCGCCTTTGGCCGGCACGGCGCTCTTCTGGTCAACCCGACCGACTCTCGTGACATCATGCCTCCTAGCCCTTCCCGAGATGTTGGAATTTACTCCGACTTCTCCTCGGCCTTTCTGGCCTGAGCACCGCGAGGCTTCTGGGAGGGAGTCTCCTTCTTAGGCTTCTGGGAGCGGCGGATGGCGCTCACACGGGCAACGGCGTCCTCACGGACATCAGCACGGTAGCCGTTCTTCGCAGTCTTGTCGGCAACACCCTTGTAGATCCTATGCGAAAATTACACTGTCAGAAAACCCTAGCGTGCCCCTGACGGACATCCCCAGATGCCAACTGATTCTGTCGACTTACTTGCGGGTGGAAGCGTTGGGGCCATAGGTCACGCTAACGACGTTCTTCGCAGGCTGCTGGGGGTTGCTGGGCTTCTTGGTGATGACAACAACACCACCGTTCTCGGTGGCCTGGACACCAACCGCCTGTTGTTACAACGTTAAACATCCACTTCCCGACAGAAGAGTCTGAATGGCATGAAGCACGGGTCAAGTACCTTGGTGTTGGCATAGCCGGCGTACTAGATACGATCCACGTTAGTACGGAATAACAGGATCATCACCATACTTTCGGTGCTCCTACCTTGAAAGAGTGCTTGTTCTGCAAGTTCAGGGGGTCACGGGAGAACTGAGAGCCACCGCCGCTGTTACGCTTGACCAGAAAAGCATTCTGGGTGCCTGTTCAAGTGGTCGTACATTAGCCGGAGAGGACGATGCGCGAAAAGGCTCCTAGGGTTTCCTTTGGGACACGGTTGCGTAGAGGGATAGTGACGTACGGGTGAGCTGCCAGATGAGGTCGCTGGAAACGTTGGTGGCCATTTTGAAGGTCTTTTGAAGCTGGGTGGGGGATGAGGACAGATCGAATCGTCGCAAGTCCGGTCGGTATATACCCGCTACTACTTAATAGCCCTTAGGAGGATTCAGTTGTGTGTGCCAGCGCCAAGAATGGCAACGCTGGGAGCCTCGCTAAGCAGGCCGCTTTAGGAATAGACTACTCCGTAGTCTTGCAGGTGTTCGGCGGTTCGTTGGCTGCCTGAGGACGAGGGCAGCGACCGAAGAACCCAAAGATCCAAATCCGTCCGACCGTCGTTCCAGCCCCTGCGCATGGTTGACCCACTTCCGTCTTCCGCGCCCTTCCAGGCTTCCACTTATATGCGTACGTACTTATATGTATGGACGTGCGGACCATTGTGGTTGTCTAAATGTCGCCCGTATAGCTGGCCGTAGCACGACGCCTGCCAGCTTTGAATTTGTGTATCGTGACTTTGGGGACAGAAGCCTCTATCGCTCTGAGAGCTTCTGATCCGGACCTGCGCGGCGCAACTCATCAATCCCCATCGAGCTTGATCCCGCTGCTGTTCGCCGGCAACCCTCATTGACCATGGCTTACTATATTCTCTACTTCCTCATCTTATCGGTTGTTGTATGTGGCACAGGTATGTCTGAATGTCAACATATAAAGCCTGCGCGTCGTCTAGAACCCTCTGACCTGCCTATAGCGCTCTATCTCACCCGTTTCCGATGGCTACATCTAGTCACTGTCCCCGATTACATCTACCAGCGTCTCCCTTCTACTTTTGCAGGTGATGTCGAAGCTGGGTTGATATCTTCCGAGTTTGACATCTCCGCCAATATCATGGAGGGCGACACTAGGGCGGGGTTGGATGATCGGGCCAAACGCGAGGTCCTGCGGATCATGAAACGGCAAAGGGTCGATTTCGATGAAGCCCGTCGGTTATATATGGAGCAACGGTTTTCCAAGAACAATATCGGTCCTGACGGACGACCTAGGGATCCCAAATTCGTGTCGTTCTCTTGATGGCATTTGCGTTACATTTGCTTCATCGCACCTTTTTGCTTTATTCTGTTTAGATGTCTTACCAGTGCAGGCTTCCTTCTATCCCGCCCTTCATGGGTGATTTTAGGCTCCTTGGCCGTGCGTAGATTTCCTTCGCCGGCTGTTCCCGGTCTCTTTTTGGGTCCCCCGCATCGAACTTAATCTCTTGTCTCAAACGCACCCTAGATCGAGTCAATCTACGTTGGCAATAAGCCCTCGATTTTCGTTATATGAGCATCTGAATAGCTGTAGTGCCACATTCATATATATTGTATTACCTAGCGCGAATGAAGAGATCGAGAACGGCGGGAATCAGATCCAACCATTGGTACACATTACTCTTTCCCATCGATATGTGAAGCCCGGACCGGCGCTTCAATTCCGCCACCTAAAAACAAGCCGGTTTAGTTCTCCGGTAAGCTGAGGCTTCTAGAACCATTGGATCCGGGGCATGATCCTTCATCCTTTAGGGCGCCAACCACTCAGTTGTGGGTCGTTACATCGTGTTCGAGTAGTCATCATCTTACAAACCAAGTAATGGGCGAAGAGAATGGCACTTTTCTTTCTAACCCTGTTATTCTATTCATTCCGATGTATCCCACCCTGAATGCTCAGCGCCCGCGCCCATAGCCAGGTTGTTGGAATCCAGGCGGCAAAGGAGGTGCAGAGCTAGGGCTTCCTGCAGGGGGACCGAATCCTGGCGGTGCGAACCCCGGCGGAGCCGCTGCTTGAGGAAAAGAGGGTTGTTGGCTGCCACCGTTGAAGCCCGGGGGAAGAAAAGACTGCGGGCCTCCATATCCAGCCTGTGAAGGCGGCGGCCGTGCAGGTAAACCAGGCGGTGGGTTCGCCAGAGATGTGGGAGGTGGGACGGGTCGACTTGACTGTGGAGGAGGGACGTTTTGGTAGGCCACATTCGAAGGAGCCATGCCTCTCCCCATACTCAGGTCCGGCGGATTGGTGCTCATTGGCCGAGAGCTGTCGCCGTTGGCCATCGCGGCTGGAACCATGGGTGTCGCCGGGGTTGAAAATTGCGGCGGTAGTGGTTGGGTTGGCAGACGCACATTATGCTTGCGAGCCTGTGCTGCCAGCATGCGCTCTGCCTCATCACCGTGGCGTTCACCTTTTCCATCCTTCTTATATGCGTATTGTACCGAGACCTGCTTGTTCATAAGATACTGGCCATTCATGTTGGATATGGCAGCGTCCGAAGATTCAAAGTCGGCAAACGACACGAACCCATAGCCCTTTGACAGGTTATTGTCATCTCGGGCGATCTATGTAGCAGTCATTGTTAGCTTATTACCAAGAAGACAAGAATTCCACGACAGGCGTGTAAAAGGGACGAAGGGCGCCCACCTTGGGAATATTTATCAAGTTTCCAAAGCGACTGAATGTGTCATAAAGGACCTGCTCCGTAACCATAGGATCGAGGTTCCCGACAAACAGCTCCGCCCCAATTTCCACCGACTTCTGCTTATCGGCAGATGCTTTATTCACGCGGATAGGCTTTCCGTACAGGCGGATTCCGTTCATGATCCGTGACGCGTATTCGGCATCCTCCTCGCTGATGAATTCCACGAACCCGTAGCCCTGATGCGACTGTGTGACCCGATCTTTCGGTAGGTGAACGTTAACGATGCGCCCGGCCTGAAGCATCAGCTCCCATACCAGGCTATCTGATACCCGTTCATCGAGGTTGCCAATGTAGACGGTAGCCTCCTTGTCTTGCTCCCTAATCCAGTGCTTTTCAGCCTCGAGTTCTCAAGCGACACATGAACCGAGCACCTACCAATGCCTTGCGCCGGACATGGCGCCTGCGTACTGTTCTTGAGGGGCCCCTCGGCCAGATGCAAGCGATTGAACCGAAAAGACAGGGCGGGAAAGGCGCGATTAATGGGACGGAGGACGTAAAAACAAAGAGAGAGCCGAGAAAGGTATCGATTGGGCGGTACACAAGCACTGGGGGAAGAGAGACCGCGGTGGATGATGGTTGGAGACGAGTCTAGTTTATCGGCGGAGCTTTTACGGAGGTACTGATCCAACCTTAGCCCCGGAAAACTTTGAGCTTCACCTCCCCCAATCTTCCCGTCACTCCCCGTCCACCCTACCATTTCCGCCTTTCTCATTAGATACTTGCAGGCACCAGCCAAAGGGACCTTTGCCATTCACACCCTCTTCAACCTGTATACAAGACTCTACCGGCAGTATGGTCCAGTTCTCCGAGGAAACCAAGGTTAGTCCAAATTCCCGTTCGTCATGTGCTATTCGACGGGTTGGCCTTGTTAGACTAACGGATGTCCTTTCTCCAGGAGCGTATCTCCAAGGTCATCGACGTCTCCAGAGTTGCCATTCACTAGTGAGCCGCCTTCTATCTGTTCAAGCGATGCACTGGCCTGAACTGACGGTTATCTTTGTTCAAGTGGATACCTGCCCTTGATTGTCTACCTGGGTATGTTGCTGGGGCCCTCTTGGGCAGTTGCTTGGATCTTTGACGGTGGCTCTGTTGCTGACTTGAAGGAAAACAGGATACACCTACAGTGAACCCAAGCCATCTTTGTTCAAGTACAAGCGACCACACCCCGCCGACGCCTTCCTGATGATTCCGGTCCGCTAATCATACGTATAGGCTGTTTTCGCCGCTCGCATAAATGAATGAGCTGCTTCGGGATAAATTGGCGATGAACGCCCACCTCTCAGGCATGGCCAATGCTTGATGTCGCGGTCCGCGGTCCAGTCAGGCCGCAAAGTCTGCCTGCCAACATGATAGCAGGACCCGGAACCCTTCCTCTCCCCCGGTTGTCGATGTCGACAGATAGAAGTCCACTTCTATGAATATGTACTTTTAGACTACGAATGGTCTTCGTCATGTTTTGTATTGTTTAACGCGAATGGTTCTAATTTCATTTTTGGTTCCAGGCAGGGCCGGGGAAAACCGATGAATTGGGAGGGTGTCCGACTTGCATTATCGTCAACAGCGTAGGCTCGATCATAGCACTTTGAACCAGACCCTTTCATCCTTGTAAAGATGTCGTCGTAGGCTGGTACAATCGTGATCCATCCATCTGTTCCCTGGCTGGACATTTGGCGCGCTTCGGCCCGCCAAGCGCAATCGAATTTGCCTATTAGCTCGGGCCCAAATCTCTAGCCAAAGGAATCCGGACCTCTTCTCCCCCAGACACCCCCGGCTAGAACTTCAAACCCTGCAAGCGGCGTATTCCGGGAGGATTTGAAGGGTTCATGACTGGCAAGGATGGCTTGTCTTCGTCCTTTGTGGAGACCGTAGCAGGATTCACCGCAGGAATCGCCTCGACGCTCTGTCTGCATCCGCTGGATCTGGTCAAGACTCGACTTCAAGGTTCGTCTCTTTCACTCTTGCTAGGCATTGGGCAGATCAATTCTGGACCTTAGGATTCAGACCATAACTAACGCTTATCCTGTCGTGTCTCCTAGTCGACCGGTCATCCTCTTCGCGAGTTGGCGGTTCAGTTCCAGTAGTCCGCGAGATCTTTCAGAATGAGGGCGGCCTCAAAGCCTTCTACCGAGGTCTGGCGCCCAACATAGTCGGTAATTCCACTAGTTGGGCGCTGTACTTCTTGTGCTACAGCCACATCAAGGGCGCAATGCGCACCTGGCGCTGTTCTCAAGACCAGGCCCTCACGTCGGCCGACTTTTTCCTAGCCTCAGGATCTGCAGGTACGCCAGGAAACAAACCCGCAATATTCCCCTTCACCCACACTTTTCCGGCCGAAACATATCCGGAGGCGAGCAATGATCTAACTGGTATTCGTAGGTCTGCTGACATCCATGCTAACCAACCCGATCTGGGTCATCAAGACACGCATGCTGTCAACCGGATCGCAGAGCCCGGGAGCATACGCGTCGTTCACGACGGGGGCTAAGGAGATATTCCGCTCGGAGGGTATTTCGGGTTTCTATCGGGGGCTGATTCCCGCACTCTTTGGAGTCAGCCATGGCGCGCTTCAATTCATGGCGTACGAGCAATTGAAGCTGTACCGCTCCCGGATGTCTTCGGCTGAGACGACGACTACTACTGGGATCCGACATGGCGTGGGTGGGAGTCATGGGTCGTCGGACTCGGGCCCGTCAGGGATGCGGCAGCTGGGAAACATGGACCTATTCGTGATCTCGAGCTTGTCCAAGCTATTTGCGGGATGTGTTACCTACCCGTATCAGGTGTTGCGGGCTCGTTTGCAAACCTATAATGCCCACCTCGTATATTCGGGCGTCCGGGATGCCGTTGCTCAGATCTGGGCCAGGGAGGGCGTCACGGGTTTCTACAAAGGCCTAGGCCCCAATTTGCTGCGAGTATTACCCAGCACGTGGGTCACCTTCCTGGTCTATGAGAATACCAGGGCGTACCTACCAGGGCTGATCGCCGGCGCTTGAGAAGGTGCGAGTCTGCCTCCGCTCGCTGGTGTAAAAACCAGTTTTATGTCTTACCACTTCCTGCCTGTAGTGTCTACGGTCTATGATTGATCATATCATATTTTCCTATGGGTGCTAGGAGTTCAGGTCATGTAAAGCTACCCAGCTAGGCCGGGATATGCGGACAGGCTTTATTCTGATACAACGGGACACAATTCCGAGGACACGCTGATGTACATAAGGGGAGTCTGCAAGCCGAACGATAACGTTTGGGGAGTCCCTCATTGAGGTAAATTCCGTTTCCAACGTGAGGTGCTGAGGCTATGAAATAAACAACGGGACAGAAAAAAAATGAAGCTGGTATCGTGGGAACAATCGAACAGGTGAAACGCGGGAAAATAGGGAACTTGGGTGTGTCAATGAGCTTGCCGCTCAATAAAATATGGTTCCGCATCTTCCTCTTCGCTGCTGGAACCGCCATTGTAGATCGAAGCGTCTTCATAACTGGCTCGGCGCATCTTGTCATCGTTACTGTTGAGAGGCTGGATCCGTCTGCGTGATTCGGATCCCGGGTCTGACCGAGAGGTAGGCGAGATTCTGCGATCCTTTCCGCGGCCCTTTATGCCCTTGTTGCTGTTCTTATACAACGTGGCAAAGTATTCCCAGAGCTTTCTATCTTGCGGACTCATGTGTTCTCCCTCTGTTACCTGGGAAAATTTTAATGTTAGGTTTCGTAGGGTTGTGGCGTGAAACTTGTTCTGGTGTGACTGTCCTACAAGTCAGCTCCAAAATGATTGGCTTCAGGGTGGGTGAAGTATTGGTCTCCGCACCTTGAGATTTCCAAGCTGGGTAAACTGCTTCCCACAGTCATCCAAGAGGCACGTGAATGGTTTGGCATGTTGATGAGTGATTTTGTGGGCACGGACATTGCCTCGTTGAGCGAATCGTTTCTGACAGATATCACAGGAAAATGGCTTCTCTCCTGTATGGCGACGTTGATGGGTCTAACAACCAAGTATCTCTGTTAGACAACCTGTAGCCTTTCGATGTTGGCAATACTTCTGCCAGGGAAATGCCGACTTACCTTCAAATTCCCCAACTGAGAGAAGCGCTGCCCACAGGAAGGCTCTTTGCATATCTTATAATGAGAAAGTTAGCGCTAACTCACGCTTCTTGAGAGGATTCTTGCAACACTTACAAAAGGCTTGTCCCCCGTGTGGGCCCTCATATGGATATCTAGATGCGTCTTCTGTGCGAAGCTCTTGCCGCAATGGGGCAGAGTGCAAGTATACTTGCGTTTCTTGCCCGATCGCGAGGGGGCTTCTTCGACCATGACAGTGCAGCGGGGGGTTGGCACCGGTATCGAATAGCTCTGGGTATAGCCATTACTTCCCCCGTGGGTCAACTGTTGGAGTGGTGGCAGAGACTGCAGTCCTGGTGGCTGAGTACCGGTCTTGGCCTGGATTGCTTTCATCAAGATATCCACCTCCGTCGAGAACTCGACCTCATTGCTACAGGAACCTTTTCCCTGTGCAGCTGCTCTATTGCTCGATGGCTGAGCCCCCGAGGATTGTTGTGAGCCAGTATTGTGTTCAGCCTTGGTCAGAGGATCTCTGACTACTCGATTGACGGCATTCTTGGCCGGCCGGATATCGGGTATTTGCTGGATAGATGGTGGCTCAGAAGAAAGGCGAACTGGTTGATGATTAAGCGGTTGCTGACCAGCTACAAAGTAGTGTTGGTAACCCGGATGATGATGGTGGTGGTGGTGATGGTGGTTGAGAGTGTGCCCGAAGCCGTACGCGGCCGATGAGGATTGATGAAACGGTAATGGAAATGGGGCAGTCGGGTTGGTATAGAAAGAAAAGTTATGGCCGACATTCGAGTTCATCATTCGACGAGGCGCAACAGCCCCGACGGGATGGCCGGGAAACTCGTATGACACTGGTTCTGCAGTCTCCATCTTGACGAACGCAATGGAGGATCCCTGGGCTTGCGTTTACTCCGCCCTCGTGCTTCGAAACACCTTTTGTCTCTTGCTCGGGTTGTTGCAAGCGGTTGGAACGCAAAGCGCACCAAGATGGTGAGAACAAAATGGCCGAGGAAGAAAAGGAAACCAGGCCCCTCCTGCTATCATGTCTCAGTCATCCAGCTCTACAATCTCGCAAGATGATTCCGTGGAGTAATCTTACTGAATGGAAAAGGCTGTCACTCACCCGGCTTTTGGAGATGCTCGGAATTGCGCAAGCAGTTGCTTAAGATGAAGCAAAGAAGCAAACAGGCCGGGAACTAGCAAATAAGATATAAGGTCCCAAGTCAAGATCAAGATCAAGATCTCAAAAAGCAAACATTGGCACCAGAAATGGCTCGAGCTCCCCGCAAACTGGGCGTGTCCCTGGAGAAGACCAGACCGGGTCCGGATGTATGTATATAAGATCTCAAGTAGGGCAAGGAGGAAGAGTGGAGAGAGACAATGGATTGTGGCCGACAGTCACAACGAGGAGGGCTATGACATTGATTTTGACAATGGGGGATCAACAATAAGCAAATATACGGCTTGTTTCTTCAGGCTTTCTTCTGGGTTAAGATTATTTCGGCTTTTTCTTTTTCTTTTTCCTTTTCTTTTCTGTTTTGTGCGGGCCGCCTGAGTTTCTTTTGGATTTATATATCTCTCTCTTTTTCTGTCTTTTTTTTTTAAAAAAAAAGGGTAAATAATAATAATAGATTGCCCGGTTTCTCTGGACCCTCCCTTGACGATTGGGGCCGGTGATCTAGAACTAGATATACATCGCTACCTTACCCACCCACCTCCCTTTTCGGTGTCCCAGAGCAGTGGAAGCAGCGGGGTGACCAGTGACAGGGATGTTGCCTGCTAGTTGGTACTTAGCTGAAGGCTTGTACAGACCAGAATAGGATAGGTAGGCAGTAGCTGAGCTGAGGAATGGGGGTTGTTTGGGGGGGTGGAAAGTATGTATGACCAGGTATGAACGTATGTATCGATTGAATGGCTGTATTTCCGTATGGATGTACGACGGGGCTGTCCTGTCATGGAGGTATTGATCTCGGTCTCCTCCGTAGAAAATCCAAAAATGATTGCGGAAAAGGGGGAGCCAAGGCCGTCAAATGACGAGACCTGATAGATCCGAGAAAGGAACAATCCAAATTATCATCGGGAATATGGAACTAGAGCCTGCAGCATGGATACTATTCTCTAATTCACTTTAAAGTGCGCGCGGTAAGACTACCGTCATCCTCAATGAGCATGCCCCCCCCCCCCGGGTCACCGAAATTTAGGCGTATGCATCCAGCTCCACTGCCTAGTAGGCCTGCTCTGGGATTGATGGACCGAGCTGAATGAGATTATTATTATTCTGAATCGCTGTTGCCCCAGGTACGTTGCAGCCCCGAACCCCAAGCCACCTACCAAAGGGCTGACACATCTTACTTGGGTCCCACGAAGTTTCCTTGCGCCTCTTTCCTGGGAAAGCATGCAATGGAGCCCGTAATTTACTAGTCTCATCGACAATCATCTTGCATCAACTGAGCCAAGTCGCTTTTCCGTACGGAGGACTTGCCTAAGAACCTAGTATCGAGTACTTACTTCTGGATGGGCCCCGGGGGGATCGGGGTCCACCGATGCTGGGGCTTTAGCCCAATCGCGGAACACCCAGTGACGTTCCGATCGGGCTGACAATCACGCACCCACATGGACGGTACGGAAGGGGTACTAGGCCATTACTGCCGACTCAAAAGCTAATGTGATGCTATCCCAACTATACTATCCTCTCTGTGTAAGTAGAGAAGGTAGGCGGCAGATACTTCTGACTAGCTAACCGGAATCTACTAGGTACCTATGGGGAGCATCGGTATCCCCAATCAGTAGTAATCAGCAGCAAACTGGATAAGCATGGCGAGGCAACCGCAGAGCTGGCAATACCGCCACATTTCGATAGGAGAAACAAACAGCAGGCCTCCATAAGCATTGGAGGGAAGGGGAAAAAAAAAAGACGGACGCAAGCTCGTAATCGACAGCCCACACCCACGAGTAGGCATATCATCTGACCCAGGAGAATGGACCAGGCATCGACCCCGACTAATTGAAGAGTGAGTGGAGTGTGGGCTTTTTTCTGACACCTGTTAGTTAGAGCTGATGTAGTACCTGACTAGTACTTCAAGTCCGAACCCGATGATCATCACAATCGTTGCTGCTGGCAGCTGGCCAGTGACTTGGGATCAGACCAAGGTAGGTAGGGGGTACATCCTGTTTACTCAGGTGCTAATTGCCATGCTGCTTGAACACAGCTCTGTTACCGTTCCCGTATTATTTCATTATGCCAGCCAGCCAGCCAGCCAGCCAGCCAGCTGCTAGTGAAACAACCAGGATACCCTCGTCATCTACGCAGGCACCTGAGCTGTTGGGATCTATCTCAGCAAATCGGGGTCGGTTTCATACCGGACAACCTTGCCGGCCAAAGGATCATCGTCGTCACCTGGATGAATGTAGATCTTGGGACTGGGCCTCGTTACCCACGGGGGTCACCCATGGATCCGTGAGCAAGGATGGTTACTAACCGGCCCTAAGGCTACTCATGACTTATCAGGGCTTCAAGGTCATCAGAACAAAGGATGGGGGCATGTTCGGACTACATAAGCACCGCACCCTGCAGCGAACTAAAGGGGATTGGAAGGTACTGCCTGTCAAGTGTCAATTCTTATACGCGCCGTGGGGTCTCCGCGGCTTCAAGACATGGAAGCCTACTTGCTCCGTATCCTATCCTACCACAACTCGGCGCAGAAGCGGGTGGTAATTTTCATTCTGAACGCTGGTTCGCTGCAGGGGCACCCGAGAACTCCGACCTCCGACGACAGGACCGTATAGGCATTGGCGCTGGCTGAGCTGAGCCGTACTCCGGTTACCTCTGGTAATAAGTAAGACCCCATTGGCACTCCTTGGCTTGCGGCTCCAGGCCAGTTTGCCTTCACCAACATTTTTGGCGGTAGATTTCCGTGAGCGATGGGGTTGTCTATCTTCCAGCTACTGCAGTGGTCAAACGGAGAAGGTGGTTTCCAATTAGCCCGGCAGCTGGTTGGCGTGTACGGAGTATGTATGCGGGAAAACCAACGGAGACGAGGAATGGAAAATTACCTCCGTACTTCTGGTCAACCGCAAAGCATGACAGGGTTCGCCCGGCAGAGCTACACAACGGACCGCTCGCGGGCGATCAATAGTGTAGCAAGCCCCGGTTGCTCATTTGTGGTCAAGCTCCCCACTGTCGCCCCCTCCTTGGCGTCCACGGATGTGCCTCACTCTCGCAACAGCCGCGACTGGCGACCTGGAAATCCCAACAGGGTCCCCCTCTGTACAACCAACATGCTCCCGAGTTCCCTTCAGTTGGCTGCAAAGTAAGCTGGCGAATGGTATAAAAACAATGGGACAGTTCAGAGATTTTCATGGTGCCTACGAGCACGGGTTGGAACTGGCTTGCCCAGGTCTTGGCCAGAACAACCCGCGATAGATCTTTCTTGCCTTAATGTCTACCTAGTACCTCCGCCATGGATGACTCCACTTTGACTCTTTTATTAGCACTACTATGTAGACGGTGCAGCCCCCGATCTATCATCAATCTCTCTATGGAGTACTCTGTACGGAGTACGCAGGTGTACAACGTACATATGTAGTCTTTACCCCTGAAAAAGTGGGCTTATCTCCATATTGAAACATGCAAGACTTCGGCGAGGCTGGCGCTGATGGCGAACCAACACGAACGGTTGGAATGGGTATCTTTTATCATCAGGCTAGACTTACTATTGTGGAATGCTGGTTACGACTGTAAGCTATTTTTTTTGGAGGTTGTCTTTTTTTTTGTTTTTTTTTTTGGTTTTTTTTTTTTGGTCAAAATTGCTTTGGTTCAGAGAAACATAGTATGGGGGTAAGGTTAAGAGCATGCTTATGTAGGCGCTAAGTACGGAGTAGGTACTACTATTAAGTTATTGACCAAGGGACCCGCGGACTTACCTACGACTTACCTACGCACTATACGGAGTAGTACTAGTGCAGACGGTGGAGGATAGAACGCCTGATGTATCTACTAGCTTGGCCAGTGCTCGGTATTTCATACGAGATTGTATCCCATATCCAGAATGGAATTGTTTCATAAGTCCGAAGACAACAGATCCTATCCAATGAGGGTCGTTTTCGCCTAGCCCCGTGCAACATCAGGACTCTCTCATCACTGGATCCTAAGCTCCCACTGATCAGGTTTGCCCGAGAAAGCCCTGCGTGTAAAAGCTAAAAAAAAATATGGGCCTATCGTATAACTAGGGTGGATCGGGAGAAGGCAAGCGAGAAAGAGAGAGAGAGATGACAGTGAAAAGGGAACAGGATAAATTAAATTAGGTGCATCACTACTCCGTATAAAGGAATGCATGGTGATGGAGGCTCTCGTGGCCGAGTGAGGGAAATGTACCCTGTCGGCGTGACTATCATTTCTCCTTTTCTGTCCGTTGCTGTGACGGGCCGGGCCTTCATCTCGGAACCGCTCAAACTTAGCCATGACCCATGGATCTCGAACAGGCTGGTAAAATTTAACGCTATGTTTGAAGCTCGCCCCCAGCCCCCTTAGGGGTCGTACTAACTTTATTAGTGGACCTCGCGAGTCGCGAAATCACCTATGTCAGCCTGAAACTTGAGGTAGAGCCTTTTCTACATCCGTGCCAGAGTTGAACCGTGCTCGTCCACTTAGTGGGATATTGGTGCAAAGTACGAAATACAAAATATGAGGGCTATCGTCGGGCTTATGGATCGTGGACGGCGACCACCGCGATTCCGACATTGTGGGCCAGCCAGGCTGAGAGCCAACCAAGGATCCTCTAGCGAAGATCTATTGGATTGACTTACATACAGTGCCTTACTGCACGGGCTGTAGCCTGTAGGTACCGTTCAAAGTTCAGGCCTCAGACCTCCTCAGTACATACATAGGTAAGCATATCTGTGGATTCGGATCTGTTTGAAAATTAGACCACCTCCGTCGCGTCCTCGGATCGGACCATGGGGTGTTACCTGCGCGTTCGTAGGCGGCGGCTGATCCGCACCGATCGGGGCCTCAAACATGGGATCTAAACAGGATAGGAAGGCAAGCGATCGCGAGATGTATCACATCCGTGGTTTCACGCAGTGTCAGGAGGAGAAAAAGGCAGAAGCCCTGACATCATAGGTATACCAGCTGCTGTTCGCCTCGCTAGACGTACTTGGTACTTACCACGGCGGTTTTTGGTAATCAACATTGTTGCCTGTGTTACGCAGTCACTACTGGTCTACAGGCGAGTATCCCCGTCGCGTCTCATAATCCTGAATGATGGTTCATGCATAGTCTGCATGTACTGTTATGTACAATGATGATATATGTTGATTGTGCGAACACAGCAGCTTGAGTTGGACCCACCCAGAGCTACCTGAGTAGCGAGTACGTACTCCGTATACCATCTTTGATCCCGAGTGTATGCACCGGATTACATATGGTGAGGTGATTCTTTTGCTCCGATCTCCCAGTGACAGTGACAAATATAGTCACGTCCAGGTTTCTCTAGAGATGGCCCTGGTCCGGTTGCTCACGTCGCCCACTGGACGGAGAATTTTCTTCTTTCATCATCTACCACTATCTAATACCTATATCAAGTACAAGTACTATCAACGCAGAAGGACCGGCGCGCCTGTATCAATTGTGAAAGGCACACAGAATGCTTGAGTGCTGAATACTACAAATAGGAATGACAATCATATTGGAGCACAACTCAATGTATGCACAACACGGCGACAAGGCGACAAGAAATGAATGGATTACCAAGGCAATCGTAGAGGTTTACTCCGTATTGCCTGCCAAGAAGAAACCAACGACAGGCTATTCTGCCCACCCCCTTCAATCCCGAGCAAGATCCGCCCAGTCGATCATCACGGCTCCTGCTCGGGTAAAAAAAAAAGGGAGGGGAGGGGTGGTGGGGGTTGCAAAATGATATTGGCAAAACAGCCGTCATTGGCCTAGAAATCCCACGGCGATATAGATAGGTGCTGACTGGTGCTTGCTCGCGTCTTGAAACGATTCGTACTTGCAGCATTCCAAGCTATCTAGAGGCTGCCAATGCCCAAATCCACTTACTGCCTCGTGATCGCCGGGGCTTGTCAGAAGATGCAGGCGAGCAAATCGCGGCCCATCAATAGCGCCTGCTAGATAGATGGCACTGCCCGGGCTGAACGACCCACCGGATTGAATTACCCAGGTATGAAATGAACGATGTATCGAGAGTGGATACAACAGCATGGGGGTTTTTTTTCTCTGTTGCTCTCACACACACTGTCCAGCCCTTTCATTCTCTTCTACTCCGTACTTCCTTATCGATTAATTGTAATAAAATCATGTTCTTCCTCTCAACCTTCCGTAGTGCCTGCCCATAATATATGGTATAGGGTTTCCGGATGGCTGCAAAGCTGCAATACCGGGAATCAGATTCCATGGGTTTGAGACGAGACCAGTACCTACCTCATCGCCAATACGAGCTTCCATACCCCGTACATACTTACCACTAGGGTACGTGACTTATGCCCGAGGGAGGAAACGAACCACCCCATCTTCCATCCTTCATCCCCCATCCCTCATCCCTCTTCCGCCACACCGCATGGACTTGAAAATCAGGAACGGGGGAATCGAGGATCGATATTGATGGAGAGTGGAGCAGTCCATGGATACGGAATCCAACGCAAATTTTGTCATCGCTCATCACATATCACTCTTATCACTCTCCCCAGGCATGGGTTTACACTTTCCAGCCCATACAGACATAGACTGTCCGACCCAATGCAAGATGGCTCTTCTATCACACCGCGGACATTCCATGGGCATGCCTGCGCCTTATCCCCATCATCCAAGCCGCTCCGGACTCACTCCGTTCACTGGGCAGGAACCCACCAGGAGGATCCATCTAGTTGGAGGATCGTCATCCGCAGACAGGCCACCCGGTGCCCCCACTCGCTTACTATGTACAACAAACTACGTACTGAGGAGCACTACGACCGAGTATACAGTCCTGAGACCTAACTGATCGTGGCTTTTACCGAATCTAATTCGGGATCTGTCCTGTATTGCCCTTGGATCACCATGCCATGCTCCGTCCACACGCCGTACTCCGTGCTTACTCACCTCTTACAGCATTTCGATGCATGTGCAGAGTACTCCGTACTACATACATATATACGGGCATAGCCATGATGACGATGCGCCAGCCTTCGTCCGAAAATACAGCGGCCGTTTCGCTTGCACTCGTCCCTCCACGTATAGTCGGTAAAAGACATGTGCCGCCAGGCACTTTTCTGCCAATTGACATGTCATTGTCCAGTATCGAACCGATCTCATCTCCCTAGAGATTCTTGGCCAGGTGGGTAAACACGCGATTGATATTCTTCTAGCACGGATCACCTACCTATACATGGAAAATTTCCCTACTGATTTGACCTCAGATGATGTTCGTAAAGTAGGCGACCATGACACTGAACTTCGCCTAATCCGGGTTGATATAAATCCCTGACTCTGCTCTGGTGGTGGTAATGGTGGCGGTGGCGGCAGCGACCTACGGCCTCCATGCACATCGGAGACTTTCGCTCGTTGTCTTCTTAATGGCCGGTGTCCTTACTGTAGCTGGAACCCCTGGGAGTCCGTGAACCGGACTAACTAGTGGACTGTCGATCTCGATTTAGATCATTTCATGATTCAGTGAACTCCGTACGGGCCACGGAATTTACAGGTGTCTGATATGCAAGTACGAAGCAGTACCATGTGTGATATGTGATATGCGATACGATGTGTGCTGCAACTGCAAGGTCCCTCACACCGTGAGCATATAAACTCTGGCTGACTTCACGGTTCCATTGTGTTCATGAGTGTCAGGTCAAGTCTGAAAGATCGCATTGCAGCTCATGCCCCTTATTCGCGGTACACCTTCCCGTTTTTTTTTTCCTTATCCAAGACTAACATATTCATGTTTGCATCTGCATTGGGACTGAATAGGGGTAGCGATTACTCCATACTGACTTGCCTCTTGTGAATTGCAGGCAGGTGCTTGTCACATGGACTGCGTGTACCCTGATCGAAGTTGATCTTACGCGCATGGGACTAGAGCCATGGGCCAGCCCACAAAGAGGGCGCGCTGTACGGAGTAGAGCCTAGGTAGCCACAGCAGCATGTCCCTGAACAGTCAGTGGCAATCGATCTCGCGTGTCAGCAAGACACGGACTTTGGATCAACTCAAGGGTCCGAAGGGCGATCTCCCTCCCCAACTGCTCTACGCCCCGGCCAGCAAGCCTACTGAATCATTAACCAATTTTGGCCATGGCAACCACTAATGGAGCACCAGCCTCTCTACCGATCGTCACACTGCTCTCGTGACAATTGCATTCAGCTTCCTCAGAATAAACTCACAACCACGTAATCAGCGCGAAATTACTACCAGTACAGCCTTCTTTTTATTGTGTTTCGTTTTCTCCTTTTTCGCTTTGCTCGGGGCGGTTCGTCTCCTTGAAAAGAGAGTTCCAAGGTCACTTTCCCGTATACGGGTGCAGTGACAATAAAAGCAATCGGCCTTTTGCAACGCAAGTCCCAGAAGTGACGTCGAACAAGGCGCACCAAGTAGAGGAATCAGAAACAGAAGATTCGAAAAAGAAAAAGAAAATCCACATGTGCGCCTAGGCTTTCCCAAATCATTCTCATCACCGTCCGGTGTAATTGGAGTATCTGATCAAAGTAACCTGGTTAGCATTTATCCACCGATAGAGCCGACACGGCAATCAACGCCTCGAGAACAAGTAATAAACATACCTCCAGATTCTTGCCCGCATGTCACCACTGCCGGTGGCGAACAGGTTATTAGTAGGGCTGGGCGCCACTGAAATGACTGTTGCTTGGTTAGCGAAAAATCGTTCGGCAAGGCAGCCGTGACCGTTCTGGACTACAAACCAGAGTTCTTGTGGCCTTGAAGCATCATCTGCGCGTTTCCGGTGACGGGATCCCAGAACTGAACGCCCCGATCCTTAGAGCCACTCATGACCCAGTGTCCATCGGGCGTCAGGCAGACGCTCAGCACAAAGTCCTAGGTCTTGGAGTCAGCAACCGGGAAGCTTCCCTCGCTATCAAGGAGTACATACTTTGTGGCCTTCGAAAGTGCGGACGCATTTACCGCCCTTGACTCCGCTTCCGGGATAGGCGCCCCGGGGCACGTTAAGCTCCCAAAGCTTGATGGTCTTGTCAAGACTACCACTGACAAGGTCCCGGCCGTTGGGGGCGAATGCGACCGAGTACACACTGTCCTTGTGGCCATCGGGGCTCTCCAACCGCTCCACGAGGTAACCGGTAGTAGTATCCCAAACACGGACACTCTTGTCAAGAGAGCCTGCCGCAACGTAGTGGCCATCAGGAGACATGGCAACGGTAGTCACTCCATCCTCGATGCTCAGGGTGTAGACCAGCTTGCCGTCCAAGATGTCCCAAAGGCGCACGGTCTTGTCTCCACTACCGGACGCAATGTAGCGACCGTTGCCGGCGAAGTCAAGCGAGTAGATATCCTGCTCATGCCCGGTAAAGATATGCTTAATCGTCCGAGCGTTAATATCCCACACCTAAGACATTAATATGTTAGTCTCAGCAGTATCAATACAGCGCATAGCCTCGATGGCAATGGCATTAAGCAGGGGTTCTAAGCAGGATGAAGCAAAGCAGACGGAAGAGCAGTGTTCCATGAAGGAATGTGTCGAGAACGCTCATCCGCATCCCCACGGAAATAAAAGGCCCAATACTAGGGGGGCAACGTACTCGAATCTGCTTGTCCTCGGCACCAGTCGCAAGGTACTTGCCATCGGGGCTGAAACACACGCTGCGGATGTAAAGATCGCCGTTCTTGTCCACATTTTCATCCTGCAAAGTGGCAACATTTTGACCAGTGGTCACATCAAAAATCTGCGCAGAACGATTGCAACCGGTCGCAAGGTACTTGCCGTCACGGCTGAATCGAACACAGCACACAACGCTGTCGTGGACGAGATGGTGAACAAGTTCCACATCCAGCACGCGCTGCACCTCAGGGTTGAACACGGCGTACCAATCAGCCCCCTCTCGCTTTTGCGAAGCAGGCAAGTCATCGGGGTTCCAATTGGCCAGCATGTTCCCTGGGCGATCGCGAACGATAGCCTGGCTAGGAGGAGTGGGCCGGGCCAACTGCGGCGACGAGACACGGGGATCCGACGTATAGGCCAGCTGGTGGGTCTGTTGAGGAGTCGCCGGACCGGGAGGAGCACGGGGCCGCTTTCCAGGGCCCGGAGAGGCGGCGGGAGGAGGGGGAGGTCCGTAGCCTGTATCGAGATCAAGCCGATCGGGGTCAGAGGTCAGGGAACCTGTCTTCAAACACAGTCACAACATACCGTTCACAGCAGCACCAGGCTGATATCCCCCAAAAGAGCTCTGCGGTGGTTGCGGCGCTCCTTGCTGGGCCGCGGCAGCAGGCTGTTGAAGGGTATGCTGGGGAGGCTGCTGATCCTGGGGAGGGGGAGGGGCAACTGGAAGACCGGGGCCACTACCTCCTTGGTTGGCCATGATGCCACCAAACAGATTGCTAGGGCCGTGGCCCAGGGCAGGTGGCGGAGCCTGGGAAGGCCCAGCGTGCTGGGCTGGGCCGGCGATATGAGACGACACGGGTTGGACACCGCGCGATTCAAGCTCGTGACGCAACACCCGGATCTCTGCTTCGTAGCTGCAAGAGGGAGATGTTAGTACGGGCGTGGAAGCCGCGAGTTAAGTCACATACTCTTGCTTCATCTTAATTTGTGCTTGTTCCAGTTGGTAAACTTTCTGTCGGATCATCTCCATCTCCTGAAGCTGTCCGGTTACTGAGAAACAAAGAGTTAGCGAGCTGCACGAGCAATGTAAACCCTCTGCGGTCGTTTCCCTTCTATCAACCGCCCGAGTCTGTCCTATACGCTGTTCCTGTGCGACGGGCTAAAGCCGGCAGAAAGCGCCGTAAGAAGCAAGACTTTTGTCGCAAAGCCGACCGGAGGCCACACATGGAAACACAAGAGGGGACAGTCAAACATACATTGGTGTTCGAACTCGCCAGTGCTCCGAGATTGATTCTCAAACTCCTGGCGCAGCTGGTCCAGTAACTCCGTCAGACGGGAGTTAGGAGCCGGAACCATCCCGCGATGGGTGTTATACATAGCGCAAGCTGCTGCTGCTGCTGTTGTTCTCCTGCGTTCGATTGACGAACAAATAGAGGGAACCGAGGTCGCTCTGACGGAGGATCAAACGGGTGGAAGGATGGGGGAGATCAACGGGGAGAGTGGTCTGCGACTGGGGGCGATGAGAGTCACTGGAAGGCGACAGAGACTGCTGGGAGGAAATCAATCACCGCAGCCGCATCACAGCGCGCCCCTGAGGACTCGGCGCGGCAACGTGGTCGTAAGGGGAAACAGCTGAAGAGAATAAGAAATTGTCGTACGTGGAGGATCGCGCGGGGGAGGGAACCTGAGGATGACGATCGATGGACGCGGACGGTGGGCAGACGGGAAGGGATTAGAGAGGAGGAGAAGCTGAGGCTGAAGGAGGAGGAGAACGAGATGAGGTGACAGTTGAAGGTCCGTTCAGGTTCAGTTCGTTAGTCTCTCTTAGGTAAGGTCCGGCCATGCTCGGCTGCCCGGGTCCGGAGATCGGCGGCGGCCCAATGAGCTTGCCCGCTTTGCCGCCCCAAACGAGCCTTAGGCGAGAGGCGACCGGGGGACCTCGAGGAACTTGGTCATCCTCCAGCCCTTGAAGCGACAAGCGTGAGGACAGCCAAGCTAACAAAGCCCCTCCGGAGCTTGTGTATCCCTCTAAGACCTGGTTGAATCTGTCTGTCGAGCAGATGACCGTCGTGACCATCCATGACCGAGGATGCTCACCACAGGGCCGCCATAGCCGCCGTATTACCATTCGAATACGGCAGTTGAATTACAATCACGTGCCGGGTGTTATCACTTATCAGATCGTCGGCGTTTCGGATGGCGGAAGGCACCACCACTCAGGAACTCGGCTGTAATTTCCCTCGCGGCTTCCAGACACGGATACCTGTACACTGTCCTCCGTATGGAGGAGTACACTATATGGGGTACTTGACCGAAGGTAGTACCTATCGACACCTCTCCCCGGCCTCCTCGGACTAGATCGAGATCCAGGATCTGACTTCATTCCCTAAAAATAATGGATGCTTCTATTATCTACTCCGTATCTACGGAGTAGATACTACTAATCTGCACCTCCGAACCTCCCCACCACCGTCTGGACCACTCTGGCTGTCAACAAATCAGACGGGACGGCAGCCCTCGTTCCGCCTGGTGTGATCCTCACCTGCCTATGATAGGCTCTCCACCACCACCGTGGATGCTTTTTGTTTCTTATTATTACTTAACTTCTGCACCCCTTCTTTCTTCTCTTCAAGCCGTTTCTTTGCCCCTTCTTCCACCTCCTTCCCCTCGTCCTCCCTTCCCTTCTCCTTCTTCCTCGCCGTCGCCATCGACCTACTAGCTACCGGCCGGCTCTTCGTTCATTCTTACCGCCCGCCCCCTTTCTCCGTCTGGGCTCTTGATCGTCAATAATAACACCTGCTCTGCAATTCTCCCTACGCCGCACGCCTTCCAGTGTCTCTCCTTTCGCCAAGTTCCGCGGCCACTCGGGCACGATGGATATCGCCCTCGAAATCTGGGACACCTTTATCGGTGATCGTCTCTACGCCTCTCTTCTTCCCGTATCCCTCTCCTCGTCGGTCTCGCTTCCCAGCTTCACCACTGTCGCCAACAGCACCCTGTCCCTCTTCGGCGCATCTCAACCCTATGTCTATGAACCGGCCACCCAATTGATTTACTTGGAGCCTTCCAAATATGCCTACATGAGCGCTTGGCCAAGGAACAACATTTACCGCCAATTCCTCAGTTTCTTCTTGATCGTCTGGTATGTGCGCATCCGTTTGGTCTCAGCGTGGTCAATTCTCCCTTGGCTAACAGGTCGTGTGCGTTCAAATTAGGATTTTTGGAATCATCGTCTACTTCATCTCCGCAAGTCTGTCGTACATCTTCATCTGGGATAAGACGACCGTCCACCACCCCAAGTATCTCAAGAACCAAATCCCTATGGAAATTGCCCAGACTATGCGCTCCATGCCAGTCATGTCTCTCTTGACTGCCCCCTTCTTGGTTGCCGAAGTCCGCGGTTACGCAAAGCTCTATGATACGTTCTCCGACGAGCCATTCCCTTACTACAGCATCTTGCAATTTCCGCTGTTCATCATGTTCACCGATCTCTGCATCTACTGGATTCACCGCGGCTTGCACCACCCGCTCATCTACAAGACGCTACACAAGCCTCACCACAAGTGGATTATGCCCAGTCCCTTCGCTTCTCATGCTTTCCACCCGCTTGATGGCTGGTCCCAAAGCGTTCCTTATCATGTGTTTCCGTTCATCTTCCCGCTTCAGAAGGTGGCCTACGTGTTCCTCTTCGGATTCATCAACCTCTGGACCGTGCTGATCCATGACGGCGAGTACGTTGCCAACAGCCCTGTAATTAACGGAGCGGCCTGTCACACCATGCACCATTTGTACTTCAACTACAACTACGGCCAGTTTACCACCCTCTGGGATCGCCTCGGAGGGAGCTATCGGAAGCCCAACGAGGAGCTCTTCCGCCGCGAGACGAAGAATGGCCAGGAAGAATGGAAGAGGCAGACCAAGGAAATGGAGTTCATCCTCAAGACGGTCGAAGGCGATGACGACCGGGCGTATTTGGCCGATACGCAGACCAAGAAAGTCCTATGAGAGATGATCAAGACTTTGATGGGGAGTCTGTTTTTGGAGGTTCTTACCAGGCCCCGGCCTCGTTACCATCGTTCTCAACCTCGGTGGACTCCAGCAATCCTGATGGAGCCACCGGCCAATATGCTACCACCAAATATGGTAGCATGGCTTTATCCAAGCTCTATTTCCACCCCTTGCGAAGAAGCCCCACATGTGTGGTTGGTGGTTTTTCGGGTTTGGAGCCTGCTCCCGCGACCCGGAATACATTCACCAGGATCGTTTCTGTTCCTGGGCCCAACGTTACGAATTAATGGCTTTCCCCCTCTTCCCTTCCCATACCACGCTGCCCTAATTACGTCTTGTATAACACTTACTCTAGTATATTAATTCGTCTTCATTCTCAGATTTGTATTTTAATACAGGGTCAGGGTCCAAGTCACCGTTCACGCATTTTGCTGGATTGCAGTCCTGGCCGGTTTCTGTTATTTTATCGTCTTGCTTGCCTCTTGCTTTGTACATATAACGGACGGAAGGGGGAACGGTAGTTTTGTGCCAAATTTACCTATATATAATGGGAAGAATTCGCGGTCGGACATTGTATAGTATTATGGAGGGGAAAGACACAGATGAGTGATCTACTTTAGTACGGGATGGAGGCGCTCATTTTAAAATATGAAGCTTTACTTAAGGAGACCAGAGTAAGCTGGGTAATGAGTCGAGGCTCCTCACTGTGAAAAATCTGCTAAGGACTTTCAATAAGCTAGGAGAAGTGTCTTGACATTGAGGCGAAGAGTTCGAAAGTATGAAAAGATTCATCATTGACCCAGAGGTTCGAAAAAGCAAGGCTCAATCACGAACAGTGAGAGCCGTATTACCGGATAAGAGTTCATCTTCAATGATTATATTATTCTTTTTTTCTTGAACGCCCTACCCGCTGAATTGGTCGAGATAAGTCAAGTGTACCTATGAATACAGAGAGGGAACGGACTGTCCCGAATGAGATACATGGAAGAGATCTTCCCTGATAGATACGATCCGAGCTCGTTTATGAAATGTCCACACTCGCATCGGCTTCAGCAATATCCATTTCCCCATCTACTGGAGCGTCCTCAGAAACGACGTTCTCTTCGGATGCAGGAGGAGCAACCGTACCGACGGGGGTCGCTGTGGCCATGGCGTCCGCAATGAAGGATTCCTCGACCCCGGCTTTCCTGCGGAACACTCTTAGCCAACGCTGGCCCCATTGACGAATGATCTCATCTTCGGGCAGGTTGCCACTTCCGTCTCCTCTTTCCATCAGTTCATCGTTACTTCCACCGGCGACTGACACGATGGAGTCTTCGATCACCTTGAAAAGAGCTTGCATATCGACCTTCTCGCGATTGAGGGTCTCGTCAAGAACGCTGAGCTGAGGTTCGTAGAGACCCTGCTGGGTACGTGCGGCAACAATCTGCCGCAGGCGGTTGGTAACTTTCCCGACCGTAGCGGAAATCATTTCGAAGATGTGTGATTTGGCAAGGACATTTCCTGCATCCAGCTTATCCACCAGCGCCCATTCAATGACCGAAAGCGGAGTCAAGATGGTGTAGTTGAGAAGCTTGTCAATGATGTTGATACCGACGCCTGGCTGATCAACCCAATATTCCATGACCGAGGTTATGATCTGGCGCCGCGCCCGGGGCGACTGGGGACCAATTGCCAAGAGCCGTTCCTTGTTTCGTTCAATGCAGGACAGTACATGAGAGAGTGATTTGGAGCCAACAAAGCAAATGGCCGTAACAAAGGCGTCTGTCGAAGGCAGCAGCGGATCCTCGACGCCGAGGGAGCTGGCTTGCTCTTCAATAGCATTAATTACCGGCTGGATTTCCTCATCGCCTGCCTTCTTACGGACAAGTTGCATGATTTCTCTGCCTTCATTGGCATATGGGGTAGCTGGACGAAAACAGGTCAATCTCTTGGCATGGTTTCCAAAGGGAAGCCTAACTTACTGTCGGACGAGTATTTGAAGTCAGGAGTATCCTTCTCTTTCCCTTCCGTGATCAGGTCTTGGTAGGGATCAGGGAGGGTGCCCCGGATGCGCTGTGCAAAGCTCAGTCGGATTTCCTTGTCGAGGGCGCCGGTAATGAAAGCCATCCGCGGGTGAACGAGAGGCAGCTCCAAGTCCTCGATCCTGGCCCATCGTTAGGTTCTCTGCGCCATATTCTGTGTACTTCAGCCTAGGACTTACCATTCACTCCATTTCCAGGTAAACCCAAAGTTACTCAGGTGATGAGCGAACCAGTCCAAGAACCGATGGCTCAAATCCAAATCCATCGTCTCCAGACTGCGGTACAAGAAGCGAATAGCACGCCCCAGACTGGGTGCAATTGCGGCCGGGGCAATTTTACAGCACTCCGTGAGAACGGAGTGATAGTAAACCAGCTTGTGCTCAGGGGAAGGCAGCTGGAATAGTTGAGAAAATACGGCATCCACGGCAACATCCTCGGGCTTCCATTGCGTGTCTCCAGGCAAATCACGCAGTCGATCAAAAGGCGTGGCGCGCTTCACGAAGGTATGTGGCGTGAAGTAGCAATCGACGTCGATCAAGAACTTTGCCGTTGCAATGCGATTGAAATCAAGGATATTTATGGTGTCGACAAGGGCGTCACGCAGCAACGAAGAAGCGATGTCTGATGTAGAAGGGACCGTCTCAATGTCTTGGTTCGCGTACACAGAGAGGTATACCTCCGGGAAGATCGCTCTTGTACCGTTCTTCACCGGGCTCGGAACGGTGATCTGGGGGAAGGGGTGCTTTGGCCCATTTTCATAAGTCTTCGGCTCCGCTGCCTCTGTTGACTCCGCTGCATCCATTCCCTCTTCTTGCGCCTCTTGTGTTTCCTGCATTTCCTCGGTTCTCTGTGCATTTAGTGCCTCTAGCGCCCCCTTCCATGGCCGAGGGAGGCACACAAGCGCCCAACCCTGACCGGACTCCCCCTGCAGCTGATTTTGGACTAGGCTGATGACGCTTTGCGTAGCAGTTGGCTTGCCGTCCTCGGGGCCGAAGGGATTTACCAGGTCGACAAGGGCATGCGGTGTGGAAGCGATGATGTCTGTCTTCTCCAGGAGTGCCGTGGCCTGGGACTCGAATCCGGCTGCTGGAGAGGCCATCACGTACGGAATAGTAAAGAGAATAATCTTCACCAACTCCAAGCCAAGCAACTGTATGCGGGTAGTTAGCACTTAGGTGACACTGGGACCGAAAATGTACTGGTGTCGCTTACATCTTCCGATGATGCTGTTTGAAGGTCGACAGCGCGCGCAAAGAGCTCCTCAAGTACTGGGAAGATACCATCGCCTTCGAAGATACATTGAAGGCAGCCCAGGAACCGCAGCAGAAGCTTAACTTCGCGCCACGCGCCAACATCAACGTACTTCTGCAAACATTCACTCGATCTGTTGAGAACATCGGACACGAGTTCGGGCTTCTGGAAATTGGCGATAAGGACAGCCGCCGCGATGAAGGGGATCTTTAACGGCTGCTCGAGGACACTGGTTCCATAGCAACATCATTAGCTCCAGGCTACGCGGCAATTGAATACGCAAAGGGGGGCAGTCAAGTCATACAGGTCAAGGGCGATGTCAACGAAGGAATTCCTGAATTCCTCATCACCGTAGTTATCCGCCACGCTTTTCGCAATGCTTACAGCGTCGTCCTCTGCTCTTCTGGCAGCCTGAAGCAAACGGGGTGAGCTACAGCACTTGCCACGGAATGGTTGCGCGATTGGGGTATTGGAAGGGTATTCGTACAGATTCAGCGATCGTAAGTAGCTGTCTTCGGACCTTGACAATAAGTGGTTCTTCATAGCGACGTCTCTGGCGGCGGTCATAGTCATCATCTTCTGTGAATTCCCAGCGGATTGTCAATGGTACGTCCAACCAGAGGAGGGAGCTCGAATTAGAGCCAACAAACAAAGAATCAGGGGAGTGGAAGCCATCAACAACAAGCAATTGAAATCAAAGTCTCGGCCATAATGGAATTGTGCGTGTGACTGACCTCTGTAGCGCCTCTTGCGCCCACCCCTGGGGCCATGAGGTCGGCGTTCGTAGTCGGCCATCGCTAGTGGACCCTGCGTCGACACGAGTAGTCTCGCGCACCAGCTGCTTCCGAGTGGTGTAGAAAGGAGGGTCTAATTTGCAGCCAGAACGGCGTACAATGGTGGCAGCGACAAGCTCTTCGGTGGTAATGCTGTCGGGACAAAGAGGGCGTGCGACTAGGAAACAAAACATCACCAATAATGCTCAGCCAGGTCGGGATTCGGGATCCTCCGTCCCGCTGATTATCTAACCAGAGCTCAGGTGGGCCGGGCAGATGCCACGCAGAGGAATCCGAGTAGTATGCTCAGGTGGACGTATTTATATTTTTGGAGTGCGCAAATGGAAAGGACAGTAGTATTCGGAGAGGCTCGTATAAAACAAAAGCGTGTTTGGCCCCCCCGGGCGATTTTCTGCAGGAGGGGGGATGCAAGTTCTACACATACGCAATTATATAACCCCGGCACAACAGATAGCAGTCGAGACGGGCCACAATACAACATGTACGCAGGGAAAACTGCAAACAGGCCAGCTAGAAGAGCAGAGCAGGTACAGCAAGCTGTGGTTATACACTAGGAAGTGAGAGTATCCAGGCATAGTTCTTTGGGTCCTCTAGGATGCACAACTAGGAACAGAAGCAGGCGAGAAAAGCAAAGGAGTCGTCTGCATTCGGAGGTTAGAGCCAGGGAGCTGACAGCTTCATGATCGTCAATACCAAGCGAATGAGGATGGGTTGGCGCGAGGAGGGCCAGCGGGGACAAGAGAACGGAGAAGAGGAAAGAAATTCAAATTCAAGCAGCAATGACACAAACGGGGCTTCTAGCGCGGCAAGTCGGGAAAGAAGACCTCCAATACCTATATTCAAGCACACTGACAGGCACGCGGTATGGCGCATCCAAACAAAGAAATCCTCAAGATATCTGACGCATTTGTAGGATATTCATCTTTCCGCCCCTTCTGGAGAAGACTTGCGGCAACTTGTAGACAGGGCCCCTTCAATCGAGACATGAAGCTATGCAGACTTGATCCCGGAAGGCAGACTCACGCAATAAGGGTATCACTTTTTTCCTTCCCAAGAGTTGTCTCAGACACCTCAATAACTCCAGGCTATATCATCCCATCGACCCCTTTGCGTGAAACTGTCATGATCAACTAACCACCCCCTCTCAAGAACTTTTCTGGTCGTCAAGAGTCACAATTCCCTCCACGCCACCTAATCTCGTGGATCAGCGCCCCTCTGTTCAACGTCTTTTTTCCGGCATTTTTTTTTTGGTTTTCGCTCTTGTTGTTTTCTTCTCCAGATTTCCATGCACGCGTTTTACCTTATCTTGCAATGTCTTCCCACACAGAAGCCAGCTCCCGGATGCCCCGCCTATGGAATAGGTCTACAGATTTGAATAAACCTTTTCCGGTTCAAAGAACCGCCCGATGCATGAATATGAGCTCGTATGGCATAAAATCAAATTTCCGCAATCATGTGCAAACAACTTTGCACACATAAGGGCGTGTATTTCGTCAGATTCGCGCGGATTGACTCAGTCAAGGCGCGCTATCATCTCTTCCTTCGTTAGGGGTTTGAAGTTGTCGATATCTAACCCGCGAGCCTCAAGTGCAGGACGTGCATGAGGAGGAATCAGCCGGCTGTTCATTGCGGGCGCGATGGAAAGTTCTATGACAATGCCATTTCGTTAGCATGATGATCTCGAGAGAACAGATTTAGAAAGCAGAAGGGAGACAGACCATGCCTCGAAAAGTCGAACAGGTTAGGGAGTTCCCTTGTGGAGCCATTCGGGTGCCGCGAATCGGGCAGCCGGGTGTTCGGTTCCCGAAGTTCGTCAAAGAATGGATGGCACATCGCTTCGATAGCCGAGAGACGTTGTGTTGGTGTATATTCGAGCAGAGCGGAGATCAGGTCGATGGCCTCGTGGGGGGCCCTCCGGAAGACCTAATGAACGATGAGTATTTGAGGCGCAGGGTCGTTTTACGAGAACTCACCTTATTGAAGGGGTGGGGCTTGATCTGCGGGAACTTGTGTTCCATGTAATTGGGGTTCATGGTGCGAATCTGTTCCCGCGTAGGAGTGCCCAGGACCTTGATGATCTCCACGAGTTGGTCAATCCCCGATTCTCCTGGGAAGAGCGGTTGTCCTAGCATCAACTCGGCCATCACGCAACCAGTAGACCATACGTCTGAGGTAGATTAGTACATACACAGAGCCGCTGAAGTGAATTGAGAATTACCAATTTTCGTGGTGTAGTTTGTTGCGCCGAAAATCAGCTCTGGTGCGCGGTAATAGCGGGAGCAGATGTACGAGACATTAGGTTCATTCTCGACCAGGATCTTCGCAGAGCCAAAGTCGCACAGCTTCAAAATGCCGGTGTTCGGGTCGAGCAAGAGGTTTTGCGGTTTAATATCACGATGGCAGATGCCCTGCGAGTGGATGTAGGCCAGGGAACGGAATAGTTGATAGATGTAGAGCTTGACTTCCAGCATCGGCATGGTTGTCTTCAACTTGTTGAAATAACGAGACGCTCGATAAACTGTTTCTGGTACATATTCGAGGACGAGGTTCAAATAAACTTCGTCTTTCTATCAAGTATCCCCGAGCATGGTTAGTAGGAAGCAAGGTGGGATGGTCCGCAAGACGGTTGGACGGATATGGACCGGAGGGGAGAAGGAGAGGAAGGAGAAGAAGGATAGGTGGGAGCAGAGAGCGACGTACCCTTTCCCCGTTGGAGTAGTAGAACGCCTTCAGCTCTACAATATTCGGGTGGCGCACGATCCGCATGATCTGAAGCTCACGATTCTGGAAGTCTGTTAGCGACCCAGTCGGCGATGTTGAGCAGTGGTGACCACGCATACTTTGAATCGCTTATCCTGAAGGACCCGTTTAATAGCAGCGTCTTCGCCGCTGGGCATCATCTTCGTTTGGAAGACGACACCAAACGATCCATTGCCGACGATTTTACATTGTGAATAGGATATTTCCTTCGTCTCCCCCGTAAGTCCATCCTGGACTTTCTCGCGGACGACTTCTGTATGATCGCGAACGACAAGGGAAAGGTCAGCAATCGAATCCTGAAAACGGGCTCAAGAACAATTGCGTCAAGGTTGTCTCTTACCACCCATGCGCAGACTCGAGAATACCCCAGGTCTATTCTGTGACATCACGGACGGCTAGTGGAGACAAGACCGGGCGGCAACTTGGGCAATGCTATCGAGAGTAGGGAGGGCTGGACTTCAACAGCGGGTGTCGGAAAGAGACGCAGAAATAAGGCGTGAGGTCCGTTTTGGGCAGACTGTATTCGGTGGAGCACTAGTTGGGAGGGGTGCTCTGGATGGGCGGAATATCCGAACGGTGGATGTTGAGTGGAGGTGCGCGTGAGATGAAAGGTTGAGAAGCGGACGGGCGAATCGCAGAAGGGAAGGCTCAGACCAAGGACCAATGGACTTGGGAAGAGTGCCAAGAGTGCAGACACAAGACCTGAGCAGGGAAACGCCCCCAAAGATCGAAACGGGCACGCAAAGGGAGGAGGATCGAGAAGGGACAATCTTTCGAGAAAAAGAAAGACTGAAGGGAAGGAAGCAGCAGCAGTAGCAGCAGTAGCAACAGAGAAATAAAGATCAAGAGGCAGCTGATTCGAGGAGCAGGTGGGTGTGACGACTATGAATTCCACGCCTCAGCAGTGTGGCAGAAGAAACTCAAGGAAGGGCGGCTAAGGTAGGTGTAGGTAGAGAAAGCACAAGTTCTCAAAAGGGAGGGATGGTCGGTCGGAGGAGAGGGAAGAGGGAAGAGAGGAGACTGAGCAGGTGACGTTGATGGAACGACGAAGCCCGAACACGCGAGGGCTGCAGGAACGCGGGAATAAAGCACCGGGAGGAGAGGAAGAAGGCAAGGAACACACGAGCCAGCTCCGGGCAAATAAGAGATATCAATAAGAATAGTAATGGATATCGACTACTAGGGAGGACGGTGGTAAAAAAGGTTAAAGGGGAGAAGGGGTTTAAAAAAAATAATCAAATCGATGAATCAGGAGTACCTACACGGGAGCTCACCTGAGGGAGAAAAGATGCCAAAAGGAGGGAATTACTAGCACCAGATCGAAATTGAGCCTGCCTCAATATCTGGTTGTACTGTCTCCCCTGCCTGTTACTAGTCTCTTAGGCCCCAGAAGGCAACGTTTGGGTTTGGAGGAGGAGGGGGGGGGGGGGGGGGGGGGGGAGTGGTTCACCTACCGCAGTAACTTTACCTTCCTGGGAGAAAGCCTAGGTAATGACCGAGGAGGAGCTGTGAGCACTGAGCACGGAGCTGTGCGAGAGTGTGGAGAGGCAACAGACTAGAGATGTGGATGTCGATGATGATGATGATGATGATGATGATGATGATGATGATGACGGTTGGAATTATTGGTACAGGGGCCCTGAGGGATTGCTGTTTATGGCCGCCGGCATAAGAATAACCATTCTTTACACGGTAGCGTTGGTCCTGGAGAAGAGATCGTTTTGATTATTACTATCTAGATACCCTTCAGGTGCCAGGACATATCACCCCGGCTAGTAATAACATGCCCCATACAAATCTATAGCTCTTCCCAGTTCACACCCATTTTCTCCGGTTATTGCACCTAGACTGTTGGGCGAGGCCCCGGAGGGGGGCTGAGGAAATTAATACTGGTAAAATGAAAGAAAAGGAAAATGAGGGAATCTAGAAAAGGGAAGGACAAAAAGAAAGAGAGGGGCGTAAATAAGTCTCTGTATAGGTGTGTACTCATACAATACAATACCGAATCGGTTTCTTCTCCAGAGGTCTTTCGAGTCCTGGGCCATGAGCCTACCTATGACGCTATTGCCCTTACCGGAAGCAAGGTACCTGGGTACCGCTAGTCAGAGGTGATACTACGACTATCTAATATCTACCACTACTACGGATGACCGTGTTGGATGATGCCGCTAAGACATGTCACTATATAGAGGGTTCCTACGTGTAGGACAACCCTCGACTTACTCATGAGGAGATTCCTTTCTCACCGCGGACTCCCCATCAGGTGATGTGTACAAGTATCTCCCGCTCCCCGAACGGAAAAGGAGTCATTTTTTGTCTTCGGCTTGCCTCGTTCCAAGCCGAATATGAAATGGAACGGAAGGTCCCAAAGTATAGTTATAACATCACCGAATCAGGTTACATCTTGGGTTGAGTTGTGGCTAGGCAGATCAGTAGGTAATATCTGACGACGGACGTGAGGTGGAACCATTCAGATTGGGTGTGAGGTAGATAGCTGCCGGGATTGAGAGAATTGAGGGCCCATTCTTAAAGGGCAGGTGACCTTGGCTCCGAGCACTTGGGTTGAGATTAGTTAGCATTGTCCTGTTGTCAGCAGATGGGTGGTGCGGTTTCATTCCCGAACACCCTTGGATCGCAATAACATTGCAACTCTTTTCCCGCCTCGCCGTCAACCAATGCAGGAAGATCGGGCTCCGGTCAATTACCTTGATCCCTACCATTCCTGGCATTGTTTTACAGGGGCTAGAACAACTGAGTGCCCGCCCGGGTCGATGGACCAGCAACACCAATTCTTCCTTGTCCCTGCAGTAGAGAAAGGAGGAGTTGGTCAGGAGATCTCCGTAGCCAACAACCACGGCGGTACTTCTGAGTTTGTACGTAAGTCATCGAATCGCCAACGCTTTTCTAGTGCTCGGTAAGGAGCGCCTCAGCCTCGTTCCCCTCTCCCCCTCCCCTGGGGAAAAAATAACCCGTCTGTCTGAGGGTCTAGTGCATCAAGAAAGGCATCTCCATAATCCAACCGGCTTAATCGACCCCTGTAGTTCTAGATTGAGCGTTCCAGGCCTTTCAGACAACTTCCCTATAAACTCTTCCGCGGGCCGTAGAGTGCCGATCGGTGAACCCAAAGGCGAGCCACAGCGAGGTGCCTGGATCACTAGTACCCCCCATCCATGTCATAGCCCGAAGAAGATTTCAGACATACTGAGGTGAGGTCCACTGGAAGTTCCGGTGACAGGCAGGGTAGTCCTGCCATCAGGTGCTGCTATTGGCCCCCGGGTGTCAAGTGACCAGCCGTGATTTTCACTGGAAGCCTTTTCATTGGCTATCCGTACTCTTGCATACGTATGGTAAATACATGATTAAGCCACCCAGAAGGTAACTAACGGAAGGTTAGTTAGCATGAACTCGGTAGCTGGGAGGAGAGGGAGTACCTGTATCCGGTCGCCGCATATTTGACCAGGATCTAGACTTCAACGTAATCGGGTGGGCTGCTGCTCACCAGGGTCGGGTGCATATGTAGGTCAGATTGGAGCTACCCGGCTGAGATTCTGGCTGGTAAATACCCACCCGAGTACTCCGTACGGAAGACTGCTATTTACTACATCTTTCCCCATGCAACCGTCATGTCCAATACCACAGGTATACCAACAAAGAAAGCCGGATGCCTACTCGTCGTGGCAGAAGTGCAGCGCAGAAGATAAGGCCAGTCCATCGTTCTAGGTTGAGTAGATAAGGTCTATGGAGGATGCCATCTTGATGCAGTAGGCGATGCCATACCCACGTGCATATTTCGTGGCCCATGCTCATCGTGTCCACGATCCCAACTCTAACTAGGCCAACTTTGTATCCGGTCATATCTATTGTTGAGCTACGACGTGCTTCGTGGCGAAGTCCCAACCGAACAAAGTACTCCTCCGTAAAGAAGTACTTGCGCTCGTACCTCATGGCGCAACCGCCACCTTTGCCTTTATCTTCAAGGTCTCATGTAAGCTCTGGTATCCAACTGCATGAGGCATGTTGCTTAGCCCAATAAACTCTGGTCGGGTTACAAATCTGCCGTATTCAGACCGAGTGACATATCACAAATTTACATCATCCATTGAAACCCAGAAAAAGAACAGTCACGGAATGAGAACAGAGGTATTCTACAGCCAACCCCACAATGACTAGGGTAAGCGCATAGTGCTAGCAGGAGCAGTTAGCACCAAGTGGTCAATGTTGAGATCTTCTTAATATAGTAGCACCAGGGTCGTGTCAGTAGACTGGAGTCCTATGAGGAAATACTCTGTTTCACACGTTCAGGTGTCACCCCCTGTTCAAACCTCAAAGAAATAAACCTTGCGCTTTTTGAATCTTAAACCTGTTCATCTATTTCTCTTCCTTTCCTTTTCTTTTTCTTTCTTTTAAATAGCGCCCCTGTAGACTTGGCATGTATGGATCTCGATTGTATGCCACCAGCCCGTATCTATTTGGCAACATAAGGATCCCCTTATCTTCTCACTACGCCACAGACGGTGTTACTCCATCTAAACAGCCCGGTGTTGGCCACTTCATGTTGTGCTGAAGCTCCCTTGCCTTTCTCCCTTGCAGCTTGCTTCCTAAAAAATAAGGGAATTGATGTACCTATCGGCCCATAAGAATGACAATACATAGCAGATGCTTACCTATGCCTCATATTATCTTCAGGTTCATTCCAACACGAGCTGTCGCAAATTTAGGCACAAATAATTTTGCGAGGGAGACAGCATGTTATTGTTGTTGTTGTTGATGATTATGATGATGTTGATGCTGCAGGTGTAGGTGAGTCCCTTGCTGCACAGGCTTAGGAGCATATCGACTGGATCGTAACGGACTACTCCGTAGAAACCCCGATCATACTCGAGCATCTAAAACAGAAGGCATGCCATTCCAAAAGTAAACCCTTCCCATTCGCTGCCTTATCGACATCGATTGCAGCGATATATGGGACTAAGAGCAGCCACATACCAGCATGAGACAATGAGGGCTTGAGGAATCCGATACTTGAAAAAGCGTTGGCTTCAAGCCACACCGAACCCAGCCAGGAGTGTCGTCGAATTAAAGACTAGGGCAGGATAAATATTGCATTGAGACAAAAGACAGCGATGCACATCATAATGGCATTAAGCTCTTACGTCCATGCCCTCGGGGGAAATAGAGGTAGGGTAGGGTAGGGTAGGGTAGCTAGCTACCCCCCAAGGCCGAAATCGAAACCCGGCTCTTCCCCTGTAGTACTTTTTTTTATCATATCAAGCAAGCATCAGACGTTATATATTCCATGTAGTTGATAGCTCTGATGACACTGCAGGCAGCCTGTGCACCTCTTTGAACTTTGCTGGGGATACCTGAGCATACGCCTAGGAGTAGGTACCCAACCACACATACCAGGAGGGGCGTATGATGCGCAGCCGAATCTTTCTTAAGAACGTATTACAGATACATTACATGGCATCCACACTAACAGGTATCATATCCCATGCCCCACCTCCAGTCAATGGTACCTTAGGCCTTAGGCCTGACTGATGCACATAAGAAATCCTCCTGGATGCATGTGTTCGCTTGTCCTCAACAGACAGTCACAACTCACAACAGAGGTGGCCGAGACGGTGTAATTTGTGTGCCAGTCAGCCTCCCTGATCGTCTTGATCTTCATATCATAGACTCAACGGAACATACCAATAAGATCCAACCTAGATCTATCAGTACCACAACTTCGAAACCAGTTCTCCTTGCCCTGCTACGGTGCATACCAACTGACCCACCATTCACACAATGAACTTGCTGGCTGCCCATACGGACGCTTTGTTGGGCTCTTTCTTCACAGCCTCCAAGAGGATCAAGTGGATTCACTGTCTGGCTGCTCATTTCCAATAAAGCACTGTTCCCTGGCTCTCGTTTTCAGAGTTTGACCCGGTCGGCAGGCAGCTAAGGTATGCTACTTGGGTTCTGCGGATCACCGGGACCACACAGCATCAGCAGGTCACTGGCCCGTTGGTCACTTTTCCCGAGCTTCTCAGGTGACTGCAGCGTGCATGCCGTTCTGACACCGAGATGAGCCACGATGGCATTGATTGGTATTTCGGTGAGGCACCAAATGTATCACTTCTTTCTCCTACATGGTACAGTACCCAATTTGTATTGCCACTTCATATGTAGTGCCGATTGATATCGTGATGATGATGCATCGGTCGAATCTGTGAAACAGACTAGAGAGTGGTTGGAACACAAGTGATACCGAGCCCTTGATTAACTTAGGGCTCAACGATCTCTGATAACTGATAAGGACTAGCATGTGCTCATCGGAGACGTTGGACAAGTGGAGGACATCGATAGCTCTGGCAGTTATTATCACTAGTATTGCGAAACCCGGGGACTGCGACATCCTATACTAGCTGGTTGTAACTCCGTACTAAAAGTTGTACTAGGACGGCGTGTCCGCAGCATTGAGGAGCCCTACGTGTACAACTACATAGTCCACAAGAGGTATAATAGATAGCCTACGACTGCGACTAGATCCTAGCCAAAAGTTGCTGGGGAGAAACAGACCGCGGACACGTACGGAGGAAGCTCCGCAGCAGACATTCGGAAAGAAAAGGGTCAAAGATCGTTGCTCCCGTCACCGTCCTGAGATGCTCAACTCAACCAGCCTGGAAACTTTCCCGCCGAGCTGTTTCAAGCCACTTACAGTAAGTAGTTAGTACTACTAACTTACTAAGTAATGGCTGGGAGGGCCAGAGTGTGAATAGCCAATAGCAACGGCTCGGATCGTCTTTTTTCATCCTCCAGGATATGAAGGCCAGCGCTACGGATCTTATCATCGACCTCGCCTGAAATCCAAAGCCGGATTTTGCAGACTTGCCTTGAACCTTGGTCCTAAAAAGCACTACATCGACGTCTCCAACAGCTGGGTATGTCGTGCTACCGTGGCTATTGCCTTTCGCGGTTGACTCTGGCAAGACTCGGCCGCGGAAACCTGTTCCTCCTGTTCCGAGATGTTTTGTGTCGATACGTGCCGATACCGTCCAATGAACCAACCGTGGGAGACCAGGGGGGAACGGAAAGGAGATGAATCGATTCGAGAACTCTCGGCACAGCCAATGATTATGATTATTATGATTGACATTGATCATGATGAACCCCATAATGACAACCATCCACATAAGCCGGCCCAGGAGAAAACAAAGGGCAGCGAAAACGCAAAGGATCCGATTCCATGTCCACTGAGACAGAGGATGATGTCACCGTGGGGCGCTGCTGTCCCCCTCCGCCAGCAAACGGTCAGCCATCAACCTTCAACCATGGGTTTTCCCTCGCATTCGGACCTAAGAATCGCCACAGCATGAGGCCCAACTTGGGTGTGTGAGGCTGGATGAGCGAATCGGACCCCGGTGGGCTGTACGACCATGTAACCGGGTCTGGTTCCGTCGTCTCCCTCCCGGATCTCGAGCAGGGAAGGAAGGAAGGCACTCAGAGCCCAGAGGAACAGAGCAGCAAAACCCGCTACTACATCGGAAGAATGCGCTGTGTGGAATAAGCCAGTGGTGCAGGACAAACAAGCCGTCGGGCGGGAATGAAATCACGGGCCATGGCCGGGGCAGGGTTCTGTTCCCTTTCCGGCTTCCCCGTAACGAAGTTCAACTGTTGAGATTCTCCGGAGTACTACCTCACTGGCCCTGGGCGAGGGCGGGAGAATCTACCATAGTGCATACATACTGACTATTTTAGCAGGGGAAGGAGGATGCTTGCATACTACCATGTACTTTCTATGTACTACACAGTACTACAACATACATACATACACTCATACATACATACCGTCTATTACACCCGAAAGGAACCGAGAGTACGGAGTATACTCAAATGCTATTTGTCTGCGACATAGTATCTGCCATGAGCGATCATGATCTCATATCTCTTAGGACCTCTCATTTGCCCTCAGATGATATCCGAGAGATCACCTGCCCTGAACCACCCCAGCACCCCTGGAGTGGAGATTGGAGTCAATAATAATGAAAATTAATACGGAGGACAGTTCTGTCATACGTGCCTCCAATTCGCAGTAGTAATAATAATAATAACAGGAATCCACCGATTCCCACTTAATCGCGACACTATCATCATTTGGGCCCCTGCTAGGTAGGTCCTCCGTATAGGCGGTGGGGTCGGCTAAGAGACCACCACGCTATCTTTTAGCGTTGTGGACTGCGTCGGGCGTATGGGGATTTCGGGGGAGGAGTATACTGCTTTAGGCAAGGCCGGGGGATCTTTCCCCGTAGTGGTTTTATTAGATCGCGGTGACTCCGGAGTATCTACTACTTTCCACTAGAATAGAGACTCATCATCTCGTGATCACGACGACAATGATCATGATTCCAGACTACTACTACTACCTTTCTCTTCTCCCCCTTCTCCCCCTCCCCCCGCTCTCTTTTCTATTTGTGTATGTATGACCTCTCAGCTGCGATGCTGCCGTCCGTGTCTCAGTAGTTTTGACTCCTTTCGACCGTTCTCTCCTGCTTTGGGCTGGCCACAAACAATGGAATACCTCCCACCGCCAGCTATTGGCAATAATCTCGAGCAGCAGCAACCACGAGAGCTAGCAGCTAGGGATGATCAAGGTGTACGAAGACCATCTCCATGAGTCCTACTTCCCCCCACCGAACTGGCAGCATGACAACGATTATCCCTCGGACATCCTTCGCTCTTGACGCCTCACTACGGTCAGTGCAAAGGCCCGGTGACTTGGCGTTATCCCATCAGCGCCATTTGAAGCCGTATGATATAGATACCAGGGCTGAAGGCTCCTTCGTTATGACTTCAGTACAACCGAAAGGTGAATAAAGGCTAATATGGGAAGGTGTGAGGTCCATCGGCACACGGAGACCACACCAAGACTGTTTCATTCATAGGCAGCAGAACTTGTTTTACATTGCCCCATCTATAATGCGTTTTAAAAAACAGCAACGGCTTTCCGCAGAAGATGCTTCCATGCACACCTAGCAGTCCTGTCCATCAGCCAAAATTGCCATCGAGAGATAAGAAAGAAAAGGAAAAGCAGAGTAACAGGACGACGCAGATGAACATTCATAGATGAAGGCATAAAAATCGAAGAGATATCTCGACTGGACCGAAGATGGATCTATACAAAACTTGGTTCCGTGGCGCCAAACGACTGCCTCCCTGGACCAGCAAACCGCATTCGTGGGGATAACCGATGTGATACACCATCGTCCAAACATGCACATGGAGAGAGAAGAGCTACTAAAACAAATAGTGAAAAGGTATAAGCCGAGGGCGGATGCGGAGCAATAGCTCTATCCTCCCACTATCGCGTGGGCCCCATTAGCCCCAGCTGCACGCCACGGCGTGCTTAGAAAGGCGGAGGGATCATGTCCTGGGGATCGGCCTTCTCCTGCTGCTCCATCAGCTCCTCGCCAGCGATCTCGAGGGAAACAGCAAGACCGAGCTTAGCCGTTTGCTGAGAAAGACGAGACGCGTTAGTGACGAAACCTAATATAGAATCTGGGACCATCGTAGGGAAGTGAAACTCACCTTGGCCTGGTCAATCTCGCCGGCAAAAGTAAGAGCGATAGGCATAGCTATCCGCTTCTCGAGAAGACAGCTGACCTTTCCGGTGCTGTCAACCTGAGCGCGGAAGGTGGAAGCGCGGAAGTCGTACTTGGCGCCAATGGAAGTGGTGCCATCCCTGCTAGGTCCGCCCATGAGAGCAGCGGCGGCGTTAGGAGCGAACTGGAGGTTCATGTCAACACCAGCCTCAACCCGCTCGGAAAGCTTCTTCCAGTAAGAGGCCGTCAAGACACCCTGAGCCTGCAGCTGAGCACTGGCAATCCAGTCATCAGCCTTGTAGCGAGCACCATAAGAAAGGGCGGACTCCGGACGAGCACCCATGCTCTGACGCTGCCAGATGGCTTCGAAGCCAAGGGCCAGGCCGGGAGTAACGGATTGAAGGTAGCTTCCGACGAAAATTCCGGTAAGACCTCCTTCCAAGTAAGAAGGGTTGAAGGCCTTGAGAGATGCGGAGAAGTCGTCGCCGGTGTAGTCATTGTCAATCTGCATCAGGCCCTGGCCACCGGGCATGATCTGGGTGTTGGTCTTGGTAACCAACTTGGGGTTCCAACGGTAATTGCCGACAGCAGCGAGACCGCCATCGCTTCCGAGGTTGCCTTGCATAAAGACCTAAATTTTCACAAAACCATCCTTAGCCATCCACTCACTGTATACACCCGAGCAGATCATAACAATTGCATCCTACCTTTGGACTTCCGTACATGGCCGAGAAGTTGTACGGGGGCATGTTGCTCGAGCCACCCATGGCAAACGCATGCGACACGCGGAACAGAGGGGACATGCCAAAGACCTTCGTCAGGTCTGCCCGAAGACCGGTGAACATGAAGTTGGACAGCAGAACATCCTTCTGAACCTCCCGGGAGATGTTATCCAGGGTGCCTGGGTTCGGAAGGCCGAGGGCGGCCCTGCGCTCTGAGAACGAGGTGTATGCATCCTTGAGGGCAGCGCCCACGGCATTGTCCATGAGGAAGGAAGGCAGAGCTAGAGAGTCGGCCATTGTGATGTCTGAGGAAGGATTAAAGGTCGCTGTAAAGGGACGGGGAGGAAACGGAGGTTGGTCGTTATACGCGGTTCGTTCTTGTTGGGGGCAGAGAAGGGAAGAGACCTTGTTGAGACCAGCCCGGGAGATTGAGCGTAGAGGCAAAGAGCAACGTGGGTGATGACACGACGCTCTTGCTGTTTTGAGTTCAAGGGCAGTGTCCGACCTGCTCTAGGCGAAGGAAGAGGAGGTAGACACCAGGGCCGATGGAAGGGGAGGATTGGGGATGGGGGATGGGGGAATAGGTAAGTCAAGGCGTTCTTTACCAGAGCTTTCGGCTCTGAAAAAAGTCACTGGCGCCTTTCCGCCCGGCCTGCGCATGGCCGGCGCTGTGGTGCGCCGTACACTAGCCTGCTTCGGGCCTGGCCGGGATAGGATCTTCAGTTTGGCCGCGATGATATAATCTCATGGCTTCCACCGGTGATGGCGAGTATCGTCTGGTCCCTCAGGGCTACGGTTCTTCGGTACTTTCACGAGCTTGACTTGTTGTCGCCTTGCCCACCCCGCCTTTCTGCATCAGGTCTCCCCTCGGTCTCGGAGGAGTACGTCGTGCCTCCTACGCACCCTCCTCCCCGTGGGATAGTAGCAACCAATCGGGTGTGGATCGGGCTATAGTTATACCACCGACAGCGCAACCTACCTACAGATAGCCGAACTCCTACTAAGTACTTGGTTAGATACTACTACTACTAGTAGTACTTCCTTCTGCTCGGGCTGGGGTCGACCTGATAGGTCTGTCTTTGCTGCCGCCCGATTGGGCTGACCTTCTGCTCCCTTGTCCCGGCGCAGAAGCTACTACGAACCTTCGTCACAGGTTAGGTGACCTGATCACCTTCGTGGTTGACTGATCGATACCTATCTACCCCTCCTCGGCACTCGTGTCTGTCTTTCTGTGTGTCCTCCCACCACCTATTCATTCCAGACGGCCACGATCACTGCCATGGATACGTTATTGTAAGCTCTGCTCAACCGATCCTTTCCAGCCCCTCCCGCTCCTCCTCCGTCGTTGCAAGGAACCGGGAGAACAACATGAGATACTGAAGAACCTCCCGGCTACGGATTCCCACATGCTCTAACGTAGTCCAGAACCGCGGACATCGTCGCCAATTCCCCGCGATTCCGGCGAAAGTCCTCCACGTTTGTGGACGCGATCCATGATTTGCCTGAGAAGGCTGATCTGGCCCCCGCGCAGCTCTACAGCACCGAGTCCGGCCGACTCTTCCACTCCGGTCGGATTGTCATCATCACTGTAGGATTACCAGCAAGAGGCAAGACGTTCGTTTGATCGCACCTGTGCGTGATGGATTCTTTAGTCTGTTAACCCATGCTTAGACATATCTCTGTCGCTCTGGCACGTTACCTTCGATGGTAAATATCTACGTCATGGTTATAGCGCTGCCAGAATTGTACTAAAAGCGTCACAGGCTAGGTGTGAAGACAAGAATATTTCACTTGGGAGACTATCGGCGTGCTACTATCCCTTATGGTCAAGATATCCCCGACGATTACTTCTTCGTTAACGGTATGCGGTGACTTCCACTATAACCGGTGTGGGCGGCTACAAGCTCGGTATGAGGTCTTGGTCGACTAATTGAACACAGCATCGGCGTCCTCAGTTCTTTTACGACAGAAGATTGTAAAAAGATGCCGCGAGGATATATACCACTTCTTGAACCATGAGAATGGTCAGATAGCAATTTACGACGCTGTCAATCCCATCGCCTCGGGAAGACGGTCACTCGCAAAGGAATTTGCCAAGCATGATATAGAAGTATGTCCCTCTTTCCATGTTATCGCACCATGCTGATTCCGCGGCTCCTGCCAATCAGACACTGTTCATTGAGTCATGGTGTGATGATGAACGCATCATTGAGGAGAATGTGCGGAGGGTCAAGATATCTTCACCGGACGTATGTATAGCTGTATTGACTTTCTCTTCTTGCCATCACACAATACTCAACTATTGGCAGTACGTAGGGTGGTCTTCGGAAGACGCTGTCAAACATTATTTGACCAGAATAGCCGCCCGTATCCCACAGTTCCAAACAATGGAAGAGACGGACCTCAATTATATCAAGGTATCTGCTACCACACATTATGCTTGGCATGGGCCCAATATCGCTAATTGCCGACTAGATGATGAACGCAGGTGAACGATTGATCGTTAACAACTGCAGTTTTGGCTACCTTTCTAATCGGATTGTGTTCTACCTTCTTAACCTCCATATCAAGTCCAGGCATACGTACTTCGCCAGGGTGAGTCTGTCTTATCTTGACGTATATTATGTCAGGTGATGTTTGGCTTGCTGACAGCAGTGTGAAATGCTAGGCTGGCGTTTCATTGGAAGCGCCCTCTTACAAAACAGATGCCTCTTTGTCTGAACAAGGGGAGGATTATGCTAAGAAAATGACTGAATGCTTACTGCAGCACAGGGAGGCTGAAAGACAGGCCATGATCGAGCAGGGCGAAAAAGATTATGAGTTGAAGCCGTTGACGGTATGGACATCTACACGACGGAGGACAGTCGAAACCGCCAAGTATCTCCATGAAACAGGATACAAGGTTCGGCAGCGACCCCAGATGAGCCAGTTGAACCCCGGGGTATGCGAGAAGATGTCGGAAAGGCGAATCCGTGAGGAGTATCCGGACGAGGTGGCGAAGCATGAGCTTGACCCTTATCATCATCGGTACCCGCGAGCAGAGGTGATTATGTCCTTGTCTTATTTCGAGCACGAAGCATCCCTAGGCTGACTGGACTGGCAGTCATATCATGACCTTGCAGTGCGACTAGAGCCAATTATCCTGGAGCTTGAACGTGAACAGAATGATCTCTTGATCATTGCACACGAGAGCGTACTAAGGGTTCTCTATGGGTATCTGATGGCCTGCAATGCAGCCGATATCCCATTCCTGGAATTTCCACGGGACGAAATAATTGAAGTGAGCCAATTGTTGACGGTCTAATGGAATTGAGCACCTCATTTAACTGATTTCTCCAGATAATACCCGAAAGCTATCAGAACGAGGCACGCAGGATCCACATTCCTGGTCTTCCCAAAGAGATCATCCCCGGCTCGCCCGAAGATATCAAGATTCCCGTCCCACCGAGTGGGATGACAACCCCACTGGCTGGGGGACTTGGAAGTCCAAAGGAAGGCCTCGCAACGCCGCAGAGCGGCCTCCGGACCCCACGGGAGCCCGAGAGGATCTCGCAGCAGCACGTGGAGGATGTTGTCTAGACTCGCATTTCATATTGTACATAGTACCCTGCGATCACTTGACCGTAAGAGTATCATCGGTACGATTGTGAGTGTAGACGGCACTAGCCCCCGTGAAGCGTAGAAACGAACACTATGTTATCCCTCGGTTGAAGTTCGTAGTTCTCCTCGCCTTCGAGCTCCCAGTCGGCATCGTTGATGAGAACCAAGATCCCAGGTCGCCTATCACCAAACATCAGTATTATTTCGCCCCCTTCTTCTAGGTACCGAACGTACACATTGCCTTCCAGGATGAACAATTCCTTCCTCTGATCCTTCATGCGGTTCTCGACGAGGTATCCCAAGAGAAAGCTGATCGTTGGGGGGCTACCGTCCTGGAGTCGCGAAGGCAGTGTAATGTGATGCTTACGCTCATTGGCAAACAGGATCTCCAAGCCTCCTCTGTTTCGCAAATGGTCAGCAGTCGAAACTATAATGCTCCCAAGGGGAAACCGAACGTGAATTCAACGGTGATGGACATGGTGTCGGTACCATCTTTGCCCACCGCGGGGGCAGCGGAAACCGCATCCGTAGCCATATCTGTTATATAAAGGGTGAAACCTTGATCCCAAGGCCGAAATGGAACTGAGGTCGCGGTGGGTAGGCTTGTGACTCTGGGCCAGGACACGGCGCGAAAGAAAAGCGATGATGGAGGGGTTCAGGCAGGCCGGGGACCGGATTCTCGCTCTTATCGATAAGCCGCCAGTCGCTGGCACAAAAAGTCAGCCGTGCGAACCATTCGACGGCAGCACCAGTTGGCGACCACCAGTTCACCCCGCACTTTGCTTTCTTCTTGCTTTCCTTGCTCTCGCCGTGCTTGGATCCTAGACACTTGGTCTGACCATTTGAGTCCCGACTGACGAGCTTCATGGTCTCCATTACCTCCGAGTACATCAGCGTCGGGGGCAATAGGCATCCCGCCGCCGCCGACTGGGACGTCCAGTTGGGCGTGCTTGCCTTTGGCGCAGATACCAATGTTGCACTATGGGATCCTAGGGTGAGTGTTCCTTGCGGTGGTTGTGTTACTTCTAGACTGGGTTGAGGCTGACGGCGTAACCTGTGTGCAGGACAGTTCACAGCGCGGGGTCTATTCGCTTCTTGTCGGCCACACCGACAAGGTCAGTGTCGTTCGGTTCTACACATGTCCTTCCTCGGGAACGAAACTTCTCTTGACGGGGTCTGTTGATCGTACAGTCCGACTATGGCGCGCCGACCCAGCCAATCCACGCCAATTCGTCCACGCGCATACTCTGGAAGGACATACGGGCTCCGTTAATACGATCGCCGTGGCTGATGGGTTGGATATTGTCGCATCAGGCGCCGCAGATGCTACAGTGAAGATTTGGAAGATCAATGCTCAGGGTGAGCCAAAAGGTGAACTGCTGAGGACTATACCTATGAAGCCACGGTTCTTTCCATTGGCTTTGGCTTTGGCATCTCTTCAAACCGAATCGAACGACGGATCTATGGCATTGGCGGTTGCAGGGACCACCAACGCCGTGCAAGTGTATGTGGCGGAGAACACTGGTGTCGACCCTGATTTCAAGCTTTCTGCTGTATTGTCTGGACACGAGGCGTGGGTGCGCTCCTTGTCCTTTACAACGGACAAGCAAAGCAAGACTGGCGATCTGCTATTGGCCTCTGCCAGTCAAGACAAGTATGTTCGTCTCTGGCGGCTCCAGCGAGGGGAGGTTGTCCCTGCCACGCCAGCGTGCGATGACGACCCAATGCTAGGCGGGTTCGAACCGACGCTATCAAACAAGGCCCATCAGTTTGAGGCAGCGGGATCCAAATACTCTGTCACATTCGAAGCTCTCCTATTCGGAAATGAGGACTGGGTTTACACTACGGCATGGAACCCGGATCCAGAGCGCCAGCAACTCCTCACAGCCTCGGCAGATAATACTCTAACTATTTGGGAACAAGATCCGGTTTCGGGGGTGTGGCTCTCTGGTGAGCGGATGGGAGAGATCAGTGTCCAAAAGGGTTCCACCACAGCTACTGGCAGTACCGGTGGATTTTGGATAGGACTTTGGTCTCCAGACGGCAAGCAGGTTGTGAGTCTGGGCCGCACTGGAAGCTGGCGCTCGTGGACATATGATGCTGAAGCCGATATGTGGGCGCAATCACTGGGTATCTCCGGCCATGTACGGTCAGCCAATGGAGTCCAATGGGAGCCAACAGGAGGATATCTCCTGTCGATGAGTGCCGATCAAACAACACGCCTTCATGCTCCGTGGGTGCGCGATGGACTCAAGTCGTGGCACGAATTTTCACGACCTCAGATTCATGGTTACGATCTAAACTGCGTGGATGTTTTGGGACCGGCCCGGTTCGTTTCCGGCGCGGATGAGAAGCTTTTGCGAGTATTCAACGAACCGGGCCCGATTGCGCAGCTTTTGGAGAAGCTCTCGGGGTTCAAGCAGTCCACTGAAGGAGCACTACCAGACACCGCGCAGATTCCCGTCCTAGGATTGTCTAACCAGGCACCTGCGGATGACGCTCCTGCAGGCGAGGACGAAGCAGAGGGTGAAGAAGTTGGCAAAGCCCAGGCAAACCAGGCGCTTTTGTTAGAGGCAAACCGGCCGCCATTGGAGGATCAGCTGGCTCGCCGCACGTTATGGCCGGAGCATGAAAAGCTGTATGGACACGGATACGAAATATCAGCTGTGGCCGTCAGCCACGACCGCACGCTTATTGCCACTGCTTGCAAGGCGAGTTCGATCGATCATGCAGTGGTGCGGTTATACGATACATCGGATTGGCACGAGATTCGACCATCTCTCGCTGCGCACACCTTGACCATCACTAGTCTCAAGTTCTCCAGCGATGACCGTTACCTCCTGAGTGTTGGGCGCGACCGGCAGTGGGCCGTTTACGAGCGCAGCGAGAAGGATCCCTCCACATTTTCACTCCTGACTTCGAACCCTAAGGGCCACTCCCGAATGATCCTTGATGCCGCATGGGCGCCTACGTCGGGGACCCACGTCTTCGCAACCGCTGGCCGGGACAAGTCAGTAAAACTCTGGCAGAAGAACGAAGGCTCGTTCGAGTGCAAGTCTACCATTCCGCTGAAGACGCCCGTCACCGCTCTCGCGTTCCTTCCGCAGGTATACAAGGACTCTGTCTTCCTTGCCGCGGGTGAAGAAAGCGGAGAATTGTGTGTCTATCAGATTGCCGTCGAGAGCCTGGAAGCCAGTCATCTGTCGAGCGTCGACAAACTAGCATCCCCGTCGAAGGCGATCACGCAGCTGGCCTGGCGGCCGATACCCGAAAAGGAGACACGTAATTTTGCGCTTGCAGTGGCAAGCGAAGACACATCAACCCGGATATATAGCTTCTCGGGTATGGTTCTATAGCCAAGCTGTCATGTATGTACGCACCCAAAACAATGAAACAGGAAAACGACAATAATATGGGTTGTAAACGCGTGAATGTTGAAACAAGACATGACTCCGGAAATGTTGAATGTATCTGCCCGATCTAGACACTCTAAAGTTGAAAGATGCCCTGTACCCCTGCTATGCATATCCAGTGATGGCTGTTGAACCAATCATGTTGAATGGCGCAAACGGAAAAGAAAAGAGCATATAGACAAGTGAAAAAAGCGAAGGAATCCCCATGCATCACGCATCAGGTCTCTTTTCCAGGCCGTACCCACCCAGCCCGTCAAGGGACGGATAGGTCTTAGCCTGGCCCTGATACCCATTTCGGGGACCCCTGCTCTTCAAGTCTTCCTTGAGCCATTTGAGCACGAGCTCACCAAGCTGGCTATTCTGGGAAGACTCCTTGACCTCCTCCCGGAACTTCTCGATGGGACCCCATCGCTTGACAGTACCCAGATGCATGTGGACGAGGTGGGTAGGCCACAGGGAGAGGTTATCCAGGATATGTGTAGCATAGACGATGGTGCAGGGTCTGGACTCGGTCTCGCGCTTAAGGAAGGCGAGGAAGTTGGCGCGGGAGAGCAAGTCCAGATCGACGGTGATCTCGTCGAGCAGAAGGACTTGCCAGGGACGCAGGAGACCCATGGCGAGCTGCACGCGACGACGCTCGCCGTCTGAGACGGCGTGCATGCGCCACCGGAGGTCGATATCGAGGATCTCGACAAGCTCATCCCGGCGGTCTGGGTAAGCATTGCCACCGACGGAGGCGAGGAGTGTCGGCACGTCAATATCCGAGCGGACAATGTTGTTAAGAACCCATTCCATGCCGAGATAGGTGACGCCTTCTAGGCCATCCTTGAAAGGGTCTTTGCTGGCCACGGTGATAGTGTCTGTTGGAGCAAGGCGCTTGCCTGAAAGAAGGCGGAGAAGGGTAGTTTTGCCCGCGCCATTGGCTGTTGAAATCTTAACAAAAGGCTGGAGAGACCTGTAGAGTGCGTGTGATGGACATACCTCCGATGAGTAATGTGCGACTGCCTGCGGGGACTTGAAGGTTGACGTCTGTCAAGCCGGGGGAGCCATCGGGAAACTTGAAAGACAAGTTCTTGACCTCGATCGAAGGCGAGGGGCTATTGTTGTCTGCCATGGTTGAGAGAGGGGGGTAGAGGTGCAGTTGATTGTCTATCAGAGGGGAGCTTGCTCTAACTATCAAGCCGTGAGTCAACTGTCGATGCAACCTGATCTTATCCCGTCGTATTCGCTTTGGATGCGCACTGAACAGGGACCGCCCAAAGCAATTTCAAACGAGGCTGAATGCCTAATCCCTCTGCCCCGAGCCAGCGAATAAGGCGTTGCAATGAAGTGGGAGATAAGAAAGATGTGGATGCGGATGGCGACATGGCATAGCTGATGAGGTAATGCTGGGGGGAATCTCGCCGGCAATTTTTGCCTCTCCCCGCAGCGTCCAGCTCCAACCAGCCCAGTTCGAGTCGATCAACTCGCGGCATTTCGCCAGATGGGTCTCGCCAGGCAACGATGCTAATTGTGGCTCATTGCAATTTCTGATGCACACCTTTCTCCGACCCTTCCTCTCTCTCCTGCGCCCCTCCGTCATGAATCCGCTCATTGCTGTCGTCGGTGCGACAGGCACGGGCAAGTCAAAGGTGAGAAGATCCAGCCATGGGTCTCAACATCTTCATGTCTCTCTTAACGGCTCTTGCTGACGACTGCAGTTAGCTTGCAGTGGACCTAGCCTCGCGATTTAATGGGGAGATCATCAACGGCGATGCCATGCAGATGTATCGCGGTCTCCCCATCATCACCAACCAGATCCCCATCGAAGAGCGAAACGGAATCCCACACCACTTAATTAGCTGTGTCGAGCTGGAGGAACAACCCTGGTGGGTGGGAAAGTTCAGGAATGAAAGTCTCCGGCTCATCGAAGACATTCATGCCAGAGGGAAGGTTCCGATCCTGGTCGGCGGCACCCACTACTACACACAGGCAGTCCTTTTCAAGGACCAGCTGGTTGGCGATAACGCGTCGGCGGAAGTGAAGGATGAGGAGGGCGATCGCGTGGCCGAGGAGGATAATGACCCTAAGTCCTCCGCCAAATGGCCCATTCTCGATGCGCCTACCGAGGTGGTCCTACAGAAATTGAGAGAGGTCGACCCGGTCATGGCAGACCGATGGCATCCGAATGAAGCGCGCAAGATCCGCCGCTCCCTAGAGATCTATTTCCAAACCGGCAGGCCCGCATCCGAGGTCTATGCGGAGCAGCAGCGGACGAAGCAAGAAGCCATGACCCGTGACGCCTCCCTTGCGGGCGCCGGTCAGTTACGATTTCCGACGATGGTATTCTGGGTTCACTCAGAGAAAGAAACACTCACCAATCGACTGGACAAACGTGTAGATGGAATGATTGAGCAAGGGTTGATGGCGGAGGCAAGGCATATGTCGGATTATCTTCGGGAGAGGAAAGCTCAGGGCAGCTCGGTCGACCAGACCCGCGGTGTCTGGGTGTCTATCGGTTACAAGGAACTAGCGCCCTATTTCGAGGCACTCTGCAGCGGCTCGGTGGATGAGGCAGAGTTGGAGAATCTCAGGCGATCCGGCGTTGAGTCGATCAAGACTGCAACGCGGCAGTATGCAGCGTCTCAGATCAAATGGATTCGGAACAAGTTATGGAAAGCTCTTGCAGATGCGGGTTCGACCAATCGTCTTTACCTCTTAGATAGCACAGACGTCGATGCATGGGAGCAGAACATCACAGAACCCTCTGAACGTCTTGTTCGGGCTTTGTTGGATGATGAACCCACACCTGATCCGAAGTCGCTGTCGGATCTTGCACGAACAGTTCTTAGCGCCAAAGAGGCGCAGCCGCAGAAGGAGTCAGCGTCCATAGCGAGATGCAGGACTTGTGATGTCTGCCGCAAGACGATGACCGGCGAAGAGCAATGGCAGATCCACATCAACGGGCACGCCCATAGAAGAGCTCTCAGAAGTGCGGCCAAGCGGGCTGCCCGCGATGACTTCCTACGGAGAAGACAAGAAAAACTAAAGGAGGTCCAGGAAGCGGATACTGGATCTGCTGCTAGCGCCGATGTGAAAGCATCATCCCCTTTGGTATAGAAGATAGACAAACACACCCACCAGTATAAATGTCATGGAAACAGAGGCGCAATGCATGGAAATGTAAATGTACCTGTGAGAATCGCCGAACTATCTAGGGCGAGCCTCCACCCTCAGTATGTTCGCAAATCGAACTTGCATGTCCGCATCGCAAACGTAAATGCATGCCTTCCTGGAAGCAGGCGCAGTCAAGTAGACGACCCCGGCCTACAGTAGACATGGTATCATTATGCTGATATGCGAATCGGCCGAGGTTGGCATACAACACCCAAGCCTTTATGGCAACGTATTTAAGATCCTGGGTAGCGAATGCATCCCATTGTAGATCATTAGTGAGTAGCGGTTTCACAGCACGTATTGATGACCAGCCAATGATCGCTCGCATGCAAAGCCCATGTCAGTTCAGCAAATGTCGCAATTAAATAGCCTTGCATCAAGTCAAGGGCAGTGCGTGTATCCCTACCGAGTTTGCGACGTAGGTTACAGTTCTACCTCGTCTGCGCAGCTGCTTGGTTATTATTAAGCTTCTCTTCCTTCGGAAAGAAGTTCATATAGACTGGACCATTTGAGATAGGGAAGAATCAATGGTCTAGCGATTTCATGGCTCATGTTTTCGATCTCCAGACCGAAAAGGCCGGGGAGATGATATCGCCAGTCCCGCTCTCTTCCATTTTGAAGACTTCAATAAGCGACGACTTCTCGCGTTTGCGTATTCTCCAGGTGCCTTCTTCGTGGATGGTGGTTTTGAGCCCTGCACCGGTCAGTTGAGGTCCCGCTTTTCTGCTGCGTGATAGAAAGAGGAAGGGTAGGGGGTCGTACACTCGAGGAATGCAGCAGCAAAATTGATGCAGATATTTCCGTCCCAAGTTCCTCGGCCAATCTTTTTGACTTTTACTGGTATTGAGGCGGTCTCGAGCTCCTCTAGACGATGGACAATGCCTTGCTGGTCACGAAAGCCGACGATGATTTTGGGCACTCCGAGCAAGAACGACTGAGCCCAGAACTTGAGAAGCTTTCTTTCGTATTTAACCATGTCCCGATCATTCCTTATCTCGGCTGAGGTCTTGAGTTCCACCCAATGAATAGGGTCTTCCTTTCGATCCGGTTTGCAGTCCCAAACTTGGAAAGAGCATTAGAATGACATAATCTTTATCACAAGCATTCGCAATGGGATGATGGTTAATCTTATGACGTACCGGCATCTACCTCCCCACCGATGACTAGCCGTGTACGGCCTATTGCGGTGCGGACCACTGAACAATATTGGGCATTGTTGTTCACGATAAGCTCTTCACGACCCTCAATCTCTTTGCGAGGAGTCGAATCCCACGGCTGGTTAAGTACAGACAAGGCCTCGAATTTATAACCTACTCGGTCAGTACGCAGTTTGCAGTTGAAAGGGTGTCATTTACCCCAGTAAGCCATCAGATCCTGGGAAGCCATCCCCGGAGGCATTCGCTGGTTCTTTTGAATATGTTTTTGCTCATTCTTATAGCTGTTATTCTCTTCGATGAAGCTGGTGGGGGGTTAGAATCAGAAGTTCTTTGGCATTGAGGGCTTGCAAGCACACACATAGTTCCCTTGGAGTAAGACCGTTAGTCAAGAGAGCCAAAGTCTCAGTGACGGCCATCCACATACCTGGAAACAGGTCGCGTTCATTTCAAATCTATAGGCAAATTAATGGCTGACGTAGAAGACGGTCAATCAAATATACACACCCGTTTAAGTGATCAAACGGAGCTGCAAGGATCTAGATGTGGATGGAGCATGAGCATGTCTTTCAGTTCAACTTTGTTGCAAAATTAAGGGGCAATGTCTACCTTGGTCATCATACCTCTCCAGGTGACGATATCAGCTTCGCATGGCTTCTCTGTTTCCTTTTCTAGAGCCATTATTGTCTCGAGCAAAGCGTCGAGATGTTCATCAGCTGAATCATCCAGCTTCTGAAATGACTCAAATCCGCGGTTCAGATCCGCAGGAAGAGGCGGCGGATAGTAGAATTTCATGGATGACTCCCCAAGATGGAACTTATGCTCATCATCATACGAGAAACATGCAATTTCCTGGCTGATGGTTATATCTCGGTTCGAGCATCAGATAAGAGTTATATAAAGCTCACCTTCGGACGTCGGATGGCAGCACTGGCTTCGTAAAAGCGGCCAATAGGCTGGATATCGAACGCCTTGCGGTCCATGGCGTTGCGGAATTACCTAAGGGGTGGGAAATGGATGAAAAGACATAGGAAGGTCACCCTGGGTACTCCTTTGCCGTGCGCGTGCCTTTTAAAAAGATACAGCAGGGATACAGACCGCAGGAAACAACAGACAAAGGCCTCCTGCTGCTAGCTTCACGAGAGCTAGGTAGGGTTCCTGCAGCTGGAGAGTCCGGAGGGGAAGACGTAGTAAGTCCGGAGTAGATCATGGCTGCAGTAGTCCAGCTGTTCCGCCGTTCTGGAAGAACCGAAGCGCGTCCCCACCAAAAGTCGCCCGCCATCGACTTCCCGGCCACAGTTGCTTGACGTCGTCAACCATCCCTCAGAGTAGGCGTTTCGGATTTGGTGATCGTCGCCATTTGGTTTCTTCTTGAATTCAGAGTCCTTTATATCGATCTACCACGCCTCTTGTTCACAGTTCATCTGCGATTTAAGCGTCACCCCTGGTGATCCATTCAAGATGACCTCACGTATCGACAAGACGATTGCCCGACAACGAGAGAAGTGAGTGAACCCAACCCTGGTTCTAGCGCATATTATCTAGCTAGTTTCAAGGCATTTGCCAGACATGACCACTAATGTGTTGATGTATTCCCTGCAGGATCGCTTCTGGTGCCTACTACGAAGCTCACCAGCAACTGAGGGTCATCGCTGCGCGATACATCAAACAAGCAAACTATGATGCGGCGGCAGAGATCCTAGCTGGTGGTGCCACTGCTCTTTTGAGAGCCGGATCCCAGCAGGGTGCTTCTGCTAGCGGTGGAGATTTGGCGATCATGCTGGTGGTCGAGGTCTACACAAAGGCGGGGTGGGAGATTACTGGAGGTGATGACGATACAGAGGGGCGGGCTCGGAAGAGTAAGTTCCTGCGCAGTCTGTTTCATTCTCTCGAAGCAGCGCGTAATGGAGTGACCGGGGCCGCTGACGATTGCTTTTCTACATACAGAGCGCTTAATCGAACTTCTGCACGAGTTTCCACCCGAAGAGCCCACCCGCAGAAGGTTTATCCAGGAAATCATCGGCTGGAGTGGCCGATTCGGACCCTTGGAAAGAGGCGACCCCGAGTTGCATCATGCCGCTGGATCGGTATATGCGGAAGGTATGCAGCCCCATGCAATTATGGATAGAAGAGCAATTTCGTGACAGACATCTCTAGACCATGAACCTTATGACGCGGAGAAGCATCTTATCTTCGGTACCTCGGAATCCGCCGAGACTCTGGCTAAGCTCGAGTTCGAGTGGTACACCCATGACGAACCGCACACGGCGGCAATCTATGCATCTCGCGCAGTATTCCCATACCTTTTGATCGGAAACCTTCGCAGCGCCAACAAAGCCTTCCTTATCTTCACATCAAAGCTTTCCTCCTCGAACCCCTCACTCGGTGTGCAAGAGGTTAGCAGCGCTAGTTCCGACGCACGAGTCTTCCCCGCCCTACCTTTGGTCAACTTCATAAGCATGCTGCTTCTCACAATTCAGCGCGGTAGTTCGGATCTGTTCAAGCAGTTAACTGCGCATTATGCATCCCATATCAGAGAAGTCGGCTTTTGGGATGATGCACTGTCCCAGCTGGGCGAGCAGTATTTCGCAATCAAGGTCCCAAGACAGAGCAACCCCCTTTTGGATATGATGGGCAGCATGTTTTTCGGTGGCGGTCAGGATAATGCTGGTGCTCGGAGGGCACCTCAGGGCAGAGGAGGGTCGAAGAGGGTGGAAGCGCCCCCAGCGAGTTTGGAGCTCGATTAGGCGTATGCCGGGCATTCTGGCGATGTAAAGAACGTAATTTGAACACATCCTCTGCCACGCATAATAATGAATATAGATAGGCCGGCCGCAAATAGATTGATCAGACCCTCGAGTCAACCTCAGCGTCGTACATCCAATTATCCTCCTCCAAAGCGGCGACCTTGTTTCGGAGGCTCTGGTGGATGTGAGTGAGGATTTCTAGGAACATTAGCCAAACCACGCAACAACATAGTTTTCGATTAAAGAGGGATCGAGGCCCACCAGCTGGTTCACTGCTCATCCGTCTGTTCCGATTCCGGTACATCATCTCCACCAAGTTTGCTTCCATTTCTAAGCACCGTCATTAGCGCTTTTCGCTTCGGCGCTTTGGGACCAAGTGGACTTCTCACGTACTTTCCTTTTCACGACCAGACATCGCCTGTCCATTGGAAGTACCACCACCAGCACCTCCATCCTCTATACCTTCCATTTCCTCGCCATCTTCTCCAATCAAGGGCGGGAGTACAGGGATATCGAGCTTATAGCTGCCATTCTTGTCCTTGACCACGATTTCCCCGTTGTCAATGGGACCGGAACTCACGGCTGTAGAATGATCGGATGGAGCGGACTGCAATATCTGGGTCGACAGGCTGGAGGCTCCGTTGCTGGTGCTGCTCGGCGCAGACGAACCCGCGGGACCGGTCGAACCAGCACGTCTGCTGAGATGATGATGGAAGAGATTGCGGCGGACGGAGCTTCCCATTGCCTGAGGTGAGGATAGTGGGAGTAAGCGAATATAGGATATGTACTCGTATTGAGAAGTATGTATAGGGCTTTGGATCCGGGCCAGCTATATCTGTGGCCTGGACAAATAGCTATAGAAGGAAAACTGGGGGCGGTAGTGGGCAGGTTGATGTTGTAGCAAGCGACTGCAGGAATCGGCTCAGTGTGCTAAAATGAGGTAAGGGTTGTTCGAGAAAGAATGAGGCGAGTGAGGATGAGAGTTGTTAGCCCGGAACAATATCAGGATGGCTTTGAAGGGCGTGGATGAATGACCCTAGATAATATGAAGGTGGAGTGTTGAAGGCGGAAGTCCAAGGCATCGCCCAGGAAGCCTGTCAACTGGCTACCTCTGCGATCTAATGCGTGTTGGGAGGGAATCGAGTTGGCACCTCCATATCTTATTGTGTTGAATGGATGAGAACTGTAATTTACATACTTCTTTGTCATATAGATAATCTCGTAACCATCCCAAGTCAGCTCGCTTTGCGCCTCAGGCCCGGGGAACAATTAACTACTCTTTTAGGCCAAATCCGCATCCCGACGCGTCTCCGCCTCGCATGGCGCGTCTCCCGTTCATTCGATTTCGATCCATTCTCAGCACTTTCGCGACTGCTCTCGGACCAGCACACAGCGACCTAATCACCCGAGATCGCATATAGTCCATAGTAGACTATTCTCCGCCATGGTTCAAGCCGAATCCTCAGCCAGTGCTTCCCGCAATGGCCTCAAGGCGCAGACGGCCGGGGCCCCTCCCGATTATGAACTGCCGTGGTACGTACAGCAGGCCCAGCACCACAGCCAGCTTAGAACCCTGCGTCTAACGAGCAAACTCGACGGATAGGGTGGAGAAATATCGACCGGTCTTTCTCGATGATATCGTCGGAAACACGGAAACTGTCGAGCGTCTAAAAATCATCGCCAAGGATGGAAATATGCCGCATGTTATCATCTCGGGCATGCCCGGTATTGGAAAGACAACCTCGATTTTGTGCTTGGCGAGACAGCTACTGGGAGATGCATACAAGGAGGCAGTTCTAGAGCTCAATGCCAGTGATGAGAGAGGTATATTTGCAGCCCCATAGAGAAGACAGGAGTAGGATTTAACCGACTCCAGGTATCGATGTCGTACGGAATCGAATCAAAGGCTTCGCTCAGAAGAAAGTCACACTACCGCCCGGTCGTCATAAGCTTGTTATTCTTGATGAAGCGGACAGGTACGTATTGAACAATGAGCCGCATTGTACTATTGGCTCACGGACGATTTAGTATGACATCAGGTGCCCAACAAGCGCTGCGACGAACGATGGAAATCTACTCGTCAACGACCCGGTTTGCTTTTGCGTGCAACCAGTCCAACAAGATCATTGAGCCCATTCAGTCTCGATGCGCGATCCTACGTTATGCCCGGTTGACGGATGCGCAAATTGTCAAGCGCTTGAAGCAGGTGTGCGACGCCGAGAAAGTGGAACACAACGAAGAGGGTATCGCCGCTTTGGTGTTCAGCGCTGAGGGAGACATGCGTCAGGCCATCAACAATCTGCAAAGTACATCCTCCGGATTTGGCTTCGTCAGTGGGGACAATGTCTTTAGAGTGGTCGACAGCCCGCATCCGATCAAAGTCCAGGCAATGATCAAGGCCTGCTGGGAAGGCAAGGTCGATGCGGCCTTGGAGACACTCAATGAACTGTGGTATGTATTCAGATCAAGTGCGCTCGCGCTATGCACTCTTCGGGCCTATTCTCACCACATCTCTAGGGACTTGGGATACTCCTCTCATGATATCATTAGCACCATGTTTCGAGTCACTAAGACGATCCCCACCCTATCGGAACACTCGAAGCTTGAATTTATCCGGGAGATCGGTTTTACACACATGCGCATCCTGGACGGTGTACAGTCACTGCTGCAGCTGAGTGGCTGCGTTGCGAAACTTTGCAAAGTCAACATGAAGCCTCAGCTCTTTGAGCCGCCAAAGAACTAAAGTCAAAAGAAATGGAAGAGATTAGATGCAGGCATATCCTTGGTGTTTGGGGCGTTTACAAAGCAGGGCGATCTCAAGTCCTATTTATCACATGATATCAACGATTTTTCCTTACTTTGACGCGATCGTGAAAATAATATCCAGGTATCGTTTATTAGACTCTTATCTCATACACTGGACCGCGGACCTCCTGGAGTGTACGCAATCCATCCACCATCAAACACGATCGACCCATTTCGTATGCCTGATTGTCATTTCTTTAGCGGCATAGGAGGAGCAGGCATCCTTGCGCCCTCCGGTGGCTTGTTCTTGCTCTTGAACTCATCGCACATCTGCTCGAATGTCACCCACTCCACGCCCTCGTGCTTGTTTATGTGTTCAATGATTCTACTCAAGTCAGCATTCAATCCGATCACGTCCCCCGATTGAACGCAAATATTCAACAACTCACCTTTCATGCATAAGAAGAACGTGCGGACGACCCGACACATCGGGATGAATCGTCATCGGAAAGACAAATTCATCGTACTCCCGATAGAAGTAATCAAAATGATCCTGCCACCAAACCATCAGTACATCCAATTCCAAAACAACCACATAGATCTCAAACCACAAACCTTCCAAATATCCTCTACATCCCTCGGGTTCACCCAACCATGACTATTTGGCGCCGACTTAATAAACATCATCGGCGGCAAATCATCAATATACCAGTTCCCGGGGATCTCCACGAGCCCAGTATCCTGCCCTCTCACCAACGGCTTCATCCACGTCTCCGCCTTCTGGGTATAATCAATCTTGGTCCACGTATCCCCCGTCCGTAACCAATACATCTGACAATCATGATGCGACATGGAATGATCGTATTCGATTCCGTACGAGAGCAACAAATCCGCCATCTCTTTGCTGGTCTCCCACCACGGCGCAACGATACCCCGCGGCGGTTTGCCACAGAATTCATACAGCATGTGATAGGTCTTGTCTAGGATATCCCGTTGCTGCTCGAGGGTCATGTCGGAGGGGTTTTCATGCGTGTAGCCGTGGAGACCGATCTCGTGGCCGGCATCACGCACCATGGCGCATTCTTCGGGGAAGGTCTCGAGACTGTGGCCTGGGATGAACCAGGTGGCTTTGATGCCGTATTTCTCGAAGAGTTTGAGGAGGCGAGTCGTACCGATGTGACCGGCCCAGAGACCTGTAGAAATTCGTTAGGAGTGGGTGGAGGAGGTATTGTTTGAGGCGGTCGTATCAATAGGTGGAGGTTTGTATGTATGCATGCATGTGGTGAGTGAAGTCAATGGCGCGACTTACCTCGACTGATATCGCTGGAGCTGTCCTCTCCGCCATATGATCCCAGCCAGCCAGCGACGGCATCGATATCGACTCCATAACTGACCAAAACGCGCTTCTTGCCCATGTTGGAGGTGTCTGAGGTATCGTATTCGAACGGAGTATGTCGGGGAAGAGAGGTAGGGATATGCAGTCGAAGTAGGACTCGAGCCCCTCCCTCCTGGCCTCTGTCTCTTATATAGTACTAATCGAATCGAGAGGGGAACGATGAGGGGTACCGAACTCGGTCCTCTGATAAAGATCGGAGATAAGCCGCGATAACCAGGCAGAGCTGGAGGGGAACCAGGTATCTACAGTATGGAGTAGGGAGGGTATCAGATCGAGCTTATCAGTGGCTCTCTTCGTCCAAAACGGTCCTGATTACTACTGGGTATTAGATATCTAGTAACTAACTAGATACTGGACGGTTGACTGCCAGGACCCCGATCTCACTAGTCGGACTACTAGTAAGATACCCTGGCTGACTCCAACAATGGCGGCCTCCACTTCTGACATGACCCCAACGGCCCGGTTGGGGTAGTATGGCTCGTGGAAAAGTGGGGGTTGCGCTAGAGACTGTCTACTTTGTACATACCTACCTAGTACCTGGTTATTCAATGTTCGCACTGGGAAGATCGGGCTAGTTGACATGATCTGTATGACTTGGGCATGTGCAAAGATCGGGTCTTATTCTATTGATGTAAGGTCTAGCTCCTCCAGATCTTTTCAATGGCAGTCGCCGCCCCTAGCACCTTCTCCTCTTCCAATTTCTTGCCAATAATTTGGAGATTGACCGGATGACCGTTCATGGTCTCTGCATTGTAGAGGCCCCAGTTCCATGCATCCAGTTCGTTCCGCGGTTGATAGTCCGCTGGCAGTTCATCTACCTCGGCCCTCACTTGGTCCACAGGAAAGGTGACAGCAGAGTAATCAAGGAAGTTCCAGATCTTAGTGTATCCCACCCACCGCAGGCCTCGGTGTGGAATAGCAGGATGGGGCATCGTCGGGGCCAGGATTACATCAATGGGTTTTCCCGATGGTGAGCGAGCTGCATTCCATTTATCCAAATAGTCCTTTTGCAGAGCGACTTTCTTCTTGTTGAGCTGCCAGTACTCGTAGACGGAAATGGGCTGCCCGCGATTCACTAGTGCTTCCACATGGGGAATATAAGGCTCGCCAGCAGCTTCCACATCACGCCGGATGTCCTCACCCCCGTCCACGGTGTAAAAGGCGTCCATGAGTTGAATGCACTTCAAGTGGTCGGAAACGTCCCAGGTGACTATTTCGTGCCCGTGCGCTTCCAGCTTTGCGGAGAGCTCCCGAAGGGCTCTTTCAATAGGAGGATGGACTTTCACCACGCCATCGTCTAGAATTAGCCCGATTGCCAGAGGTCGGTTCTGGACCTCCTGGAATGAGCTTTCGTTCCAGGGAAGGGGCGCGCATTTGGGATCCAACTGCCACGGCTGAGCATTGGCGACTAGCCGGCTGACATAGCAGAGCGACGATAGATCTCGTGCCATGGGGCCGACGGAAGAGGGGACATGCTCCTGCCCCTCGGTGGAGACAGGTACGCCGTGGTACGGAAGTCTGCTGCTCTATTTCGCATGTCAGCGAAGTCACTTGGGTCTGATAGATCTACTAGTTGTGAGACTTACGGTGGGCTTCAAGCCATATAGACCCATGAGACTCTGCGGGATGCGCACACTGCCACCGATATCCGTACCATAGCCTAAGATGGAGCCGTGCAGGGCCAGCAGGACGGCCTCCCCTCCAGTGGAACCGCCCGGTGTGAACTCGGGGTTCCGTGGGTTGACCGTCAGACCCCAGAGGGGATTCTCTGTTTCCGCCCACTAAAGACAGGTTAAGATCCGGATCCTTATTGGTCGAGCTCGAGGCAGACGAACCATAATACTCTGTGGCAGGTTCGTCTTCGCCAGCACGATAGCGCCCATGTCTTTCAACATTTGGACAAGAACTGCATCCTCCGCAGCCGGCGCAAAAGAGCGGCCCACATAACCAAGTGTAGTGTCGACACCCTTGATATCGAACTGATCCTTCAGCGTGACCGGAATGCCGTGCAGTGGCCCCTTGACTTGACCGGTTTGCTGAAAGTCGTGGTCTAATTGTCGAGCTTGCTTCAACGCATCCTCGAAGACGATCTCGGTGAGGCAGTTTGTCTGTCGGTGCGCTTTATATTAGTGTTGTTCTTTCCAACAAGCGCTTTCTTGGGGAAATTATTCACTAATTGATGAGCTATGACGGCCCTAGAGTCGCGTTAGACATTATTTAGCTGCTAAACGAAAGGCCACTGGCAACAACGTAATCTGCATACCTTTTAATATAAGCCAAGATTATTTGTTCACACGTGTATTGGCCGGCTTTCAAGAGCTCGAACAGTCTAGGAATGCTGTCTATGTCAGTTATCTCTTGGATTGCTGGATCGTCTTCGAGACGAGAGCGCTCCTGAACAGAGAACACCTGAGGAACCCGCCGATCGACATCGTTGACCAGGTATGGTTTCAGGCGCTTGTCTCGTAAAGAACGCTTTTGAGAGGCAGTCTGCTCCCAGGGTTGAAGGCTTCCCATTGTAGTATGGAGGTTAATCCGGGACGGCAGATAGAAGTTGTAATCAGAGTTCAAGTGGAAGCGCTTGTCATTATCTCTTTATATATATCAGCGCTATCAGTTCGTACCTAGATCAGGACTAAATTGTATCTCTGCGTCCAACGAGGGATCGAGTGCGGGCCCAATGATACAGCCCTTCGGGCCTCTAAGCAAGAGAGATAGAGCTAGTTAGGCAGTAGATAGTACTTTGTCGGAGGTGGGGTCAACCATGGGACTCGTGCGGAGTATAGACTATCCAGTCATGATCGGGATGACTTTCCATACTCCATAGATCCCGACTGGATCGGTGACCAACTGACTAATCTTTTCTTTTCTTTATTTTGGTTGAAGCGTTGCACGGAAAGCAACAGCAAGGATGCAGGAACCACAGGTCGGGTTGCAGACCGTTAATATTCCCAGGGACCCCAGACAAAATCTCAGCCTTCAAGTTCCCCAGACTGGCAGAGTGACAATGGGGATTGACTGACTCGTTGAGGTGGCCGCCGTTGCAAAGGGAGGGCGCGAGGATTGGATTTCCCAACCGAAAAGTGGGTTTCGAGGGACTGACTGGACTGGCTGGGCCGCGGGGGCCTCCGCGGCCGGCCTGGCAGCTTTTCCTCGATTCTCCATTCTCTCTCCTCGCAGCTGCCGACCGGAAATCCACTGGCCAACAGATTCGTGGCATGTTGGAACAGCTCCAAACGGCGTAGGACCATGCTCTGACTCTGAGAGTGTTGTCCGATGCCCCCATATTTATTTGCTCCTCGATTACTAAGTGTCCCCCCATTTCCCCCGTCCAATTGAGGACTGAGGACATGCCACCATGAATCCCCCGAGCTCTGGTGCCGCAACATCACCGATGACCGGTGCCATCCGCACCGATTCCCGAAAGAAGCCCTCCGGCGCAATTGCGAAACGGGCTTGCGACCAATGCAAGTTCCGCAAGATCAAGGCAAGCAAACTAATTTTCTACCTACGGAGTACCTCCAACTTTCGTCCCCTGTCTGCTTTTTCCTTTTCCGGCCCCTTGTTCCACTCAGCTCTATGCGCCGGGCTCGCGAGCTAATTGCCTTGGTAATTGCAGTGCAGTCTCTCCCAACCATGCCGGGCATGTGTCTCCATGGGCTTTGATTGCACCTTCTATCAGCCGCAAAAGAAACGAGGTCCCACTGGACAGTGAGTTTGACTGATTGCCTTTATCTTGACTACATCCGAGTGCATTAGTCTGATCGTGTCAATCTGTCGCGTATCCAAAGTCGTGTGTCCCAGATCCGGCAGCAGCAGACCCAACTATCGGGTTTGAGTGGTGCCCAGAATCATGTAGCTTCCAATCCCCTCCCAGGGACTTTCACCTATCAAACAGGCTCGCCGTCTCGAGGAGATGGGGGCTCAAACACGGCCCAACCAATGCAGGATGCTGCACACTGGCCCATGCACAGCGAGGGCACTGTCCCCGTTGAGCTTGCTCCTCCCCAAGCACCAGCCCAGATGGCGCCCGGTTGGAATTCTGGAGCTTCTCCAATCGAGTCTCATAGTACTAGTGGCGTCAGCTGGAATGAGCGCAGCGATGTTGAGTACTGGCTTCCAGATACGCTGGATGCTCAAGTGCCCGTCTTCGATTTCCCGGGCAGCAACATCTACCTAAAAACCTCTCTCCCATCTATCATACAAACAGAAGCTGCATCTACAGGCCTACCGTCACATCAAGTGGAGGCCGCCAGCGTTCCCATGTCCGGTGCGAATGTCCTGCCCCCGCAGTCGAACGAGACGAATACGGTGTGGCCTTCATCCATTGTGGAGGCAAACATGATTCCCTGGATTGATGTCTACTTTGACCGTTTACATCCAACATTACCGGTGCTGAACCGATCGTCCTTGTTCATCCGTATGCTGTCCCAGGAGCACCGCAGGAATCCGCAGTTTGGTGCAATGCTTCTCGCGTTGTGCGCATTTTCTCTTACCCAACCCATCGAAATCGACGAGCGACCGACATCGTCTTCTCGAGCAAGTCAGGCTCGGTCCATGATGAATGAGGCGACTAAGATGCGCAGCTGTTCCGATTTCGGGGAACACCCAACGGTTGAAGCCGTCCTTACCAGTTTCTACCTGTTTGGGTGTCTATTTGGCAGCAATCAGCACAACGCCGCATGGCTCCGTCTGCGGGAGGCCCTCGACCTTGCTGCTACACTGGGATTGAACAATCCGGATTCGTACCGAGATTTGCCCAGCGATGAAAAGGGGCAACGTTTACGGACTTATTTGGTCCTGTCAATCACGGAGAGGTACTATTCACAGAATTCGGACTTCTCCCAAATAGTCTACTAACTGGAAGCTTATACAGAGCTTACGCATTACAACGAAGGCATCCAATCACCTTTTGGGGAAGACCAGGGTTTAGCATGCGACCCGTTCATGACTTTATCCATAGTGCCACCCATAGTCTTGTGTCCGGCATCATAGTTCACAACGAAAAGGATGCCGAAGGAATGATGGGACTCGCTCGACTAATGGAGTTATTTGATGCGATTGATGAGGATGTTGTCGATTGCTGGAACCAGCGATGTAACGTCAATGCCGGCTATTGCGAGAAGCTCACGGAAGCCAAGGCTCTGTCGATACACCAAAACCTCAGCCGTGTCAGTGAATCTGAGCGGTACAAGGGCTACGACTGGTTTGAACGCTCCAAGTCGGCCCTCGGCGGGAACCAGAGCAACCGCCCGGCGATAGGTTTGAGGGAAACTCAATGTGCAGACGTCTTTATCACGAAGAAATGGCTCCAGAACCGCATTTGGGTGCTCTGTTCGACCCATGGTCTACTACGGCCGGCATCTGAACGCCATGAGCTTAGCCTCAACTACGCTATTTCCGTTGCAAAAGAGACACTTGATATCTGTCGTTCTTTGCGACTGAGCTCCATGGAAGCGCATGGGATAGGCCTTGTATGTATAAACCTCGGGAATAAATTTGTCGTAGTCGCTCACAGGACCAGGTTGAGAAGTTGTTCGACATCGCAGTCGGTGCAATCAGTGTCTTGTTCAATGTCCAAATACCTCTCGCCAAGGGCATCACGGTGGCATCGCCCGCCAGAACGATTCCCAATGCTCAGGTTCCAACGGCTGATAGCCAGGTGCTCTCCAAGACCCTGACGGAAGACTTTATGTTGCTGATGAGCAGCCTGCGAGGTGGAAACCACCCTTTCATGGAAAAGTATCGGACACTGTTGGGCTCATTGCACACTACTGGCCATGCTTGGGGCTCGCAATAAACCCCCGGTCTTTACCTCGTCACCAAAGTCCCTTTACCTTCTTCTTTTGTGTTCCTACGTTCCTACTTTGCATTTGGCGCCCTGGAGTTATTGTATGGTTTTCTGGCAAGTACGTTCTTTCATTTAAATGGGTTGATCTAAGCATAGCGCGATGGGATTTGGATAAAACGGAAGATCGCATCACTGCGCTAAATCGGCCCAACTGTGCCGGGAACTCGAACGTATCGCCGTTGAGATTGTGTCATACCGTCTCGTATCCAACGCAAGGCTAACGGCAGGGGCCACAGCCAACCGGTCCATAGTCTTAGTGTATTTATCTAGGAACTGGGGAATCCGAACACATCGTCTCCTCAAGCGAAGACCAATGTTGTCTCCATTTCCATGCAGGAATTTTGGCATCATACATTGCATCGATCTCCATAAAGGTTCGGCCTTTGGTCTCTGGGATGGAAAAGTAGGCGAAGACCAGAATGCAGCCCATGCAGCCGGCAAATACAAGGTATGTCTTTGGCCCTAGATTTGCCGCATCGGCCGCTGTGAGCTGAGGCACCACCAACGTCGTGATCACTGCCGTTGTTTGGGCACAGGCAATAGTATAAGCCATGGTGTGGTGGCGGAGCCTGGGGGTGGCCATCTCCGAAGGCAGAAGAGTCGACAAGGGGGAAAATGACGAAGCCCAGAAGAAGTTGAAGGTGAAGGACAACGCCGCAAGCGCCATAGCCGAATGACGGTCTCCTCCGTTGAACGCCAGGCCTCCAGCCGTCGCGTCGATGATGAACAGGATGCTCATGCCCACCAATGCAGTAGGGCGACGACCCGCCCGGTCAAGGACGAAGGGGGCAGCGATCGTGCCTGCAAGAGTGCAACAGGCGGCAATTACGGTTAACGAAAAAGGGTCTCCAATGCCAATCTCAGAGAGAAACACTGTGCTGTACGTGGTTGAGAGAATGATGCCGGAGATTTGGTTCAAGGAGTAGAAGGATCCGGCGATCACGGTGCGCTGCAGGTGCTTCTTCGAGAATATATCCCAGAAGGGCGCATTGGCTTTCGAACCCTCTTCGGAACGTTCCATGTTTCGGATCTCATCATCAATCCGTCGTTCACTGCAGCGGCGCAGTCTCCGCAAGTTGTTACGAGCCTTTTCCACCTTGCCTTTAGAGACGAGCCATTGTGGACTCTCGGGCACAGGCAATGTTGAGATGAGTAGGAGAGCCGGCAGGGCACACTGTACGGCCAATGGGATCATGTACGAACTCCTGCCTCCTAACTCGTGAGTGCACAACACCACGACGGCGCCCAGGACACCAGCAACCAGGTTTAAGATATTGAACAATGATACACTTCTTCCTCTCATGGAGGCAGGTACGATCTGTCATACAGTGAGTGAGCGGGTCTTGTATGGCTCGGAAAGCACCAGCATGCGCACCTCCGAAAGATACAGGGGAGCCGTGGTATTGGCAATCCCCATAGCAATTCCGTTGATAAAACGACCCGATATGAAAGCCCCCAGATTCGGGGCCAGCATCTGGAGTAACCCGCCGCCAATGGAGATACTATATGCGATCAACAAGGGGCGTTTACGGCCCAAGCCGGAATTCAGAGGGGAGGCCGTCAAGCCTCCTAGGATCGAGCCTAGCAGAGGGACGGAAAATATGAGGTTTTGATTGCGGGCTGTGAAGACAAGTTTGCCTGTGATTGGCTCGGGGCCTTGGTACCTATCGACCTTGGGATGCTGTCAGCTCAATGATTACTTCCGCCGTGCGGGTTAGGACGGTATTCGTGCACACTCACGAATGCAGCCAATGCAGCCACCGGCGAGATGACTTTGTCATCAAAGCCAAACACTAACGAGGCTGCGCCAAACACCGTGCAAGTGAGGAGCAGGAAGGCATTGATTGTTTGTTCCTTGGACGATCTACTGCCCTCTGCTGCGATATCGACATGATGCGCTCGGCTGACACCTTTCCCGGGATCGGAGGGATGGCTGTCCAATGCATTGGCCATTTTGACTGACCTCGTGCATGCAAGAGGAAGGTGACAGGCTGCCAGACGACGTGATTCATTGGCGTCGCAGGCCAACCAATTGTACACTTCCTTGACTGCCTTGTGGTATTCGGCAGCCCATCAGTATGGCTCTATGGACCATGGGAACTCGTGTAGAAGACAATGCCAGGGGAGTACCCCAGCTTAACCCCAGAAATTTCACGGCCGGAGACCCATGGGCGGGCTATTTTTAATCTCTTTATATTGAGCAATCTTCATGGATGCAGGCACTGCACTGGTGGTGTTTCTCTCGGGGCTCCACTCGCCACGCTAGTGGATCCTCGCTCAGCAACCATCCTCCCTTGGCTGAAGGCCTGAAACTCAATCCGGAGTACGGAGTAACCGGATCGCTCTTAGAGTACTAATGATGCAGCATGCTGCAGGGGTTGGGAACTAGTAGACTGGCCCCCCTGGGGGACGGATGACGCCGTTGAGAAATTAGCGGGCCGAGATGGTCCCAAGTTGCCTCCTGGATGCTGATCATCGTTGATGGATGGTCAATGGATCGGGGGTTTCTCCGAAGAACCCCCGGTGTTGGACACAGCCGCGAGTAGTGGAATGTGCGTCATTCCATTGCTTGAGATACATAGTATCTCGCTCATACATTGTTGCCTGCAGCTATCTTATCAGTGGGGGTGCCGGGGTGGGGACCGATCTATTTAACCAAAGGAACAAGGTGAGCACTGCTTGAGTCTGGATTAAGCACTTGTCATGACCCTGACAGGCGTGCGACCTCTGTATCCATCAAGTCACCGTTCTTCTAGTTCGGATGTGCGATCCGATGTGATGGAACGGAAGGATCGCCACTTGGATGATGCTCAGCGATGCCGTCCATCTTACCATATCACCGCACCCCGCGGGTGGCTGAATGACCCGTGCGGTCTGGGATATGATCCGACAGCCGGTCTCTACCACCTGTCATTTCAGTGGAACCCCAAAGGCAACGACTGGGGAAATATCTCATGGGGACATGGTGTTTCTAAGGATCTGCTTGCCTGGGAGATATTCCCCGAGCCGTGCCTGGAGCCCACCACCGCATACGATCATTGCGGCATTTTCACAGGGTGTCTCCGACCAACTGCTGTGAATGGGGCTCCACATACGCTCACTGTTGTATACACCTCCGTGAAACGCCTCCCGATTCACTACACCCTGCCATATGTGCCCGGGTCTGAGTCAGTCAGTATGGCTACTTCACAGGACCAAGGCTTGACGTGGCAGCGTCTTGATTGCAACCCCGTTCTACTGCGACCCCCGGAGACTGTCACGGTAACAGGCTGGAGGGATCCATTTATTGGCCGTTGGCAGTTCATGCTGCAACAACCAGGAGCCTTCCAATCCTCTGACCTCTGCGGGCTCATCTCGGGAGGTATTGCCGGAAAGACCCCAACGGCTTTCGTATACTCGATAAATCCCCACGACTTACGGCAATGGAATTACTTGGGACTGCTGGTTCACGTTGGACTTAACTTCCAACCATCCCGATGGTCTGGCGATTTGGGGGTCAACTGGGAGGTCGTCAACTGGGTGCCTTTGACGGATGACGAGAAGACCACCAGATACTTCATAATCATGGGTGCTGAAGGATGTCTGGATTCTAGAAAATATGTAAAAAGAACTCCCCGGGCACAGCTGTGGATGTCCATCAAGCCTTGCTCTAGTGCCGCCGATGCTCTCGCAACCTATGCGTTCTCCGGGATCTTTGATCATGGGTGCTGCTATGCGGCGAATAGCTTCTGGGATCCAATCACGGCTCAGCAGATCGTCTATTGCTGGATTACAGAGGAAGATTTGCCGGATGATCTTCGACACCAACAAGGCTGGAGCGGCATGTTGTCTATCCCGCGGGTAGCCAAGTTGATAACTCTACATCGCGTAAGGCGAGCTCGGCATTCTGAGCTGAGTGCCATCACCTCCATAGAGACCCAACGAGTGACCCAGCAGACTTCCACCATTCGAACGCTGGGCATTCAGCCGGATCCACGGCTCGAGGGTCTTCGCAACGAAAGGTGCAAGATGCACGTTGATAATCTCCCTTTAGAAAACCGCAGGGATGGTGACTCTCTATCCAGTCCCCATCTTTCACTGATAACATCAACATGGGAAGTTTTGGCCGAGTTCTCTGTTAGCAACCAGTGCAGCGCAGTGGGGATGGAAATCAAACACGGGGACGGTATGTGTCTTTTTTCCCTTCCTGCCAATTCCTGCGTTAGAATCCGAATATTGTTTTTTCCAGCCCCTAACTCTTCACCAAGCCCATTCAGATATGCAGCACCGCACCATCCTATACTGGGAACCATCCCGTGAAACCTTTATAGTCCAACGGCCTCTACCCCACGACTCCCGCATCAACCATGACCCCGAGTCCGCCCCGCATACATTATTCACATTCAAGACTCTGTCCGGAGAGGAAAGGGAAGAGACGCTTCAGATCCACGCGTTCTGGGACACCAGCGTGCTGGAAGTCTTCGTAAACGAGCGCACTGTCATCTCCACCCGGATTTATCTTCTACCTAATCAGGCCCGCTGCTCGAGACTGCGTTTCTTTGCCGAGGGAAAGTCGGACTCCCCGCCAGCTGTGCTTCTGCAGGCCAGCGGATGGGACGGGCTGGGTGTCAGTCAGTAACCACATCCTTTGGTGATCTAGTACCACCTCGGGGGAACAATTCGGTGCGCGAGTCGATTTATTAATTTACTGGATGTCCAGAATGTATTACTGTACATAGGTGATTTCCCGAGAGTATAATCAGTGACACAGAAAGCCAAAGCCATGCGACCGGGCCCGTTCCCACTTGATCTCTATGTAATACACACACACACACACACATGACGTGTCCAAAGAAAAAGAAGACCTGCACCCATATGTGTCCCAAAGCAGCTAGCAAAAGGAAGACAAGGAAATGAGACCCCCACCCATCGCCTCGTTGATCATATTTGACAGATAGTAAGTATAGTATGCAGTATGCAAAGCCGAACCAGAAAAAATGCTTCCAAACCCCGACCGACCCGGTAAGTCCATTATGCACCCGGATAAGAATATGCGAATGGGTATCATTCCATGGGAGACGACCGACATATAGAATAGTTTTGTAGAAAGGGGAAGAAATGGCGGGAAGGAGAATAGATAGGTAAAATGGAGTGAAAGAAACGAACAAAATAACACACTCAAAACAAGGAAGATGTGAGAAAGCTGGGGAGAAAGATTAAATGCTAGTATGGTCATATCGTAACTTCTTTACCAAGTTTGCGGGTCGTAGATTCACCGGCGCTGCCAAAACTTCCAGTTGGGGAACGCCTTTTGTCCATCGCGCTTGTAAATGCGCCAGTAGTAGACGGGGACTCCGGCCACGATAAAGGCGACGACAATTAATGTCTGCAGCGGTTCGGCGATGATGGCCCGGCTGAGAAGGAAGAGACTCACGCAGCAGAAGATAATGGGGGTGGAAATCCAGGTCTTGTAGGGGCGATGTAGGTAGGGCTCCCGCACGCGGAGGATGATCAGGCCCAGCACCGTGACGAAGTAGAAGGTATATCCGGCTACACCGTAGAAGGTGACAAGGGTCTTGAATTCACCGAGAATGACATAGATGATAGTGAGACCGCTGTTCAGTGCCATGGCGTTGATGGGGGTGAAGCCGATCCGCGTGCCATCTCCGCATAGGCGTGCGAGGGACTTGCTCACCCAGGAACGGCGCTGTAGTCGATTGGTCGATGTATTTCGAGTCCAAAGCTTGCCAAACATCGAGGGCAAGTAGCCCTCTTTGCCGGCTGCATAGACCAATCTGCCACTTGTGAAGGTCGTGGCGTTCAGGGCGCCGAAGCAGCTTGCGGATACCACCAGCGCGAAGATTAGGGCTCCGACAGAGCCAAATACCTTATCGCCAAATTGGACGGCGATGGTATTACTTGCTTCGATGGTAGAATGGGGCAGAACGAGGATGTAGGAGACGTTGGCGAGAAGATAGCAGAGGATGACCACTGGCATGGCCGTGTGGATCACCCGTGGGAGATCACGGTTCGGGTTTTTAAATTCGCCAGTCACGTAGTTTGTCTAGGTGGTGTCAGTCAAAGAATCGTGATATATTAGAAGGTACGAGAACGCACGTTGTCCCAACCGTCAAAAGCCCAAAGGCCTGCGTACAGGGCTACAGCCCATGCAGATACGTCGAGGTTCGTACCCTCGAACCAGCCGGCCTTCCATTCCTTGTTGGCACTTCCATTCGAGGAGTGGCCTGTAATCGCCACAATAATACCGATGATAGCGACCGCGAGCAACGCGACAAACTTGAAGAACATGAAGAGGTCGCCGATGCGCGCCGCCACTCTCGTCGAGATACAGTTCAACAGCGTCACAACGAATATTCCACCGAACGCAACGGCCTTGTTAATCCAAGGGTTAAGGGTCTCCACGTCGGCACCGACCACAGCCCTAACGACATACTCCCCGAAAATGATCGCGATGATGGCAGCACTGCCCGGCTTCAAGACGAGGACTGCGCACCACGTAAACAGGAAGCCAGCCAACTCTCCAAAAATCTTAGAGAGGTATACCTGGGAACCACCGTTTAGAGGAATAGCTCCTCCGAGCTCTGCATAGCTGGCTGCCCCCGTCCATGCCAGCAGGCCAGCAACCACCCACGCAATCAGCGACGCACCAGGCGACCCCGCATTAGCATTGACCTGGCTGGGAGACGAAAAGATACCCGAGCCGATCACCAGCCCAATCACCAGAGACAGACCGTTCAGATAGGTTAATGTCTTGTTCCTTTCTAACGACCCGTCGGCGATACCGGCCTCTCGATCCGCGGAGGAGGCGCCCAAAGGTGCATAACCACCCGTCGTCTGGGATAAGGGAAACAGTGTCGCCCCGAAGTCGAAGGCAGAGGATATCGAGTAGGAGCGGGCTGATCGAGGTCGTCCTGATGCCGTATGCGTCTGCGACTGAGAGCCGGCGAGAGGGTCTTCATCTTCGAGGGAGAGCTTGCGCGACGACGAGATGCCCGATGGTGATGAGGAGCGGGAGGATCTGGGTGCGGAGTCGGGCGAGGAGGCCAACGAGGCCAATTCTAGGGAATCCCGGGGAGCATGGTAATTGCCCGACCTTGATTCGGTATTCGTGAAGGTTATATGGGACATTCCGTCCAGAGGAGGTCGGGATTGGGGGTCTGCTCAGGAGCTGCGAGGACGAAGGCGGGCTGTTAGGGACGGGGCACGGGGCACGGGGACGTCTTCCATGCCACTGGGAAGGCTGTCCTGGAGCGACAAATGAACGGAGCAATGTTTCGTCCCCTCGAGAAGATAGTAGAGGGACAGCAGCCAGCAACTGGGGACAAAGAAGCAAGAAGAATGAAGAATGAAGAAGCATGGAGGGACAAAGACGCCGACAAGAAATGCGACTCCCTGCGTCTGGGGCCCAATCGGGACTAGCGCCTTGGGATCATCGCACCTGCTTTTTATAGCGTCATGGCCACTTCCCCATCCAGCCCCAAATTTCCCCCATGAAGCCCCGCGGGTCCCCTCAGGGTCTCTTCCGGCTCAATGCCTCCTCCACGGCCGCCAGGCTCGTGATCCGCTCCTCGAGACGCCATGCTTCCCACTCATCACCTTCCTCTTCGCCTTCGCCCTTACCCTCACCCTCACCCTCTACTCCACCAAAGCAGCAGCGATGGCTGCGACTCGCCTTCATAACGGCCGCTGCGGCGGGAATTGGCGCCCTTGTCAGGTCGCAACAGGGCCCGGACTCGTCGACCCTCAATCCGGTCAAATTCACCCCGTATTACCTGGTGTCCCGCGAGCCGGTCTCATCGACCGGGAGCTATTTCATTCTTCAGCCACCCAAGGAGGATGGAACCAACCATACAGTCTACGAGGAAGCATGGAAGACAGGGCTCTGGAGTGTGATGTTTAAACAGCCACAGCTTCAGATTGGAAGAGACTATACGCCCCTGCCGCCCACGGATGAAGATGATGACGAGTGTCTGCACTTTTTCATCCGGAAAGACCCCTTCGGTGAGGTCTCCCGCTACTTGCATAGCCTAGATATTGGAGCGCCCATTGAAGTACGTGGTCCGCGCATTGAATGTGAGATTCCTTCGGATACGCAGCAGATCTTGTTCATTGCCGGAGGCACAGGGATTGCCTCTGCATTGCAAGCTGGACATACACTTCTTCGCCGCACAAGCTCAACTCATCAACCCAGAATACATATCCTGTGGGCCAACAGAAGACGGGAGGACTGCGTTGGCGGTGTAAGTGACTCAACGGCGCCTACAACGGCGCCGCAAAGGTCATGGCTCTCCGGCGTTTTCAAGTCTTCGAAGGACACACCCGCCCTCGTTGATCCCCCGCAGGATGCTGGCACTTCATTGATGGTCCGGGAATTGGAGGCGCTTCGATCGCAATATCCTGGTCAGGTGAGCGTGGATTACTTTGTCGATGAGGAAGGCACCAGTATCGGGAAGCAGTCTATCTTGGACTCCACCAGCACTGCGCTGTCTTCTAAAGAGCCGGGCCAAGGGAAACACAATCTCATTCTGGTCTCCGGACCGGAGGGCTTCATTAGCTACATGGCAGGACCAAAGCTCTGGGCTCAGGGCATGGAACTGCAGGGTCCGCTTCAGGGGATCCTGAAAGAGCTAAACCTGAAGAATTGGGCCGTGTGGAAACTGTAAAGAGAGGAAGGCCAGATGCCCATGTACGATAGTAGCCATAGACTTCATGTACCATTTCCATTTCCCTTTCCCACCCTCATACCCCAGAAAACGAAACCTCCGATAGCGGAGTCTTGGCACCGCCATCGCCGCGGAGCGAGAATTAATGTCTGCCTCCTAATTGGTCGATCGCCGGAACCGGTAACTTTAAGTAAGTTCGAGTCATAAATCCAAGTCGCTTTCTTTTCTTTCTCCTGAGTAGTCTCTTTCATACGCCTCACGCCTTCTAGCAACATGCAGTCGCGATTGTTGCCCTCCGGCCCTGGCAGGCGCTGGGCCTCCCTTCGTTGCCCCGTGACTCCGCAACGGCGTGCGTTCGCCTCAACCCGGCTCTTGTTCCAGGATGTCTTCCAGTCGCAGCTCGAGGACCCTGCCTCCGCAGCCATTTTTTCGTCCCTGCAGACTTCCAGGGCCGTCCCGCAGACCCTGACGGAAAAAATCGTTCAGAAGTACTCGGTAGGCTTGGCCAGTGACAAGTTTGTCAAGTCCGGCGACTATGTCACCATTTCCCCCCACCGGATCATGACCCATGACAACTCCTGGCCTGTCGCCTTGAAATTCATGTCGATCGGTGCGTCCAAAATACATGATCCCAATCAGGTCGTGATGACTCTCGACCACGACGTCCAGAACAAATCAGAGAAGAACCTTCAGAAGTACCGCCAGATCGAGGAGTTCGCGAAGCAGCACGGCGTTGAGTTCTACCCGGCAGGACGAGGAATTGGTCACCAGATCATGGTTGAGGAAGGATTCGCTTGGCCTGGTACACTCGTGGTCGCCTCGGATAGTCACAGTAACACCTATGGTGCTCTGGGTGTCGTTGGTACTCCCATTGTGAGAACCGATGCAGCCAGTATCTGGGCGACGGGCAAAACGTGGTGGCAGATTCCTCCGGTGGCCAAGGTTACCCTTACCGGAGTTTTGCCACCGGGCGTGACTGGCAAGGATGTGATCGTTGCTCTGTGCGGTCTGTTCGGCAAGGATGAGGTTCTGAACCACGCAATCGAGTTCACGGGCTCTGAGGAGACCATGAGAAGTTTGTCTATGGACAATCGGTTGACCATTGCCAATATGACGACGGAATGGGGTGCTCTGTCTGGACTGTTCCCCATGGACGGCGTCTTGAAGGGCTGGCTCAAGGGCAAGGCCACCACTGCTGCCATGGGGCTCGCCGATGGGCCATACAAGACTTTGGCCCCTCGGCATTTCACTCACCCGCTTATCGAGCAGCTGTTTGAGAACCCGCTTGTTGCGGATAAGGGTGCGAAGTACGCGAAGGAGCTCTTCCTGGACCTTTCTACCCTGTCTCCATACATCTCCGGACCCAACTCTGTAAAGGTGGCAACCCCCCTCAAAGAGCTGGAAGCACAGGATATCAAAGTCGACAAGGCCTACTTGGTCTCCTGCACCAACTCGAGGGCTTCGGATATCGCCGCCGCGGCTAAGGTGTTTAAGGAGGCCGCGGAGAAGAATGGTGGCAAAGTCCCAAAGATTGCCGATGGCGTGAAGTTCTACATCGCTGCAGCATCCATCCCAGAACAACTCGCAGCGGAAGGGGCTGGTGACTGGCAGACTCTCCTGGAAGCCGGGGCCACGCCTCTCCCCGCCGGATGCGGGCCTTGTATCGGCCTGGGAACAGGACTGCTGGAGCCCGGCGAGGTCGGCATCAGTGCGTCGAACCGCAACTTCAAGGGACGCATGGGAAGCACTGAGGCCAAGGCGTACTTGGGTAGCCCCGAGGTTGTCGCCGCGAGTGCCCTTACCGGAAAGCTTCGCGGTCCTGGCTGGTACCAGACCCCTGAGGGCTGGACCGAAGTGATCCGCGGCGAGGGCGATGGCATCCGTGAGGAGGACCGGATGCTTAACAACGAGCAAGCCCTGGAGAAACTCATCGGTCAGCTGGACGACCTTGTCGCTGATGGCGAGAAGCGCTTTGCTCCGGAGGAACCGGCCGAGGAAGAGGGTGGCCTGACCGAAGTGTACCCCGGATTCCCCGAACGTGTCTCTGGCGAGATCGTGTTCTGTGATGCCGATAACCTCTCTACGGATGGAATCTACCCGGGCTTTTACACTTACCAAGATAATGTCACTGTGGAGAAGATGGCGGAGGTGTGCATGTCCAACTATGATACTCAGTTCTCCTCGATTGCGAAGGAGGGTGATATCCTGGTTACTGGGTACAACTTCGGCTGTGGTAGCTCTCGGGAGCAGGCGGCTACTGCTCTTCTGGCGAAGAGGATTCCTCTTGTTGTGGCTGGTAGCTTTGGCAACATCTTTTCCCGCAATAGCATCAACAATGCTCTCATGGGTCTGGAGGTTCCGCGCCTGATCAGCCGTCTGCGTGAGGAATTTTGCGAGAAGCAGCTCACTCGCCGCACCGGCTGGACTTTGACTTGGGATGTCCGGAGGAGTCAGATTGAGGTCCAGGAAGGCGAGCATGGGCCCAAGTGGACACACCAGGTGGGAGAACTGCCGCCGAACGTCCAGGAGATCATTGCGCAGGGTGGCTTGGAGAAATGGGTCAAGAACGCCATTGAAGCATGAGGGAGGTAGGAAATGAAAAGCGCGACTGTCGACAATTGATTCTTATGATACCCGAGCCTTCCAGTCTTCATTTTTGGGGTTGCTGCGTGGATGATTCTTCTGTCGAGACGCATGGGATGATTGCATGTATATTGTGTGTATCGGTGGGTGGGAGTCCAAAATTAGATGTTACTACAACTACTAGATAGATGCTAGATAGTTCTTCATGGGCAATGTACGATTACACTTTCTTTCACCCTTGGTTCGCCAACCCGCCGCCCACGTGGTGGCTCGGGTTGCACTATGGTATCAACCATATTAATTCCCAGGCTCACGCGAGAAGCACGACACCGGAGGGGGCAGTGCGTCCACGACGATCGCCGGCCAGAGTTGTTCGACTCGGGCACGGCCGCGTTGGCCTGCAGTTGCACGGCCTCAGCCTGCCTCAGCCGGCCATGATTCGCTCCAGCTCCGATGCCTAAGCTAAGCTGAGCCTCTGCTGAGGCCCTTCAGCTGTCAGGGTGCCCGCTCTGCTTCTCCCCTTCCTGAAGCTCACCAGCTGGTCGGAGGAAACAGCTTGCCAGGCCTACATTATTATCTCTCACGCCGCGGCCCTGATGTTCCATCGATGATTGCAGCCTCTCTCGATGGATCCCGTCTCCGCCATCGGCCTTCTGTCCGGCGTGTTTCAGATCGCTCAGTTCATCAAAGACACCGCCGGAGGACTGGCCCAGCTGTATGGCAAATACAGTCATGCAGACCTCACTATCCAATCACTCATCAGTGAGCTGACAATCATCCGATCGGCCATCACCCAGCTGCACGAGTGGGCGAACTATAATGTCCGGGACTCGGCCCAACCGGAGTTTGTCGACGGGCTCGAGATCGCTCTGGACGGCTGTCGCGCGGTCATGGGGGTTCTTTCTGACGAGGTTTTGGCTCTGACAAAGGGTGCGTCACTGAACGGCGATGGGATCGGATTCCGAACCCGAGTGAAGGTCGTCTGGAATGAAGATAGCATGCGAGAGCATCAGGAAAGACTGCGGGCGCAGGCCCAAGCGTTGCAGCTCCTGCTGCAAGCCTGTCTATGGTGAGCATTCCCATGCAGCAGCAAGCAGCAATAGGTCACTGTGTGCTAAGGACGAGTTCTCAGTCGAACGTCAGCCGAGCAGGTCGAACTGCTACGAAGAGCGGAGAATCGCCAAATCATCGCCAGGGTCGCCAGCGATACAGCTACCCTGCGGTCCTCTAGCAGCTATGCAGCCTCACGAGCGGAAAGCGCGAGCATGACTCGTCGCTCATCAACCGCAGGGCACACTGTCTTCGAGTTCGATGGGACGGTAGTGGCTTCTATTCCCTACCGGCGTGCGATCAGACAATCTCAATCCAAATCTACGATACCAGATGCAGTCGATCCCAACCGTCACAGCCCGATTACAGACGAAGGGTATGGAAGTGGTGCTGCGAGTAATTCAAGCCCGACGGGAACAATTGCGGTTTCTCCGGTGCATCCCTCTGCGTCGATTAGCCTTGGTCAGGGCCACAGCCGGAGCGTCTCGTTCGTACCGACGTCTTTGCAGCAAAGTCCGACCCAGGTCCGCAGATGGCAGTCGGACACGACTGGCTCGTCCTGGGCAGGTCGCTCGTCCGGGTCACGGCGTGAAAAGATGCGCTCCATCATCCGACAACTGAGGCGACCCAGTTGGTCAGCAGCACAAGCTTCGGCGCGAGTTCCTATGCGAGGACCGGCCGAGCGACGGCTGTACGAAAGAGACGTCAACACTGGTACTAGCATTGACTTGACCTCGCCGGATGGGGCGTCTGCTCCGCCAATTGTGAAGTCCTCCCAGGCGGGAACTCGATCTGATGTTGAAAGGCTCCTCGAAAGTGGCCATGACATTGAAGCCCGCCATGTCTCTTCCCGCAGGACCGCCCTTCTGGTGGCATCGCACTGTGGCAACGAAGCGGTGGTCGATCTACTGCTACAAAGGAACGCTAGAGTCGATGCCACCGACAAGTCGGGCGCCACTGCCTTACATTTGGCTGCATCGCGCGGCCATTGCAAGGTTCTTGCGTTGCTTCTTCCCGAAAGTTTGGATCTCGAGGCTCGAAATGCCAATGGGCAGACTGCCCTCTGGGTAGCAGTATACCACGGCCAAGCTGAAGCCACAAACCTACTGCTTGCCTGTCACGCCAAGGTGAATGCGCGCGCTGACAACCAGACGACCCCGCTGCATCTGGCAGCAAAATGGGGCGATATAGTAATCACCAGGCTCCTCATTATGAACGGTGCGGACATAGAGGCCAAAGACGGGACGATGATGGCGGCGCTGCATTATGCCTGCGAGGGGGGACATCTGGACGTCATAGAGTTGCTTCTTAACCACAAGGCGAATATCAACGCGGCTGGAAGCGACCGGAGGTCGCCGCTCATCTGCGCTGCTGCCCTGGGTCAGCTGCCTGCGACGCAGCTTTTGCTCAAGAGGAAAGCGTCGACCCGGTCCGTTGACGATGCTGCCATGACAGCGTTGCACTGGGCTGCCTTCAATGGACATACGGAGATTGTGGACCTCCTGAGTCAGAAGAAAGAGCTACTGGCCAAAACCAACATCGCCGGACGAACCGCCCTACATCTTGCTGTGATGAAATCGCAGTTTGCGGTGGTAGAGCTGCTCCTTCGTAGAAGTATGCCGCTAGAAAATCGCTGTCTGTCGGGTCTCACCCCGCTTCACTATGCGTGTATGGCCAATAGCGCCGAGGTTACGAGGCTATTGCTTATTTCTGGCGCCAACATCGAGGCCCAAGCCGAGGCGGACCAGCGCAGACCCGTTCATCTTGCGGCGGTGCGTGGTTCGATGGGACTGCTGAACCTGCTGTGTGATAAGGGGGCCTCTCTGGAGGCACGGGACGCTGCAGGAGACCGAGCGCTTGGTGTCGCCTGTCGGTATGGACATGCCGCTGCCGTTCAGAACCTGCTGGATCGAGGATCTCCCGTATGCTTGCCTTATGGTGTTCGGTCGGAGGAGGATTCGCCATTGTGTCTAGCGGCCATGGAAGGACACTTGCCAGTCGTCACGCTTCTTCTCCAGCGAGGAGCGTCAGCCATCAAGCGTGACGACCGGGGCTGGCAGCCCTACCGCTATGCCGCTTATTATGGACATCCCAATGTGCTCCGGCTGCTCATGTCCTGCAGTCTAGCCAAGGAGGATGCGGATTTGGGTCTGACTGTGGAGCGAATCGGCTTTGCGCCGTCAGCGGATATCTCCGTCGAAAGGAAACGGGAGGTGCAGGGCTTGTTGGCTCAGATGCAGCACCCATCGTCGCCACTGGCCGAGAGCGCCCCGGTCTGGACTGCTCTGCATCGCTCCGAGCCGTCGCCCACAGCAATGGCCAGTCCCCAGGAACTCCCCGGGACCTTGGAGCAAGGACTTCCGGCTAGCCGCTCTCAGACCCCTGAACACATGCGTCGAGGCCCCAGCGTTTATCGCCTGGAGTCGGAATTCCGGGATGTTCCACAGATCCTGGAGGCCCACGAACGGGCCTTTGCCCCGACGAACGAACAGATTGCCATGCCGCGCGCGCGGCGTTATTATGACACGCCGGGCAGCCCTGGCCCGAACGGCGCGTTCCTGGACACCGTGTTTCACCCAGCAGCAGACGAGACGCGAGTCCGTCCCACGGACTCCCCGGTGTCTCTGACGGGGGTGCATGGCTTGAACCCTCCACCCTTAGCTTGGCCACCGCACCCGCATAACGCAGGGGAGTCCAGCCAGGGCCCGGGGCGAGAATGGGACTCGGAATCCTCTATATCCTCGGTCTACACTGCGCAGGAGGGAGAGGTCTTTGAGCTTGCCACCTAAAATGGTAACCGTAGCATAGCTAGACACGTCAGATCGACGCCTTTGCGTCCCGTATACGAGCCGCACCGGCAATCATTCGTCGCCTCCAAAAATAGCAACCGGCATGGCCTCAGGCATGGTAGGGCATGGCGGCCACGTGCCCGGTGTCACTTTGAAAGTTTGAACTGGTTCCCCCCTCAAATGCAAGACAATGTCTCAGTTTCCCGTCCAACCGCTAAGGCTTCTTGCTCGTCAGCCCACGCAGATGACGAGCGAATGAGTCAGGCCGTTCATGGCAACCGATCTGAAGATGACGCTGACTCGGCCATGACTCGGGCCGGGGATCAGCCACATCCAACACCATCCCTCAGGAACCAGGCCGCCCGATTGGCCTGGCCTGGGGCATTCATAACACCTGTCTCCCTCAGCTCAGGCCATGACACTTTTCTGATCCTTTTCTATTTCCCTCCACCCCGATTCAACCTTCAGATAACACCGACTAAACATAGCCAAGCACAGAAAAAGCAATCCTAGACCTCCCCAACCCAACCAGCGGCTGCCAGGTCGTAGTTTATCAGATTATACTCCGTGCGAAGGATTGCGGAATGATGCGTCGCGATCAGTTATATTTAGTATCTCGTTCGATATGGATATTCATTGGCGTCCGTGACGGATGCACCCAGCTGCGAGTTGAGTCAGTCCTTGGTATGAGATGGATGGGATGGGGGGCCGCGTTGGGGTTGATGTTGATGTTGTGATTCTGGGCGTCGGTCGGGGGTTTGTAGGGCCTGATTCAGCGGATGTTTGAGAGTCAGGTTGGTTCGGGTCGGTTCGGTGGTGGTAGATGGGATTGTGGCTGTAGTAGTGCTAGTTGTAGTAGTGAGGGGGTTGAAGTCAGATTTGATCAGGTATATATATACTAGGAGGGTTGAGTGTTGGGGTTGTGGTGGTTCAGTTCACTTTGTATACAGATCTTTCATACACTCCGACGTCTAGTATATACACTGGCTGCAGCGTCGACTGTGATTGTCTCTATTTAAGTTATTCGCTCTTGCTCCGCTCGGGATATACATACATCCATCCCCTCACTATCTAAACACTACTCTACATACCATCTTATACAACCCCATTGCAGTCGATTCATCATGGGTCGAGGCGGATACAACGCTCCCGAGACGACAACAGCGCCGGCGCCGGCACCCGCCTCGCCGGGTTCGTCATCTGTCTCGTTGCCATCTCCGCCACCGTCGTCGGACCTACCGCTCTTGCAGGGTCGGGGCGCGTACAACAAGCACAACTCTACCATGCTATGACAGGAGAATCTGGGCTCCGGCGGAGGATAGCAGCAGGGATGGGGATGCGGGCGAATCTGGAAGAGTGTCGAGCGATGATCTGAATATTGGCGTCATCGGTTCAAAATGCCATATCATTTTCCAACACAGAATCTACATCCGTCAGCAGGGGGAGGATGTCGGTCTTCAACAGCACGGCAGGACTTACTTTTCGAACACGACGCCCAGGACGTCCTCCACGTCACCACTTTCCCCGCGGCCGGTGATCTTCGCGAGAGTGTCGGCGGAGGAGCGCAGGTGTTCGGCAGCGGTTACGATGTCTATTTCGGGTTCGAGGGAATCATGGGCGGGATCAAGGGTTAGAGGCGTTTGAGTCTGGGTCTGGATCAGGAAGTCGTCTAGGTGTTCCAAACAGCGTTGTAGATTAGAGCTTTGGCGATGGGTCACGCCCAGAGAGTCTTCCCAATAGGAATGATCGTACTGTCCGTTTTCGTCCCCGTCAATTCCGGTCGGGGAGGCAATCTCCTCGAAGGTAGTGATTAGGCCTCGTAGGAAGTGCTGGATGTAGCCTGGGTCGGATTGGCCGGGGCTGGTCAGTCCGTTGGTGGCGTCCAGGCAGGAGATGCCGAAGATGCGCTGCTCGGGCACAGCTGGGAAGAGCTGGCTGACTGTCGCGGTGAGTTGCGGCAGCGTATTCTCGGCTGGCAGCCGGTCACATTTATTGATGGCCACGACGACGCACTTGCCCGCCTGGGCACAGTCGTTTGCTGCTTCAACAACCTCGGGCTCGACAGCTAAGCGGTATGGCAGCGCACCGCCGTCTTCCACGGATACCACCACGATGACCACGTCGGACTCCAATGCGCGAGCCTTTGCTCGCCGGATACCTTCTTGCTCCACGGCGCCAATCACCACCTTCTTCTGGCCGGTCGGATCGTTGGGCTCGGAGCGGATCCCTGCCATATCGCCGAGTTTGCAGTACCAGCCGCCGATGTCAATCCCGACATCCACGATATCTCGCGTGGTACCCTCCTCCGTGCTGACGATAGCAGCCTCTCTCCCCACAATACGGTTCAAAAGTGAACTCTTGCCTGCATTCGGAGCCCCCAGCAGGGCCACCTTGATCCCGTTGCGCAGCAGCTCTCCCTTCGAGGCGTTCTCGATATGAAGTGCGATTTGCGCACGCAACGACCTCACTTGTGACGCAACCGAGGACACCAGTTCCTCGGTCGACTCGTCAAAATGTTGGTCCTCCGAGAAGTCGATCAGCGCCTCCAGCTCGCCGCGGGCATAGAGCAACTGATGCCGCCAGTGTTCGTACCGTTTAGACAGGGTGTCGCTCGCGCCGCGGACGGCAAGTCGACGCTGCTGCTCCGTGTCGGCAGATAACGTGTCGCCCAGCGCTTCGATCTGCGGAAGGTCTAGTCGGTTGTTCATGAATGCGCGACGGGTGAATTCACCCGGTTCAGCGTAGCGAACCGTACAGTCCGGGTTGTTCGTGCGGGATATGGCGGACAGCACGGATTTGACAATGGCGGGTCCGCCATGGAGATGGAGCTCGAGGACGTCTTCGCCGGTAACGGTCTTAGGGCCTGGGAAGTATAGGACGAGGGCGCCGGCGTCGAGAACACTATTGGGGGAAGGCTTTTGGGTGGGATCATATAGAGTGCGAACGGCTGCTAGGCGGGGTCGGGGGAGCGGTGCTTCCGGACATAGCGCTTCGTAGATCTGAGAGGGGGGAGGGACGTTAGCTGCTGGATTCTGGCTGCGCGATGGTTTGGCATACTTGCGTGCATGCCGGGCCCGACGCCCGCACGACGGCAATGGCAGCCCGGCCAGATGCGCTAGAAAGCGCATAGATGGTGGAATCGGCGTCGAAGATCGACTGACCCGGGGTGGACCTGGAGAAGTATCGGCGTGGTGGGAGCTGCGGAGCTGAGCTGCGGGCAAGTCTAGCTAGACCGGTGATGCCCTTCGGAGCGACGGCGGAGCATCTTCTCCATGATGGGCGAAGGGGGATCGCCCACCGTAGGGTCCGGATGGCCGATGGTCGCATACGCGGGACAGCCGTGAGCAGGCGGGCGATAGACGATGGAGAGAAATCGACCTCGAGGCCCGGGGAAAGTTGGGGGCGCGGAGGAGCGTCGGCGAGGCCAGGAATCGCCGCGGAGGTGCCCGTCACGTGAGAGCCGGGCGAGATACTAAGAGATTCATAGTTTATGGACATACAGTTCGACTACGAGCCACACATACAAGCAATGCAAGGGATATTCGCGTAGACAATCCAGGAGTCCAGTAGATGTATGAAAGCCAGATCACAAGGTCCCCTGCGCCCCTTCGTCACGCCTGCGCGCCGAAAGACACACACTCGGCCATACGCCTTGGAACCCTCCCCCGGAGCAAAATGCAACTGCTGAACGATATGCGGATATAAACGGAGAAGAAGAACGGAGACGGGAAAGGAGAACAGAGAAAGGAAGTATGTACACAAAGAGAGGACCGGAGGCCAAAGTGGGTAAGCAAGAAGCAACAAGGAAGCTGTGAATCGCTGCAAAAGAGAACCATGTACGGGGGAAGCAAAACCGACGGCTGCCCAAAGAAAAGAGGAAAAAGCCAGAAAGTGAGCAGCAGATCGACCCGGTCCCGTCATCCTGGCATATTATACACTCAAACAACATAGTGAAATCTTTCCGAGACGACATGAGTTAGTCTATCAAACATTAGATTAGGAAAGAAAGGGGAAGACACTCCTTTCGAGCAAGGAGGAAAAGATTCAAGGATAAAAAGTGCCAAAGAAATGAAATCAAAAGAGGGAGGGAGGGGGGTGAGCGGTACATCCGGCCTACTCGACGGATCTGCTCGACGGCGAGCCTTCCATCAGCTCATCGTCCCCGGGTGATCGGAGCTGTTGCTCTGAAGTGGGAGACACCACAATTGCCGGCGTCAGAGGGGGCTGGGGAATGGCATCTTCCCCGGTGTGAGGACTCGCGGCATCGTCCGGCTCCAAGTCGGTCCTGGGAGGCGAGATCGGTTCCGGCACAGATGTAGGAGCAGAGCCCTCCGTGCTATCCTTACTGGTGCTGGTGGCTCCGTTCCGTCTCCGTAGCCGGCGCTTCCGTCGTTCTTCTTCGGCGGTTTCTCTTCGTCGCCTCAGTCGGTCGTTGTCCACGTTGTCTCGGAGTCCCTGCAACATGCTCGCGGCGCGATCCGCAACGTCTTCGCTTTCCGACACATGCTGGGAGTCCTTCTTCGCGGTCTCGGGAGTTTCCGCTTCCAGGAGAGGAGGGCTGAGAAGCCCCGTTTCAGTGGGATTGGCGTCACTGTTGTTGTCATTGCCCGCTTGGGTACCGCTGCCGTCGTCCTCGGCGTTGTTCCCACCGTCAGGGGTGTCGGCATCCGGCATCTTCTGGCCTGAAGCGACGCGGATCTGGTGGCGCTCCTTTAGCCTGGCACGGCGGCGGCGGTCACGCTGGTCTCGCGCTTGAGGAGCCGCGGCGCGCAGCTTCTCCAGGAGCGAATCCATGGCCCCGCTGGTAGCTGGCGACGCTGGCGCATCACCAGCCGAGGGAGCACCATTGGCAAGACTGGCATTGATGTTCCGCTTGCGAGCCAGCGACGCCTCGGTGCGTCTCCGACTTTCTTCCAACGAGATGTTCTTCTCCTTAGATTTCTGCACAAATCACAGTTAGCGACAAGATCAGGAACGGGAAATGTGACGGTCCAACATACCTTCCACTCCACCAAGAAGGAAGCCAGTTTCGCGAAGAAGTCTCGTCTGGCGCCCTCGTCGGCGTTGTCCTCTCCGTAGAAAACCATGATGTCATCGTAGGATTTCACCATCTCATCCAAGTAGAGCTGCATCTGCTCGGCTTTCCGTCGAGCATCCTTCATACTCCGTTGGACGACCTGGCTCACGCGATCCTGGGGGTGGAACTTCTTGGGGTCGCTCAGGTTGCCTGCGTCCAAGCTAGCCTGTACATTCTTGATGTTGTCGATGTACTTCTTCGCATCTGTCCGCAGCTGGTCCACGTTGAGCTTCTGGATGGCGATGACCCCGCTGATCTCGTCCGTGAAGCCCTCCCATTCGGGATACTGATTACGAACGATTCGCTCCACCAGATCCGCGAAAGTGGTCTCGTTCTTGTCGTCCTTGACCATGCCGAGACGGGCGAGAGAGCTCAGCTTGAAACCTTGAGCCTGCTTGTTGGCATCGTTCATGAAATTACCAATATCCAGGATCAGACCAAGAACGTTCATGAGAGCAACGGAATCCCGCAGGGATTCGCTGACCTTCACGACCTGTTGTAACTTGGCGGATATGTGCTCATAATCCAACTCAAACGACCGGGTCAGTCCAAGGGCGCGCATTCTGGCCTTCCAGTAATGGTTCAACTCGAACGCGGTGTAAAGGTAAATCTGGTCCTCTCGCGTGAGCTCGGTAGGGTCTTGTTCACGCTCCGCACTGGCAGCATCCGGGCCCGTCCAATCCCGGCTATATGGCGCCATCGACTTCGAGATATTTTCTGGAACCGTACACATTTCGTCCCGCTGAAGGAACTCCATGACGACCAGATTGTCCAGAATATCGGTGTCACAATGGATGATCATCCGCACCACATCTTCGGCAGGGAACTGAGAAAATTTCGCCATCGCAATCTGGAAGTTCTTGGACAGCTCATTGGAGATGATTTGTTTCTTGTCCTTGCGCTGTTTGGCTGCTGCATTGCCACCAAAGATCTTGGTTTCCTTCGCCATGAACAACCTCTCCACCTCGTCCAACACACCCTTCTTGGCCAACTCCACATATTTCTCCTCCTTCTCCTGAGCGGTTGGGGCATGGGACGCCCACACCGTCACCTGTGGAGCATCAACCTTCTCCCAGTGAAGGGCCTTGAGCTTCTTCTTGGGCCTAATAGATGGCATGAGAGCAGTCTTGTGATGGGGGAGGGCTTGAGAGGCCATGTAGTTGGCTCGCCATCCTCCAAAGCCAGCGCCAGGCGGAGGCGGCGGAGGGGGAGCACCGAACGAAGCACCAGGCGGAGGGGGAGGCGGCGGCGGGAATCCCGCACCTCCAGGGGGCGGCGGTGGAGGGGGTGGTGGTGGTACTCCAAGGGCACCGCCGGGCGGGGGAGGTGGAGGCGGGGGAGGGGGGATTCCTGCACCTCCCGGCGGCGGCGGCGGAGGAGGGGGCGGAGGGGG